TCTTTTCACGTGGCTTCCCTTGAACATCAAGTACCAAGCAATTTGACTTCGTGTTGCCATGGCCAGCCACAGGTCTGCGAGCTGCCTCAACACGTCCGATAAGCAACAAACCGCTGCATCCGTCGGAGTCTTCGCCAGCGCCGACTCCTTGCCTCCAGTGACATGCTTCTTGACTGGAGTGCCCAAAACTCGAAGCCGTAGGAGGGGGTAACCTCGAGAGTCAAGAGCGACTACCGACTACTCATGTATAAAATGCAGAATATGCAAGGCCCCACAAGAAGACCAGAACCAAGCTTTGTATCCATCTCGCAATGGACAAGGGGTTTTGGGCACTGCATGCTTGGCCGACTCTTTCCAGCAGTTCGAGCGACCCTGTTTAAGAGATGTGGGTGTGTCCGCGTTTGAGGGTATTTCAGTGTTGGTTGTTTGTTTTGTTTACACAAAAAGCAAAAGTAAGCCACCAGTGCCCGCTAGCGGACCACTCCGGATTTTGGCAACGCTCGGGGCTCGCTCTCCGGACCTGTACGGAACTTGCGGCAGGGATCGGGAGCACGCATCACGCCGGGGAAAGCTGAATGGGTCAAAGCTGAAGCCAGGGGACCGCAAAGTTCCATGTTGGGTTGCCCCATGACTGCGTTTTGCTGGTCCCTTGGTTTTGAAGGGAATTGTTGGATGTTGTGCAACGGAAGCGACTGGAGGTTATGTGCTAACCACGGCGCCGGGCGCGTCGTAAGACACCATTATATATATATATATATATATTTAAATAATTCTTATGTTTGGTGGGGTTTGGGCAATTTGCTGAAACTCATCTAGCTTATGAGAAGGAACGGAGCCCTTAGGGTTTGAGGGCTTGCGGGTCCTCAATTTAATGTCGATTAATGTTCGATTTCTGGGTCTCGCCGTTCCAAAGTCATTGCCATTTGGCTTGTCCAAAACCAGTTTTGTCTTATGAGATGGTTGATCTGTTTTTGTTGAGTGCTTCTTCCCGAATGTCTTTCTATGGGGTCTTGGCCAATTGGGGCGCTTGTGGGTGCAGGGTTGCCGGGGAGGTTCACGGGGAGGGGATGACCCTCGTTTCGGCAAGAGGCAATCGCCTTTCAACCAGGTCCCCCAGAGGACGCCAGACTTAGCTTATTTGTTTAACTGTTTGTCTTTTTGGTTTTCCATCTTCCCTTTTTGGTGCACGAACCTGGTTCTGGATGGCCCTTCAAATTGGAGCCAACCCTTAGCCTCAAACCAGGAACAAGTTTTGCTTGTTTGGTATCCTGTCATGTGAAGTTCCTCTTTACATCTTCCACTCTCTTCCCTCTTTCAGTTCTATCATAATTCACCTCCCAACCGAGTTTTTGTTTTGTCTTCCTTGTTTTGTTTTGCGGACTGTGTGTGTGGAATGCGTTAGTGCGCGTGTTGTTCGAAGCTGATGGAGGAGAAAAAGTCGCAGGGCACAAGCCCCAAGCTTGACATGTGTTTTTCGTTTTCAAGGGACGCTACAGGAACAGTGTCAGAACATATGGCTATGATATTTATGAGGGAACCGCCTACAAATTGACAAAGTGACTGGTGGACATGAATCCCCACCTAAATGATGTCCACCAAAGGGGCCCTTATTGAAATTCAGAGCCATATGACATCCTGCGGTAATTACCCATGCAGGCGAAAATTGGTTCGGTTGTGGCGGTGGCTTATGCAACCTTTATAGAAGCTTTGTATTTGTACCCGCTTCATGCAGAAGCAAAGCACGCACCGCGTCAATTAGTGAGGGTGCTCACCGATTTGGCCCGAGTCATGAGGTCCTTCACGTGAATTGTGCACCAAACACTGGAAGCACTGGAATGCTCAACGGCTGCAAAATGAACCGCTTGAACCCTCCTTCTAAATTGGTAGGCTCCTCATGTTTGTGCCTTGTCCTTAGGCGAATTGAGCTCCTTGTGCATGCATTAGGGGCATTTGACAAATACACTCCTTTCTCCTATGATCTGAGTTTCGTTTGGCCACGAAAGCTCCCAGAAACTTCTTGGTGGTTTGGTTGGGATCTGAAGCCTTTGGTACAAATTGGGCAACATCAGAAGCCGGGCACTCTGGCCTTTTCTTGGCCGTTTTTTCTGGCCCCATGGTAAGAGCTTTTCGAGCAGAATCCCTTCTCTGGTTCCGGGAGAACCCGGGCAGATCTTTTTTTCTGACACTTTTTGGGAAGAGCATTTGGCTTGTTTGGGCCAATCCGCAGCAGGTAGTTGATAATTACTGCACTGTTCTTGGCATGCTGTTTTTTTCTTGTTACGTAGTTTCACTTGGGGTGCTTCCCACAGGAGGTCCTTCAAAGGCCATGGTTGACCATCAAACCAAGCGGAGTCTGTCCGACCCGCGCGATGGACAAACATGTGGTTCATAGAACCAGCCTTTGAGTAGCAAGCTAGACACCAGCAGTTGGGGCAGGACTGCTGGCGGATGTTTTTGAGCCTCGTTGTTTTTTGATTTTTGCCTCGAACTTCCACGAAACTCGCAGCGTGGATCGACCGCTTGACCCCACAAAAAAGGGATTTTGCCTGGCCCGACCTTTTGACATTCTGGCCGGGGGCGGTCGATGCCGCTTCTCGTGCCCTATCGGACAAGACCCGCGCGCGCTGCTGCGCTGCTCGACCCCAATTGGGGTACGACCCTGATGGACCCCAATTGGGTCTCAAGAAGTACAAAGCAAAAGGACAAAGCAAAAGGAAGATCAACAGGAGATCAAGAAACAAACAATCATTTGGTAATCATCTAAGATTGAATGTCCGTTTCATTATTTTTCTATATTATGTAATTCATTCACTAGCCAAACATGATGGTAGTCATAGAGGAATATAAATATAATATTTATAATCAAAGAATTTTTGGGAATGCGAGGTACATGAATATCAGTCCTTATGAGAGCATACATTTATTCACCAGGAATCATTAAATATACCTGCAGAAAGCCAGAGCCTGTATAATAGAAGCATTGCATTGCATGGCTTTCTTATGGTCTTTTTAGAAAAGCCTTGCTTGTTTGGAGGATTTGGACATTATTTTGTACATACTGTGGGGCAAAATCCTTCACCAGGTGGATGAAACGAATCCACGGAATCTTAGGATTGGAGGGACCAGACCCTGATTTTTCTCCCAACCGGCTTCGTGGAGCCTCTGGGGAGATGCCTAGATGACTTGGGGACTGTGCTGTTTGCCGTTCAAGTCTAAGAGAATCGCGGTTTCGCGGATCACCCTCTTTCCAACACAAGCGGCTGTTCTTGTGTTCCCGCAAAAGGAAAGTCGTCCGACTCCTAGCTACGATTGCGTTCTGAGCTCAGTTTTGACAGGGTCCAAGGGGACCACTGCCTGCGAAGTCGGGTAGGGTCAATGGAGTCCGCTTCCCAGGCCCTTGGCTTCGATCGAATCGAAGTGAGCGGTTCAGCTCTCGGACTCGGTTCTAAGGGTGGTTGTAGGCTCTGGGAAGCCTCACCCGGGTGTTGACCCCATTTGGTTTGGGCACGTGTCCGGGTATAAAACCGTAAAGCATGTTGGAGCATTTTGAAGCATTCTGGGTCATTTCCCAAGGGTGTTTTCCCAGGGTGTAATTCAACAACCCTCAGAAGCGCGCGCGACAATTCGACTACAGACCGATGGTCCGGGGCCAGCTCGTCCTGAGAAATGGTTCATGAGCTGACTTCCAGACCATAAGTAATTCTCGCGGGCGAGGGGCTCCAGAAAAGAGTGCCGGTATGGTGGTTACAAGCGCGACACGGAGCCCTGCGCCGTTGCAGCCACGTCCTTCTTCCGCGCCAATCTGCGCAGCGACTCTCCAGCAAATGAGGCATGCACAAATGAGGCGCGTTTGCCCCTGTTATCGTGGCTCCCGGGTTTCTTTTGAAGTGATCCACTTGGTCAGTCTCTTGAAGCTTGCTAGAATTTGCTTGGGGGAGATCGGCAGTCGTATGAATATGTAGGTGCGCGAAAGCATGTGACAATGCGAGACCAGCATCTTGCTCTGGTTTCCGAATTACCGCAGTAGGATGCGGTAGGCTCCTGCCTCCACCAGGTGTCACCGGAGAATTGCTTGCCGGATTTGCTGGCGCATGGTTACGCAACAAGAATTAAGTGGAAACAAATTCGTGTGCGAGCCTTACCAGCGGAAACGTGTTAGACGTTCCGGCAGGCAATAGGACAATCACGCTCGTTTGACGTTTCAGCAGTGCGCGGCATGGCTAGATAGGCGAGTCGAAGACACGGGAGAACCGACGATTGTTGCGGCGGTCTTTTGTGTTTATGAAAATCGACTGCCGCTTGCGCCATGAGTCGCCCTGACGACCGCCAGTTCACCCGCGTTCGAGGATTCAGAACATCTCTCGCTGTTTCTTGAGCGGGCATTTTGCCGAGAGCAAAAGTGACGAAAGGCCGTCCCAGTGCCTGCTTGGTTCGTCCCACCCAGCTGTCCCACCCGGTTTGGGAATGGACTTCGCGCGCACGCGGGTGTGTGTGTGTGTGGTGTGTGTGTGTGTGTGTGTGTGTGTGTGTGTGTGTGTGTGTGTGTGCTCGTGGTGTGTCGTATGTGTGTGTTTGTGTGTGCGCGTATGCGTATGTGTGTGTGTGTGTGTGTGTGTCGCAAACTTGGGAGAACCCTTCCCGCCAAAAAAAGAAGGAATGCTGGTTTTCTTGGTGGTTTCCCTTCAACCCGAAAACGTGTACCCTCAAATGAAGACACACAAGGGTAGTGCGTTGGTGCAGTGGTCAATTGCTGCGTTGGGAAATTGGTGTTGCGGTGAGGTCACAGCGTGGGTGTAGGTTCATTGAAGTACCTTGGTTTACGAGGATGCCGGTATGCTCCGATTTTCTGAAGATGCTAGGGGTTGATTCCCCCTGCTTCTCAACCATGGTCCTTTCACAAATCAGTTCTTTTCCCTGGTTTTTGGCGGGGGGTTTCCGGAAAGGACGATGTTTTGGCGAGAATGGGGAACTCACCAGACAACAAGTCTTCCGGACGCCAGGTGGGACACGTTCCGGAGCAGGCGGGCTCACTTTTAGAAGCACTTTTAGAAGCTCTTGCAACCAGTGAAGTTTGCAATCAGTGCTTTCTGATGGATTCTCCCCGAAGCCAAACCCAACACCCCAACCAACCCCGCACAGTTTATATTTGTGGATAGACTTATGAAATAGAGTTCTCACTTTTAGATCCTTCTTTTCGAATTCTTTCCATCTGCCCAGATGGGCCAAGTTTGCCCCGATTGGCGCATGATTCCGGCCGATGTCCATGGGGCCCTGAGTTTGTATCCAGATCCAACGATTTGGGGCCCGACCTAACTTGCCTTAGGCGCGTTGAGTTTCTCTTTGATGTGAGTCCTTTGGGTTGACTCTCCCGATTCAACGTGAGCAGTTTTCTTCAGGGCTGTGCAGCGGCAAGTCAGCACATGGAACCTCACGGGCCACCTTGCTCCCAGAAACCCCCTTGGCGGGAGACCCCGTTTTCGGGTTCAGCTGATGTTTTTTTTGGTTGTACGAGTACGAAAGGGCTTTGATCGAGATTTAAGGGTGGCTGCCCAATGAGGCACATGGACAGCACCCCCCGGTTGAAATTTGGAGCCGGCCACCCCCAGGAAACAGAAGCCATGGCGGCATTCATTTCGATGGTGTCCACCCCTCAACCACTACTTGCAGGGGGCCTTATGGACTGGGATATACAACCACGTGCTATGCAGCCCCCAAAATAAGATAAGTCTGCCATGGTTGTTTGTTTACCATCTAAATCACATTCGTGAATATCAACAGGACCAATAAATCAATTCAACCATTCTTTCCGCAATATCAGGGGTCATGTTTGTAAGGCAAGGCATTGGTCTTTCCAGCAAAAGCATCAGTCCAGAGTTTGCATTGTCTCTAAGCTGGTAGCAACGTCACATCTTAGACCAGCTGAGTCACATTCAATTTCTACACCCTGTTTTGAGCTTCAGGCTTTCAGCGAGTGAACACCGCCGATAGGGTCACAGGACCGTTTTGCTACTGAGGGCTGGAGCTCTCGGAGCTTTTGGCGTTCTGAGAACTCGAGGCAACTGCCCAGCTAGAAACCTCGCAAAAACAAAGAAAGCGGGTCAGACTGTTGAGAGGCAATCCGGAAAATCGTTCTCCGGGTGCAGGATACGGAGATTTCCCTCGTAAGGCTTGGGGCAGGTTTTGAAGCAACAACAACAGCAGCAGCAGCAGCAGCAACACCACCACCACCACCACCACCACCACCACCACCACCACCACCACAATCACTACCACCATCACTACCATCACCACTACCACCACCAGGTACTGTCACCTTAAGCCTGTGGAGCCCAAGACAGACTTGTTTTCATGGGAATTTTCCAGGCGGCTGCTTTGGACAGTGGCTCGCTCAGGGAGCCGGGGCCAATGGGGCTTCGTGGATGTTGGCCGTAACTTCCTTTTGGGTCGGGCCCCTTTTTGTTATTCCCTGAAACGGCCATCCAACGAAGGGCCACACCGCGCTGCGTCATGATTTGAAGCAACTTGAAACCAGTGGGATTCATCTACTTGCAGACCATCTGACCTAGTGATACCTCGTTTTTGTGCTCGGCTCTTCGAGTTTTAACCTGACGTGTTAGAAAATAGCACAGCTCGCATGACTGTTCCCAGCGGTAAATGGAAGTAAATCTTCAAGGGCTTCCAGCGGATCCGATTTCCCGGTGATTTGTCCGCGGCAAAGTTGGACGTAGCTTCGTAATTGCAAGGGTCTGAATCACTACGAACATGATCCTCTGACTTTATTCAGCTTTACGGCCACCCAAACCCGAAAAAAAACATATTTAGCCTCTAGTTTCCTTCTCAACTTGTCGCCTTTCTGCCCTTCATTCATGCGTTCATGCTCCTTGTAGGATACATTTGGGCCAGTCAAAGAGTCGCCGAATGCCAGCTGATTTAGAGGATGAATGCCAGCCCAGCTGATTCAACGGATCGCCTTGGATGTATCCTGCAAGGCACTCTGTGGGGTGATCTTCAAAAGGTACAGTCCCGTTTCCCTCGTCGAACCCCCGCGGGCTCTGCTCCCACTTAGCACATCTGAGCACGACCGGCCTGACGTGACGTGGCAGATGTCCACTCTGGCGCCTTTTCCACTTGACCCGTGGCACACCCTTGATATTGTCCGGGGGTTTCCCTTAAAATCAACGAAACAAAGATCGCGCCTTTCTTTTCCCATCGCCAAAAGTGGGGCTGACTCGCCCCAATTAGCACCACGAAAGTGAGATGCTTTCGAGGCTTTGCCTTCGGAGAGGCGGGGGTTTGGTGGTTGTCTCCAGATTTCATTTGTTGGTTCTGTGGATGGACAAAATCCTGCGCCGGTTGCAATGAAGCATGAAGAACCCCCTGTGAATTGTGGGCTAACCATGAGTAAGCCACGAACCAAAGTGGAGCAGGGAAAATGTGTCCGTCGGTATCACCGTTTTTGTGCTTTGATGAAATGGGATCAATGGGATCGATGCAGCTCACATTTTCTCTAGACGAAGGCAAGTGACCCCAACCCTCCGACCCCCCGGGGCCACGCAGGATGGGGTCAATGGTTGGGAGCCTTAGGGTTGGGTCAAGTACCCCTGGGGCCAGGTTTTGGAACCGGGCAAAACCCATGGCAGCATCTGGGATCAGACAATCTTGGCTTATTGGAGGGCTCCGGAGCTTTCTTGCCTTTGATCTTCATTGAGCTTCCCTTTTGACCGGCAAGGACAGAACTTCTTGAGGTTGGTTCAGGCCAAGGTTCGACTACCCATGAGCCTGGATTCCACTTGGCAGACTCACAAGATGTGTTTCCCCCAAGGTGGTCCGCAGTTTCGAGAAATGGGGTACGCCGCGTATCGTCAAACCTAGCGGGCATTATCAACCAAATTGAGTTACCTTGTTGGGGGGTTCCATTGGGAGCTTCAATGCTTTCGATCAACCAGCAGCCACCGTTCAATGTGAGGCTCAGCAACAGCAGCAGCCGCCGTTCAATGCGCAGGCTCAGCAACAGCAGCAATCCTTCCCGCAGCAAGGTTTGCAACAGCAGCAGCAGCCGCCGTTGAATGGGCAGGCTGCGCACAACCAGCAGCAATCATTTCCGCAGCAAGGTTTGCAACAGCAGCAGCCGATGTTCAATGGGCAGGCTGCGCACAACCAGCAGCAATCCTTCCCGCAGCAAGGTTTGCAACAGCAGCAGCAGCCGCCGTTGAATGGGCAGGCTGCGCACAACCAGCAGCAATCATTTCCGCAGCAAGGTTTGCAACAGCAGCAGCCGATGTTCAATGGGCAGGCTGCGCACAACCAGCAGCAATCCTTCCCGCAGCAAGGTTTGCAACAGCAGCAGCAGCCGCCGTTGAATGGGCAGGCTGCGCACAACCAGCAGCAATCATTTCCGCAGCAAGGTTTGCAACAGCAGCAGCCGATGTTCAATGGGCAGGCTGCGCACAACCAGCAGCAATCCTTCCCGCAGCAAGGTTTGCAACAGCAGCAGCAGCCGTTCAACGGGCAGGCTGCGCACAACCAGCAGCAATCATTCCCTCAGCACGGTTTGCAACAGCAGCAGCCGCCACTTAATGGGCAGCACCAATCATTCCCGCAGCAAGCTCAGCAGCAGCAGCAGCCGGCGTTTAATGCACAGTTTCCGCACAATTGGCAGCAAGCTTTCCCACAGCAAGGTCTTCAGCAGCAGCAGCAGCAGCAGCAGCCGCAGCATCAGCAGCAGCCGTTCAATGGGCACAACCAGCAGCAAGGATTCCCGCAGCATGGTATTCAGCAGCAACCGCCGTTCAATGGGCAGGCTCCGCCCAACCAGCAGCAAGGATTACCGCAGCAAAGTCTGCAACAGCAGCAGCCGCCATTCAATGCACAGTCTCCGCACAACCGGCAGCAAGCATTCCTGCAGCATGGTCAGAAGCAGCAGCAGCCACCGTTCAGTGCGCAGTCTCCGCAATACCAGCGGCAATCAGTCCCGCATCAAGCTCAGCAACAGCAGCAGCCGCCGTTTAATGGGCAGGCTCTGCCCAACCTGCAGCAAGCATTCCCGCTGCAAGCTCAGCAACAGCTGCAGCCGCCGTTGAATGCACAGTCCCCGCACAACCGGCAGCAAGCGATTCCACCGCAAGGTCTTCAACAGCAGCCGCCATTTCAAGAGCAGGCTCCACATAACCAGCAATCCGCTTTTCAAGGTCAGCAGTCGATCTACAGCAAGCCTCAGCAAAACCAGTATGCACAGCACGTGCAATGTCAGCGCCAATGCCCGCAAGCCCAGCAAATGCAGGGCCCAGGCTCAAAGGCCGAACGTCCAACTTCGAGGAAGGAGAGCCGCCTGACGGCACCCTCAGCTCGGAGTCCATCGGGTGGGCTTGTAGGTTTCTCCTTGGCTTTTGAAGCTCCGACCTCCAGCCTCGTGTCATGTTAAGACGAGGGATCCGCTTCGGTTCGGCTTCCCGGAGAGGGCCGATTGTCCCTCGGCTGAAATGGGAACACTGAGTACTTCGAAATGTTCAAGCATGGGTTTGGTCCTCGAATGAGGCAAACTAAGAACTCAAATGGGGCAAACATCTTCAAACCCGGGCTGTCAATCTTTTGAGTCCTCAAATTCCATCGGAGAGAGCGCAAGGATTTCTTTCAGCAAGACACATCAAGACTTGCCAAGAGCGAGGTCAAGGAATGGGACTCATGGAGAGACAGAGCAAGTAGAAAGAATAAGCAAATATGGGTGTGGCGCAAAAGTTAAGAGCCAGGTGACAGCAGGTTTCTGGTCTACTTTTCCGTTTCGGGGTTCCATGACTAATTTCCGCTCCAGGCTGCAACCTGTTGCAGGGCTTGGATGTGTGCTAGTGCAAAGGGAAGCCTTAGGTCTTGGCCCGAGCCGGTGGCTTCCATGGCTTCAACTTTCCAGGGTTCAGTTGCTCCCAGGGCCAGGGAGCCGATCAGCTCCCTACTTGGTGGTTCGGAGCGAGGTTGGGAGGTCAGGAGTGGGAAGTGCCCTGTTTGGCCTCGACTAGGTCCAGTAGTGCCCTGTCTCACCCCTTTTTCGGGGGAGGCTAAAATCGACTACAGAAAAAGGGTAATTACCCCTATTCTAACCTCTTACTGGAGCACCTAGTCTCCAAGACCCAGGAAAAAGTCGCATCACTCCAACCCACCGAGAGAAGGCCTACCGAAGGCCTGACCGAAGGCCGCCGGAGTGGTTCACCATCTTTGGTCCGAGGAGCTTCCCCCGGAGCTGGAGCGGATGCCCTGGCAGCCTTTGATGGATCCTTCGAGGCGAAAGGGAAAGAGGGGTTGATGCTTGGGCCATGAAAACCGATTCGGGTAGATGAAGGTTAGGGACAATCGCAACCGTAGATGGGTGCAGCCGGCTTACATTGTTCTGGGCAGACCATTTAAATTCTAGTACCGGGTTTTGAGTTTGGTCCACTTGGCGATTCGATCAGTTGGTGTGACCTCCAAGGCTTGCCACCAGCTGGTTGTCGAGGAAGGAGTCCCCAATTCAAGAATCATGGCTGGTCTTTGGTCCCAAGGTCAGACCTTTAGCCAGTTTGGGGGGAAGGGACCGGATTGAATCGTCTACCCTCCAATGGAAGCAGACGATCGCAAGGTTTTGGACAAGTTTCCTTTTGTGGAACCAGCCGATCGTCCGCTTCCATTGGACAAAGGGTAACGCACGTTCCGAACCAATCACCACGTAGTTCTGTCATCACATTGCTGACTGCCTGACTGTTTCAAACCTACTGCTGCCTGGATGCCCTCCAAAAAACAAGCAAAGATACCCTGAGCGAAAAAGAGGAAAGTCAAGCACACTTACACTTCCTCCCGCTTTCCGTTTGAACCGGGGCAGTTCCCAAACGATCATGTTTATCTTCAAGCTTCGGACCCTTCGATTTTCTATGCTCCCAATGGTTGGACACACCTCTGTGACTCTGTGAAGCTCGAAAGGATCATGGCTTATGTCAGGAAACACCAAGACCCTTTGGGCTCTTACGGCTTTCTTGCATCGACCTACGTATGGCAATAAGGGTTGCAGCCAGAGTTTCATAGAGGTCCCCGGAGAAAAAGCATCGAATCGTTGATGTCTTAAGGACAAACACCGGGAACCCTCAACTTCTAATCCCGAAATTGGCAGAGTAGATGGTGCCCAACTGTTGATTGATTCTGGTGAATACTTTTTTTTTTGTAGTATTTGTTTTCGCTTATGTCCAATCACGAAAGCGCGCCCTGTAGAAAATTAGCGAAGGGGGTCCAAAAGAACATCTAGTTTCGTTTTGGCTTCCCCCGATCAACGACTAAAAGGCGGCCCCAAAAAAAGAAATCTATTGTGCCCCAGCTTATTTTTACAGCAAATAGGTCTGACCTGGGCGATGAAGTTGTTTCCCCCCTGTTGGTTGTAAAGGGAATCGAGTTCACGCTCTTTTTAGGGGACGAACAGGCAAACGGAGAAAAATAATAATTCAAGGGGCTGAAGAAACTTAATTTAGACTTAGACGGTACCTCAAGCCCCCAGTCGGGTGTGTCTTTTCGAAACCTAAATTGTTGTTTTCCCTTTGAAATGTTCCACTAAAATCAACGAAAAACGGGTACAGTTAAAAAATGACACACCCATTTTTATTCTTTAGCCCCTATGAGTTCAGTGGGTGTACCCCAAAACTTCGGTGGAGTTGCTACCAAAACAACCTAAACCTGGGCCAGATTTAGATCCCTTCAACAAACATTGCAACCTGCTTTGAAAGGGCAGATTAAGCAATCCCAAAAAAGGCAAACAACCTATAACCATGTCGATTGAGTGAGAAATAACATGTTTGTTTTAAACAAATAAAAACAAACATAATTAAAACAAAACAAACATATATATATATATATATATTAAAAACATAAAATTAAAAAAAAAAAAAAAAAAAAAAAAAAAAAAAAAACAAGGTTTTCTGGCAATAAGTCTTTGTGTGTGTGTGTGCCGGGACAGGTGGCCAAAAGGTTTCGGTTAAGTCTGCCATGTCCCCTCCAAGTGCCGCCTCAACGCGACGGTCAGGTGGAGCTCGGGCGACGCTCGGAGCGGTTGAGCTCGTCCGGCGTTTCTGTTCGTTCCTCTTGGATCAAAAATGACTCACTTTAAGCTGGCCCCCGAGGTGATGTTTTTCAGCCAACCCAAAGGGGAAACACGGGGAGACCTAAAAGCCCTTGTGATTCGTAGCATGATAATTTCCTCTTCCTAGAAAGCCCTATGAGCAAGGGTCAATATTTGTCATCTGCAGCACAGGGGATGACTCGGCGCACATTCACGGAAATACCCTTAGGAAGTGGAGGCTTCTTTTTTCGCGCAAAGGCCCCAACCCCCGCCAATGGGATTCCGACTTTCAGTGATGGGCTGGGTAATAGGTTTAGAGTTGGTTTTAGAGAATCACCCAACATGGTGCGGTTTATAGCCATTGATTTTGGGGTAGGTCCGTTTCAGATATGTGCAGGTAGGAACTTAGCAAAAGGCTAGGCTGCGATTTGAGGTCTGCTTTAATGGCCAAATTGGGTGTTCAACCTGGCAAGTCTGAGCGTTCCCACATGTTTTTCCGCATAGTTCCCGCAGTGATCTACAGATGGAATCGCTCAGTGGTTCGGGTTTCAAAGCCTTTGTCTGATTTCATCCTGAACTTTTCACCTCCTGCCTTGCACACTCTTCGTGCTCTGTCCCACGCTTTGGATAAATCTCGGCCTGTGAGTCAGCCATGATTTGACCATGCGATTGCCGCTGTGGGAATAACACATATGTTCCAGTTGAAGCCATGCAGATGTTCAATGGAATCCGGAGCCTGGCCAGCTTCTTTTGATGCATGGGTTATCAAAGTCAAATCCCGGGCCAACAAAAAGGGCCGCCTTTTTCTCAGAGAATTATTCGAGTAAGCCAGCCAAAGATAGGCCTGTTGTTAGTGAGTGGAACACAACCACTACCCATTTGAGGGAAACCACTGAACCAGCACCTTTTGTAAACCGCTGACTCTCGCTTTCAAACCATCGAGCACTATTTCGATAGCCATGCATGGTTCCTCGTTTTTGAAACCAGCTGCCCTTGTCGGAATTTCCTTTTCAGGGAAGCCAAAAAGAAATCCGCCTGTGTGTTTTTGGTAAAACCTATACTGTGCCACAAGCCATTCGCAAACAAACTGGGCGGCGGACATGAGTTTCCTTTTTCCCCATGGTGTTCACGGCCTGCAAGGGAGAAAGGTTCGTGTGAACTCCTTGTGCGGCAGCCTTGAACCTTGTGGATGGCGAGATCAAATCGTTGGTAGGAAGTAAAGTAAGCAAAGGGGGGTTAAGGGAGGGTACTTTTACAGGCGAGCCCATTCTGGCTTAACCCCCTGACAAAGGGGGTTACCCCCTATACTATTCCAGCGTTGGGTCCGCCCCTTTCCCTTTTTGCCCCATGAAGGAGACCAACATGCAAAACTGGCCCTGTGGATATGGCTGGTCTTGGGTGTGACCTTCTGGGCACTTCGGTGGCTGCTTTCCCAGAACAAAACACCGTTGGTGAAGGAATCTTTATGGGAATAGCAACCTAGGGGACCCGAGGGCCTATACCTTCCCATACCTTCCCTATGGCGAAGCGGTTCTCTTTGCTCACGGGAAACCCACTTCTGGTTTGTAAGTCGAGTGGAGTTTACCCTCTCCAAAGAACCTGACTGAGGCTTGGAACACGATGTTCCTTTGGAAGGCACCCTTCGGGTTCCATGTGGACAGGAGGGTCCCCGTTTCCCGAAGCTTGGTTGCCACGGGAAACCCACCTATGGTTGTCGCAGTGCGAAGTTCAATTCCCGGACCGAACCCAGAAATGGACAATTTCCAATTCCTAAACTGGTTGGTTGATTAATACGGGGTCAACATTAAAGGGAAACCCAACCACGAAAACCAAAAAGGATCCAACAAGCTAAGGGACCGCATGGCTGGGCGCCACCAGGCCCCTTTGAATCAACTAGCTGCGCCGACCATTGCCACTGCTGTGGGAGAAGCGGTCTGAAGTTCTGAAGTTCGAGAGATTCGAAGTTCGGACTGAAGGCGAGGACTTCTGCCTCCTCTCCTCCAAGAAGCTCCCGGCCAAGGCCTATGCAGCCTTAAAGTCCTTGCCAGGTGCCAAGGCGCGGCGGCGACGGCAAGAGCACGCAGCCATACGGCACCGATTTTTGTTGCGTCCCCCCGTGTTGCATGGGCGGTGCCTGAGTTTTGAGGAGACACGTATTTTTGGGTTGGTTGTCACTGTTCCAGTCTTGGTTTAAAGGGACAAGAGAAAACACGCAACCTCCCGAAGGGGTTAACATGGCAAACCACGAGGAGAGCCTTGTTTTGAGACACATCCACACAAGTATGAATGCATGCATACCAACATATATATATATATATGTATTACACATAATTGTTAAACTTGGAGCAACTGTTCACGTTTGTACCGGAGGTGCAAACCTGTGTGTGTGTGTGTGTGTGTGTGTCAGCGCGGCAAGCATTGTACTACTTTGCAATGATGTTGGCTCAAGGCTTTGGGCAGCGGATGCAGCCAAAGCTGTACAGTAAAGGGAAACATGTTGTAACTTAACACGCTGCTGTGCACATCATCCGATCATCCTAATGTTTCAAAAAAGGAGGCTGCAACTGTGACTCACCAGAATGTCAGTAGAGTTTGCTAGAAAGATCTACAGATTGATCTGGGAAGCGTGTAGGGCAACAGCACGTGGCTGAGCAACGTTTCGGGGACCTGGGCAAATCATCCGGATGTCACGTTTCAGGGGGCAGGGGCGACATCAGGAGGAAGGTGTCTTGTATGGGATCCCTTATTATCGCGAATCACTTGCGCATGGAACCGAAGAATCGGTTGAGGAATCTCCCTTTGCGTGCTTGTCCTTTGCTTTTGACCGAAATATCCTTTTAACCTTTGAAGCATGAATATCTGATCTTGTCAGCCAAGACAATTTTGGGGTGTCGAAGCGGCTGAAACCCAAACCATAATCATGAGATGGGCGTCAAGCCCAAAACTGTTTGCTTTTCTTTAGTTGGCATCCATTTAAACCAAGCAGAAAAATGGTGCCCTCACCAAACTCACACCCGTATTGGGAGCCCAGTTAGACTTTGGGGTCTTGGGTTGGGAGACCAAACTTGGACAGAACGAGTCGAAGAAGCTCAAGTTCCACAGCGGCAAGTAGCTTGGAAGAAATCGGTTGGCCGGCTTGCAAGTCGTGCTACTTGGGTCTGCAGGGTTGGGCAATTTGGTTTTAACAACTCAATGCTGGTTGCCTTTTACTGGAGAACACAAGGTGGTTGTTTAAGGAATGGTGGTGTTAGCATGTAACAAGGTGTGGCAAGAATTGTTCAAACAGGCCCTGGTCGCCTTTAAAGGCTAAGGGCAGCGAAAAGGAGGTTGAGCACAATCCTGGGTAAACACCCTGGTTGACTTCAGACAACAAACGAGGTTTGCAACGAAAGAGTAGCTGGGCTGACTCAAGTAATGTGGACCCTGTAATAGTGAACCTGGTGGATCAATATGGGAAGGTTTCCTCCAGAAGGATTCCCTGCAATGTAAGACACCCAATGAATCAACAAGGGGTTGATGATTTCCTGTGTTTACATTAGTTCCTTCCTGTGAACATCAGGAAGGGGTATTCTTTTTGGGCTCGAACGCAACCTTGTTGGCTGCTGTAAGTGGATTTTCTTTTGGTTGGGGGCAATGTTCACAAGGGACAAATACATGGGTGTTTCGGGCACTTGTGGCTTCTGTTTACACCCAAGGCGCCATTTTGAGAGACAGCATAGGGAACCCTGTCTCATTGGGATCTCCTGGCCGGGCCATGTACTTCCAATGGGATGCGGAGCCCATTCCGAGACGTCTTATCCCAAGGGGCCCCGTACCTGGCTGAAAACGGATCACAGTACGTAGGCCTATAGTAGCAGAACCAAACTTCAATGGGTTTGGGTTGCTGCTCAATTTAGATGGAGCTCCTGAACGGTAGCCCACGGTTATATTAACCCGGTGGTTTTTGCTAGGGATTGGACAGTAAGGAATTCCAACCATGATCTGGCTTCCCACTGTACAGAGAGGAGCCCATTGGGCCGCAATGCGTGTTCCAAGGGCTCCCTTCAGGCTTCAGAGTGGACATTTCTCCTTGAGCCATCAAGTGATCCTCTCTGACATTTTGTGCCAGTCGCAAATTTGGGCCCTCTTGTTTTGGACAACCCTCACTGTTCCTGAAGAACCACCAAAAACAGGAAATTTTGGACGCCCATTGGGCCATTCTTGCAGCGCTTCCCATCCAGCCATTGGCCTTCCTCCTTGGTTTACCTTCTAAATACACCAAGGAGTCTTCATTGTTATTGGCATGTGTGTTTTTGCTGGTTCTGTTGATTGTTCGTGGCCGGCAAACAGAAGTTTTGTGAACCACAGGGTTTCGGAATGAGACATAAAACAAATCCGGGGTTCGTGCTTGCCACCATCTATATTCCTGGTCCGCTTGAAATCAGAAGGAACGTGAATCCACTTTTGAATTCTGTTTGACAGGGTCCTTTGAAGGTATGCCTTGCCAATGAGTGCGGTGGCCACAGCCATTTTTGTGGGTTTGGGGCAGTTTCATCCGAGGCTCCGATTATGCCACAACTGCCCTCGGTGTCGGACTTTTCGTACTCGGACAGCGCTTCGTTTGGAGGTACAGCCAGGTTTTGCAGCGGCTCAGGGAGCTCTGCGGAGCGCACAAGTTGCAGGCGCCGCCCAACTGGGTGTTGGCGACTTTGCCCAAGTTCCGTCACCTGGCCAAACTTCGTCGGGCGGTGGGTTGCCGATCTCGTTGCGGCCGGTAGGTGTCTTCGTTTTGTTGGTTGTTTAGTTAAGTTGCACTGCAAGCTGTTTCCTGGTGAGCTGATTGTTGTCTTGGTTCAGGTGCTAGCAAGTTTGAAGTTTTTTCCTGGGCAGTCAACTTGGCAGGTCAAATGGGATTGCCAAAACAAGCTGGTTGTCGTCCCCCCGAAATGAGAGTCCCCAAATCCGTGTGTCCTGAGCCCCTTGGACCTTCTGTAAATGACGTTTCCATTAGTACACAAGGTCTAACGACCTTTTAGCGCCGAATATTTGCCTCTAGCAACCAACCTTGGTGTTCTCTCCTTAGGGGGATGACAGAGTGTTCAACGTGCATTCCCTTCCTTGGTCGCTTTGTGATGTCACCAGTTCTCCACACTCTGAAAACAGTACGAGCTCGCAGGTGAAGGTCCCTTACTTGGAGCTTATTTCAGAAATTCCAACTAGTAGGAATTTTGCAGAACCATAAGAGCTACGCAGGCAGGGCAATTTTGTAGTTGGATTGAGGTGGCGTTGGCCAGAGGTATCGCCGCGTTCTCGCTTTATCCCCATGCCTGCTCATTTAGTTGCTTTTCGACTGCTTTCCATTGTTTTTTTGGTCAATGCTGGAATAGTGATAGAAACCTTCCCCTGACGCCAGGCCCATAGAAAACATAACGCCACACTTGGTGGAGAGTGATCCTTTTCGAATCTGTTGAAAGGGAAGCCAAACGAAACACACCCGGTTCCGGGGTTTCCGTTCCGATGGCTTTGAACATCGTTAATAAGTAATTGTCCCTGAAGGGTCTCCCTTTAAAACCGCCGAGAAGGTACCCGCGCACAGCCAGCCGCGATTTCCAAACGCCCGAGAACTGGACGGAATGCCCGGTTCGCGGGGCCATGAATCTTGGGGCCACCTGAGAAGTGGTGGACATGAATCCCCAAGTGACATGCTAACCACCTGGTCAAAAACCCGAGCCACCCTGGAGCTTTTAAGCAATTTAGGGGCAGATGCGTGCGGTCTGGGCGGTCTTGTTGGAAAAGGCAAGCAATAGGGCCGCGGCCATATGGAAAAACAAACTGAGGCCAGCACGGGCGAGTTCAGATCTCCAAGAAGGCCCCCTGGATCTTGCGGTCGAGGTTCAGTCGTCCCATACCCAGACCTCCGATTTCCGGTTGCGAGCCCCCTCCGACTCTTTGTTTTGGAGGGGTATAAACCCTTTGCACTCAACGATAAACAACGTGCTGATGTGCTTGTCCTATGGCCACCTGGGGTCTTGCATGGTTTGTTCAGCCGCCCTTTCAAAATGAACAGAAAACACAACTGAAAAGCTAAAACACATGCAAGAACGGCCCAGAGGGTGATTCCCCATTTGGCAAGGGAATGATCTATTTTAGGCGGTCCTTTGACCAGAAGGGTCCTCCGGATTAGTACTCCAGAAGGTGTCTGCCAAGCTTCTTGGATAGTTCCATTTGCTTCTGGTGATCGGTGACTGTGTTGTTGTTCCCTGTTGCTCTGTTAGCATCTTCATGACTGCGAAGTACTGTTATCATGGGATTAATCCAGAGGACCAACTTAATCAGAAAACCTCGCAATTGAATTAATTCCTCACGGAAGGGGAGGTGCTATCCTCCCAGTCCAAAGTTCATGCTGGCAAATAGCTGCACGAACCCTGGTTTATCTTTTGAAGGAGCTCCCTGTACAACAATCAACAACGCAAGGGCAACTAAATGCCAGGGGCGCCTAGCAAGGAGTGCCTGTTGAGGGCCGCACCGGCAAGGCCCAAATCACCAGGAAATGCGGAAGTAGCCTTACCAAAGTCCGTTAGCTGTTGCGGACGCAATGAAACAATGGCCGATGCAAAATTCGGTCCCAACCAACCAGCCAGCCAGCCAGCCAACCAACCAACCAATCAGCCAATCAGGCAATCAGCCATCCAGATGCCAACCAACCAACCAACCAATATGTCCGGTCCATGATCGGTTTGAGCTTTGGGTAACCTTAGTAAGCCTTAGTATTTGTTGACTGTGGGGACCGCAGGCAATTCCAGCCAAGCGAGCCTTGTGACCTTATCATGGTTGCCACTTCCGGACAAAGTATGTTTATGCACAAAGCAGCTACACACACAGGATGGACTCTTCACCACACAGAATAGGCACACATATGCATGTTTGCATGGCATACGTTACATCCATACGTACACGCATTATTTCATGCGTGCGTACCTACATACTTAAACGGACAGACGTACATTATACATGTATGTGCATTATAATGTGTATATGTGTTGTGTGCATATGTGCATACCTAGGGGGGGGTTCTCCAAATGGTGGATCCACCCAAAGGGGTTGGTAGTATGGAAGCCAAAATGGAAGCCGTAGCTGCGTGAGGGAACCTCTTTGGGAAACACCCACATGTGCACTGTTCTTGCTGGTGCGATAGGTAGGGAACGACCTTCAGGGTGTCGGGAATGATCCGGTTTTGGGGATTCCCTTGAAGGAAATCATAGGGGATGGTTTATCTCGGGGTCATTCAAATTCTCCATCTTGCTTTTGTTGGGAACATGAGTTCGATCACACATAAACACCTTTCGGATGTGCACATAATGTTGACCCCGGATTAATCAACCCCTGTTTATCAATATGGGGGTGTTCCCTCCAAAAGTGATAAATCCCCACTAAAACCGGAGATGGACACCCCCATATCAATAAACTGGGGTTGATTCATCCGGGGTCAACAATTCAAATAGTCCATCTTGCTCCGGGTTCGACAAATGGACCCCTTTCGGATGCGCACATTGTTGACAGCGGATTAAGCAACCCCTGTTTATTAATATTTGGAGGGTGTTCTCCTCCAAAAGTGAATCAATCCCCACTTAAAACCGGGGACACCCCCATATGAATAAACAGGGGTGGATTAATCGGCGTCAACATTGCTTGGTGGCTCCCAGCCATCCCCTTTGCCTTTTAGCCTTTTAGCCTTTTAGTGTTTAGTGGTAGTTTCTATTTAACCCACTAAAAGTTAAACTTTTGGCAGCGGATCTGAGGGCAGCCCAGATATGGGTTCGATCACACATGGACCCCTTTCGGATGCGCACATAATGTTGACTCCGGATTAAATGGGTGTGTCCACTTCCGGTTTTAGTGGGGAATCAGACCACTTTTGGAGGGGTTTTCTGTGATTTCCTTGAAGGGAATGTCCCAAAAGCGGATCATTCCCTGAGACGCAACGCATTGGAACTTCGAGGTGGCGCACGTGTTGCTGGCGGACTTCCAGGCGCCGCTTCTGCCGGCGGATGCGCAGAGCCGCGAGGGGAGCAAGGCAAGGCGTTTTTTTTGCGCCCAAAAGCCGAGTCCTTCAAGGGTGGGTGGGGTGGGTGGGGTGGGGTGGGTGGGTGGGGTGGGTGGGGTGGGTGTTAGTAATGTTCTAGGGGTCACTGCCATTTCCATTCTCCAGGGATCCGAATCTTTCTAGAACCAAAAACCCTGGGGAAATGGCTGGTTGAAAAGAACGATGGCTGAAAAGAATGGGGAATCAAGCCCTAGAAATGTCAACTACCCTCCCGCCAATGGAACCTGACAGGGGGTCCCTTTAGGAACATGGTCTTCCCGGACCCCCCTGTCAGGTTCCATGTTAATTGATGGGAGGGTACTAGTCACAGCAACCCACTAAAAGAGAGGAATGCCTGACTTTAATGGAACCCTGACTAGTACGGTTCCAAGCTAGCATTAGGCCTAGTCTTGTGGTAAAAGGTGCCTGAGGGGCCAACTTGTGGTTTCTCAAAAGTTTTTCTCAAAGGTACCCCCCCAAAAAAAAGAGAAAGAAGGTTGGTTTCTTGTCAGTTCTTCAAACAACTCTAAAAGGGGGCACCTGAGGGGCCATCGTTGTAGGTGGTCGTGAAAGGGAAGGCCTAGAACTTTCGGTGATGCATTTCAAAAGTTCAATCCCCTTCGGAAAGATCTTGGCACTTCAACGGTGCCCATTTCATGTCCCCAAGCAAATCATACACGACTGGGGCCTAGAAGGAATGGCTTTCGCCGGCCCCTCTGGACACACGGTTGAGCACTGCACAAGTTAACGCAAACAAGCACCTTTCATTGGGGTTTGAAGGGAAATAACGGCAAACTTACCGTGGATTTTGGGGGGATCCGGGATCCTCTTCCAACTGGTCCAATTCTCATTTCGTGATATCCATGCGGATTGGTTCTGAGAACCACTCATCACCAAGGAGTGTCAGAAAACACACGATGGTCCCATTGGGTTAAGCAACCGTGAGTGCTCCGTACAGATTAGAATCAAACCGCAGAAGCGGGTCTCCAGAGATTCCTGGGTTCCACGTTCAGCAGTCCAAAAGAGTTATGTGGGAGCTGCTTGTACCAAGACGTCATGCTAAGAGAGCATTTTGCTGCACTTAAGTTCTTGCTTGGACTCGATGCTTTTGCGGACTATATAGTCGTAAGCAAAAAGTCTAGACTTGAGTTGGCTCCGCTCAGGCAGCGAGTGGCAGAAGGAATCCCCGTTTTTTTCCTCAACAGCGACCACTATTGAGGTTGATCTTCTTGTGGAGCCGCCACAAGGGGGGCGACAGGATCCTTTTTTGGCTTCTCTTGATACCAACCTCACAGAAGCTGAGCGAGGGTCAATATTTGAGGACTGTGGCGACATCGTAGGAATCCTGCGGCGCCAAACACAGGAGTTTAAGTTTCAGTCCGTTTTGCTAGGCTGCAAGTCCCAAGCTTTGGTCCTTTCTATCGGCATGTAACTCGAAGGTACAATGAACGCCCAAAACCAGGTGTCATCCTTGAGCACGGCACGGCTTTCAAAGGGGCCATTCCCCAGAAGCCATCATTGCATGCAGAGCGAACTGGCAAGGAAAGAGTTCCAGCGAGCTTTGAGCTGCACCAGAGATCAGGGCTCGATTATTAGCTTGGTTGCAACGCCGTAAAATAGGCCAAGGCCACGTATTGACATCATAGAACATGCGTCTTAACGTGGGCCATCTTCAGTCATGCTCGGTCTGGGCATGTAACGAGGACCTGGGCTCGCTAAGCCTGGATCAGAATCACTCAGTGATGTTTGAATAAACTTGAATCCCAGAATCGACCTCAGAATCAACATCGGAATCAACATCGGAATGATAATAAACTTGAGAATCAGCCATTTTCTCGGCGATGCGGTATTTATGGTACTTATTGCTGACGGCTTCTGAGTGCGCGAGGGGCGTTGGGCGGAGTCCCACCCGCCTTCGGAGGTATTCCGCATGCGTAGGTCCGAGATGGTCCTAACCAACCTACATGGCTGTGGCGGTCAAAACCCATACCATTTTGGGATAGGTGAATTCACCACCCATTTTAGAACCTATTTTAGTGGGGATTGGGATGTTTACTGGGGGTACGATTTGGATTTTGACCCATGGCCACATGTCTGCAATCAGACCAATTTGCAGCACATCGCTGCACATCGACGTTTTTGTAATGCAGTCATAGTTGTGGAGATGCAGACACAGCATGTTGTTCCAAACAAGCCCTTCCAAGTCCTTCCAAGCTGCGCGCAAGCAGAGGCCAGGCGTTTTGCTACGCTGACGTAGTAAGTGGGGAAAGCACTCTGTGGCGTGGGCCGCGGAGGTGCTGCCAATTGTACGGTCCAGAAAGTAGGCAAGGGCAGAATTGGCCTCATGCCTGAGCATGGCAAGCCTGCGCTTGCGTCCCATGGCTTTGCCTATGACGCGACAGCGCTGCCGTGGCACCTTCGAGTTGCGCAAAATGACACGCATCGCCATCTGTTATGCAGTAATGCACGGCCGTGCAGTAGGTAGTACGCGCAGCTGTGTGAAGCGCCACCTTGTCAGTAACTATAATGGCCAGTAGTGAGGCTGCTTGCAGCTTTGGCAAGGAGTTGTACACGCAAAGGAAAAGGCTTACGTGATTCCGCGCCGACGCAGGGAAGATCCGCCAGAGCTGCAGCGAATCACTGACAAGCTTGAACTTGGAGACAACATTTCTCATCAGGATAGAAAGCTACAAGGAACCCCAAAAGGCTACGAGGATCCCAATGCAGCGCCTTCACGCGAAAAGAAGGAACCGCAACACGGGGGTTTCCATAGCGCAAGTCCTAACGAGCTCCCAAACATCAGCTGACCCAGGTGCATCATATAGATCTGGGACGAGTTTTGTTTTTGACGCAGTATTCAATATATCAGAGCCAACCAGCAAATTGGAGTATAATCAACGGTATGGATCAGAATTCCCCATTAGGTTGAGGTAAAAACTGCATAGCTTCAGTGCACGAAACAATGTGTTGCCAAGCGGCGTCGCGGCGCCGCAGGTGCTGCCTTACCAAAGGGAAGCAGCCGCTCGACTCGAACAAAACGCTTTTTGGGGCCTCTCAACCCCATGTCCTTCACCCAGCTCTGGGTGGCTGTAAACGCTACCAGAAATTGGTGCCGATTATTTTTCCACGGAAACCCAATGCGGGTTTGCATGGCCGCTGGGTGGTTTGAAAGCAGTCCCAGCCAAAGGTACTCATATTTCTGATGTTGTAAGGATCACGCACACACACTGCAGTGACATGGCCATTCAAAATAAATGCACACTGGTCATTGAAGAGCATGTGGAGAGCCCCACGTTGCCATGAGAACACAGGAGCGAATCCTTTAATATGCCAACAAATATGCATACGGCTGGTTGACAGTAAACGGCACAATTACTCGACCATCTTGGTTAGTTATCCCTTTTGCCTGCCAAGGGAGCTGTGCCATCTGCTTTCACGCTAGTTTCTAGTCCCGTTTTCTCTTGGGAAATAGACAAATAAAGAAACTCCCCTCTTTTTGAGGCGGGCCCAATGCCTCACCAGGCCGGGGCCTGGGGAATTGACAATCAACAGATAAGGGGTTAGGGACAATCGCCTGGTTTAAAGGCGGTTTCAATACCCGGATGGGGTCAGCAAAACCCAAAGGGCTTGCAAAAAGGTATGTGGTCATGACATTTAATAGAGGAAATTCCCTCCCAAATGGTCGGTAAATACCCACCCAAATGATGTCAACCAAGGGCCCCTAGTACAACCTTACACCCAAATTGTTTGAGAAAGCCATTTTGGTGGCCAAAACGCCTTGGTATGCACGAGGGGTATGTACAAACACCCTCAAATGGGTTTCGTTCGCGGCTCAGGTGGACTTTGCACTGCGCCGGGGCGGGCGGGTGCTGCTGGGCGACGAGATGGGCTTGGGGAAGACTGCACAGGAAGGGGCTTTCGATTCGAAGCCTCAGAAGTGTGGGAATTCTACAGGAAGTTAGCCCAAACCTTGGAGTTTGGTGGGTGTTTGCGTAAGTTCCTGTAGAACTTCCTGGGGTTCGGTTCTCAATTACAAAGGCCGCGTGAAGGCGGACCTGCTGAGAGTGTCTTTTTGTTGAGGCTCGGTTGCCTCATGTTCCCCCTCATTTTGATACATAAAGAACCCTGCTGTGTCCTTCGACATGCACATGCTTCGGGTTTTGATCTCACTATCTTTGAGTGCGTTTTCATCGAAACCACGATTTGGAGGGCGATTTGGAGGGATCTGGGTATCATGTTCCACAGACGTGCGGATGCAGGTTCAGCCTCATGTGCGTGTTCTTGGTGTGTTGTGATTCACGGCGTTTTGGAATGTCCGCTTTTGTCATGGTGGTTGTTGGGAAGCATTTCACGTTTTTGCTAATTGTGGTCTAGTGGTTGAAATCCAAATCCACTGAACCGCTAACATTCGAAGATGTTTGCTCCCCAAACCCAACGTCAACCGAGGATGGCGGAGCCTAGGAAGGCCACGAAATTCGGAGGATGGTGACGGAGCCAAATGGGCAACAGATGAGCCACGGGACATTTGGTGAATTGGTGGTGTGGGGTAAAAAGAGCGGGTCATGACTCGCAGGTATTCCTCATTCGATTCGCTCAAAATTGGTCATTTGACACCCTCTTGCTAGGAGAACCACTACTGTTCGTAATTTCGCATCTGAATCGCTGATTGGGCGGCCGAACAAGCCCATGGAAGTTCTCAGATATCCCCACCTCCCTCTCCCCGCCCCAACAAAACAGAAATAAAGCCAACAAGGGGCTGCCCTCAAAAAGTGCAAACCCCTTTCTAGGTCCTTTGAGCAAGTGAGCTTCTGTCATGTTGGCATCCAGTTGAACGTTCTTGAGTGTCCAGTTTGAACAAGTTTGGTTGCTTTAATTTGTCTGACAAACAAACGATTCGCCACTAGCAAACACTGCAACGTTTGAAGGGGTCAGCTTGACCAATCAACGAATCAGTGGCATGTGTTCCAAGTTCTGTTTCTCAGATCCTTGTTTTGTGTTTGTCAGAAGGCTGTCCCTTCCCATCTGGAGTTCGGTTTCGAAGTCGAAGTTAGCTGGTGGACATAAGTTCCCGGGGGCTGTACCTTCAACAAATCAAGTTTGGTGCTTACTATAACGTCATTGCCGTCATGATCATGATCACGTCTCTTTTTTTTTGGGCACACAGGGCATGTTTCATGGCAGCCTGTTCACTCGGTTGCTTGGCCAGGATGGATCTTTGGTGCTTGCCCGGGCGAAGTTGGCCCAGAAGGGTTTTTTCAACGGGTGTGGGATGCAGGTGGGTTCCCACTGGGGTGGCCTCTCCTTTTGATAGTCATGTGGGTTTTTTATGGGTACAGTTGCCATTCCCACGGTGGTCGAACGAAAAATCAGCTTCCCTCTAAGTGGACTTTTGGATCTGTGGTTTAAAAGTTGGGGGGGAGTTTCCCTTTTCCCATGTACCCTCAGGGGTTCAAACCCCAGCACACCAATCCAAACCACAAATTAAGGGCAACCTGATCATCACAAACAGGATGTTCTCCAGGTCCGTTTTTTTGTCGAGACTCATGCTGCCACTGGTGCAGGCGCTGACTCTGGCAGCACAGTTTCCATTGGACTTTCCAATGCTCGTGGTGACTTGGCGGGAGCAACGGAGAAGGGGCGTCCCCGTTTCATAGCCAGATCAAAGGCTTACCCTTTCAATGTGTTTTTGCAATTTTGGTGTTCCAAGGCTTTACCTTTCACCCAGCAACAAGTGTTCCGGGCCGACTTAGTGCGGCAAAGTTCAATCCTGGCCAAGCAACCGGTGGATTGTCAGGATACGACAGCCCAGGTTGTCGTTGAGCAGGCGGTTGGCGTTTTCATGCCCCGTGTCATGCCCTAACAAACAGTGATCATGATAATGAATACGGCAAGGAATGTTGCAGAAAGCACCAAGTTTGATATTGTGAACGTACAGCCCCCAAATTATGTCCAGGACCTCCAACTAGATTGCATACGCATTTTGACCATCGGAGCCAGTCAATGCCGAATGTCAACCACAGAAAGCAGGTTTTCCTTTCTCCATCAGCGAAAACTGTGTAAGAAATCGGTTGGTCGAGACTCAGAGGAACTTAATCTCTGAAGGTGTGTGTTTGACAGGGCTTGCATATTCCACTCCGTCTAAAATTCTGAGCAATTTCTTACCCTTGTCTTGATTTGGCAGGTTGTCATGTTGCCTTGCATATCCCACTGAAGCAGCTTCAGCTTCTGAACCAGTTCCGTCGGTAGCGCCAGCCGATGTAGACGAAAAGGCCGATAAAAACTGAGCCCCCGAATTTCTTAGCGAAAAGCCCCACGTCCCTTTGCACGGGGCATGCTTGTGAATAGCTTGTGAATCCACTATAGAGGTAGCCAGTAGTGTATACTTCACATTCCTTGCCACACGCAAAGTGTGAACTTGTTTTACGATTTGGATTTTGACCCATGGCCATATGTGAGTTGTTCCTTCTCCGATATCAAGGTGTGTCCCTCCTCCCTGCGGGGGAATTGGCGGGAAGAAGCTGCCCGCTGGCTGCCGCACGACCTGCTGCCTGACCCGGAGCGGGCGTCGGTCGCTTCATTTGTTCATGGTTGCTCGGTTTGTTTCCCTGGTTACCCTGTTTTTGCCCGCTATTACAAAATGGACCCTCTAGACTCTAAATTTGTTTGGTTTCATTCTGGTTTGACCCAGGTGGCATTTTGACAGTTTGGGAAAGGTTTCCCACCTGGCAAAAGTAAAGCATGCTTGGAGCGAGTTCCGGCATCCCGGGTTGGATACGAACGGCTTTCCCGCGCAAAGCGGATGAGTTTGGTTCGTCCGTCATGATCGCAGAGAGTTCGTGCGGGCGACTACATAATGAACTCCCATCAACCGGACGCACTGCTCCCAGCAGGATTGGGCCAAACTAGCAAAATTAAAATCATTCACAACCTGGCCCCCCTTTCAACGGCAAACAACATTGTTGCCCAATGAGGGTACCCTGAAAACAGACATTCCCGTACCTCACTTTCCGAGTTGCTGGTTTTAAAGATAAGCTCAGGTGATATCCCCAACAGCATGCGGTGCTCTTTTTAGTGCTGGCACCTCCCCGCAGCCGTCGCTGAACCTCGTGGAACCCTCGATGGAACCCTGGTGGAACCCTGGTGGAACCTTACCTCAGGGCCACCCCGGAGCCTATCCGGGCTGAGACCCCAAAGGCTTTCAGCTGGGGAACAATCAGCTTGGACTTTTTTTGCACATCCGCCGGAGCGAGAATGATGGATTTTTTGGCCAGAAGGGGGCTTGTTCAAACGGCTTTTTCATTTTTTCGCATGAAGGAGCTACGTTTCGGGCAGGCCCCCGATTTTTGGCCAGAAGGGGGCTTGTTCAAACGGCTTTTTCATTTTTTCGCATGAAGGAGCTACGTTTCGGGCAGGCCCCCGATCAGTGAAAGAAGGTGGTATCCGTCGTGCGGTCTTTGGTAAATTGCATTTAGATGGGTCAGACAGCACTGCATCCAGGTGCTTGGTTTCCTTTTGGTTTCCAAAACCATCCCGAAATGGGGCCATTGAAAACGCAGATGTTTCTTTCCCCACTAAAACCAGGGGACGAACTCAGTTTCCAATGTTCTCTGTATAGTTGCGAAAGTTGGGGTCCAACCATACAACAAAACGAGCCACCTTGCTGGAATAAAGGTACCTGGACTCTCAAACTCATGAAAAAAAAGGATTCGCCCCAAGAATGTTGGGGCACCCCATTTTTTTTCCGGGAGTTTTGAGCTCCTACCCGTTTTTCCCCCATGAGGCCATGAGCCCTGCAGCGGATGTCAGGAGCGCCACGTGCAGGTGGTCCGCAAGGGCGCTGAGGCGCTGCGGCCCGAGGCGCGGGTGGTGGTGGTGAGCTACGACCTCGTGGCGCAAAACGCGGCCCGCGCCGCACAAGACGAAAATCATTCCAGGGGGTACCGTCTTGAAACATGGAAGCCAGAATCACTAGAATGATTCAAAAATCATTCTAGGGATTCAACAGTCATTCTGATTCAAGAGTCATTCTGATTCAAGAGTCATTCTGATTCAACAGTCATTCTGATTCAACAGTCATTCTGATTCAATAGTCATTCTGATTCAAAAGTCATTCTGATTCAAAAGTCATTCTAGGGAATTCAAAAATAGTTCTTTCAGTCATTCTAGGGGGTACCTGTTAGATGGGTACCCCACGAAGTCAACAAGTGGTTTGGGAGTGGAAAGCATCCTGAACTCCTATAGGGGAAGCTTCCATTTCCATTTCCAGGGATCCGAATCTTTCTAGAAAGCCATCCGGAATCCCAGGGAGAACGGTTTTTTGGAAAGAAGGATGGTTTTTGAAAAGGAATCAATCCCACAAAAACTGGTTTTTGAAAAGAAGGATGGTTGAAAAGGAATCGGAAGAGGAATCAACCCCTGGAGAATCAGCTGCCACGCTCGAGGTTTGGTATGGGCCAGTATGGGGGTGTCTTTGTTGAGGGACCCAACCCCCTTACCATTGGGAAACGGCTTAAGGAAGGTCCTGGCCTTGGCTTATACCTCGTAGGGGCGTTTTCCTGTTTGTTTTCTCTCCAAACAAGGGGTACCCTAAAAAAGGAGACACGAGCCACACGCTAGGGGTGCAGGGGTCTCTGGAGGTTGATCAATTTGTGTCCGTTGCAGATGGGACACCCATGTGAGCAGCGCCCAAACGTCGGGCCAGTTTAGTAGCTGGTTCTACTGCCTGGTTTCATCAAGGTTATTTATAAGGCCTGCATAAACCTGTTTAAGCATTCTAGTAGAACCAAGAGTCAACGGGTTGTAGGCGCAGACTTAGAAGAATCACTGCCAACGAAGAAGAATTGAGTACTCCACCCTCCACCTGCAAAGTCACCTGGAATCCAACAAAACCTGCATTTTAAGCTTGGGAATCTCTTCTTGAAGCAACCCCTTTTTGGGTTCCATGTCAATTTGCAGGGGAGTGGCTTAGATTTTTAAAATCTTGTCTGGTTGGCTTCCTTCATTTTCACCTTCAACCAGCAAGCGCGCAACGCGTTGCATGTCAGAGTCTGGGTAAGTCTTTGGTCTTTGGTGAATTAATCAAATTACCCGTGAATGCGTGGCATGGCAAGTATTGGAGTATCTTCCACATTTGAAACTACAGAACCACTTTGGTGGGATTCACGGCAAAGAATCAGTTGGGCAAGAGGGCCTTTATCTCCCTTGGACCTGGCAAATATAAGGTTACAAAAGGTTATTAACAACAACAGAAAACATCAAGTTGGGGCTTGGAATCCCTTCAGAATCATAACCCTCCTCCTGTTCCCCCGAAATGAGGCAGGACAAATGCCTTGCTAGGGCTTGCTTTTGGCGAAGCAAAGGAGTGGCTAGGGGTTGCTTTCCCAAAAGCAACAGCTATGGGCCGCTATGGTATCAATTTGCATCTGTTTGTTTGGGCTGGCCCTGATCTGACCACCCCGAAAGAAACCGCAACTAACAATTGCCCAAGTGCTGTTTAATGATGACCCTTGATTAAAACAAACAGTTTTATTTGCAGGGGAGTGCTCCCAAAATCACCAAAATGGGGACACGCCCCCATCAATCAACCAGGGGTGTATTATTCCGGGATTCCCATTGAATGTGCATCAAAGGTTGTCATGCAATACGGGGATCCTGCTGTGGTGGCCCAAATGTGGACCAAGCTTTGTGAAGCCTGAGGCTGTCTTGCCAGAGGGGGGGGGGTTCTTTGTTTTTTGTTCAACTCGAACGCTATTTTTGGACCTCCATTGCAGAATCCCTCCTGGGTTGCAACCGAAATCGGTAAACCCGCTCCAGGCAAGGAACCCCTTCTAAACCATTACAGGGGATGGGGCCCCTTGGAAACAAGAACAACAAGAGTGTGCCATGTCATTTGTTCCCCGAAGGCTGCCTGGCTAAGGAAGAACTCACCTCTTACTTTGGGTCGGATGCTTTCACGCACAGCTTGGACGGCACAAGAAGATGCTTTCGCTTGGAAGCCACGGGAAGCCTACGACTGGCCACCTAAACCCGCACGAGGGGCGTATGAACCGTGCTCCGCGCACCGGCGGGACCGGCCACTGAGGCGTGTTTCCGCCAGACCCCAAGGGGTGCGCCGTACCGCCTGGTGATTTGCGACGAGGCCCACTACTTGAAGTCGCCGTCCTCCCAGCGGTCCCAGGCGGCTTCGAAGTGTCGAAGTCGACGGGGATGGGTTTTTCGAACGGAAGGGCGGCTCCCAACCGTGCGGTTCAAGAGGTTTCTACATGTGTTCAGTTGGTTTACTGGGGGTTTCCAATTTATTTTTAGGTGTTTAGATGCGTTTAGATGTGTTTAGTTGGTTTAGTGGTTGGGTGTTCCGAATTCAACCCACTAAAGGTTGAACTTTTAGCAAAAGATCTGAGGACAGCCCAGATGTGAGATTGCCTTTGTTTTGAGGGTACGGGTTTTGTATGGCTTGTTGTAACGGGGCACCAATGGACCGAAGGGTGTCTGGGATATCTCGTTTTTTTGAGACGCAACTGAGCAGTGCGACGAGCTTCTCAAATGGCCTGACGAAGTACAAAAGGATGACCCTGGCGTAAACTTCAATGCAAGATGTGCACCCAGTGCAAGGTAACCCCGACTAGGTGCCCCAGTAGTAGTGCCCTTTTACCCTTTACTAAAATAGACTACAGAGAAAAGGGTACCCTTATTCTAACCTCTCTACTGGAGGACCTAGAAGGCAACTGCATTTTTGATCAGAAGGAAAGTCCCTTATGCCAAGTACCGGAACCCGCTGACTTGTGCAACAGCTGACTTAGTGCTTAAGTCGGATGTTGACAGCGAGTTGGCCCAAACAACCTGATCGATCATTTGAAAGGGGATCTGCCGCAGAAAGCTTAGGAGTATGTTCAAATTCCCTTGTTGGTTTTCAAGGGAATCCAGCTGGAAACATATCTTTTCCAGGACTTGAGTCACTTGAGCAAATGATCCATGAGCATGAGCTCCGTGAGGTTGATTTGTTTCCGCCCCAGCGAGCTGCCCGCAGCTTCCAAACAAGCGGTTGTGGGTCATTTGGGGGCTAAACAGCCCATAAGTTGCCGCATCTCACGGGGATGTTTTTGTTTTGACCACTTTTTGTTCCAGTAGCACCAGTCGTCTATCCCACAAGGAGGGGACTCCTGACATCCCAACATGAACACGATTAGCCCCTCAATGTCGGCAGTACCATTGGGATCGGGGGGCCCTAAAATTATTGGCAGGAGGGGGGGTTAGCAACAATCCAAATCGCTAAGCCAAACAAGTATTTTTACTTGAGGCCCAACAAGTATGACTTGTATACTAAAAGACACACTTCAATCCCAAGATGTCTGAGTCTGAACGTTGCACCTGGTTTAACCTCGGTACAGTAAACAAGGTCCAACATGTGGCCATGGGTCAAAGTCCCGTACCCCGAGTGAACAACCCAATCCCCACTAAAATAGGTTCTAAAATGGGTGGTGCACCTACCCCAAAATGGTACCATTGTTTTTGACTTTTGACCCACTCAAAAGAGAGGGAAACACAGTTTTCACAACAGGGGTCAAGAATCCTTATCCCTTCAATCCACCGGCCCGCTCCGCCCTCTCGGTGCGCCCACTCGGCAGGCGCTGCGCCCCTTGCTGCAGAAGGCCCGGCGCGTGGCGCTGCTCACCGGCACCCCGGCCCTCGCGAAGGCGCAAATATCGAATCGCGGCCAACGCGAAGCGGGGGAAAATGACCCAGTTGGGTCCCTAAAAGACTTGTAGGTGCATTATAGTGTGTATGTACAGGTCCTTGTGTAGGTGCATTTTATGTAGACATTATAGTGTGTAAGACCGAATTGGATCCCCTAAAATTTCACTTGTACGCGCATTATAATGTCTAGGTCCCCCAGCTAGGTGCCTCTTTACCGTTTCTGTTTTGGGGTTTTCGGTTCCCCTACTAAACTAAACTATTCTACTGGAGGACCTAGATGTGCATATTAGAAAACACACATATATATATATATATGAACATGAAAATATACATATGTCTATACATCTGTATTTATCAAGGTGTGTGTGTGTGTGCATATGCGCAAAAAATAGGGGTTCTCAAAATGGTGGACCAACCCAAAGGGGTTGGTAGCATGGACCATGGAAGACAAATTGTGCTTTTCTTGCTGGTGCGCTAGAGGGAATAGACGCAGGTTTGGGGAATGGACCGGTTTTGGGGATTCCCTTACAGGAAGCCATAGGGGATGGTTTGTAGGGGTCATTCCCTCAGTCCCGAGAACCAGCAAGAACGGCCTCTACCCCTCCTTTCCCCTCACATACCCCCAAAAGGGTGGCGCGTCTTTTTTGAGGAATCCTTCCCAAAATGACGCACCGATTTTCCGGTTGATTTCCCCGAAAAGCCACGAAAACAGGGGGACCCTCAAAAAAAACACCCGTACCCATGCCATGCCTCCGAAGTTCCCGAGTTCCTGGATGTAGGGGGGGAAGCGCTTTCATCATGTCCCATGATTGTACTACTTTGGGACTACTTTGCGCTGGGCCGGTGTTATGCAGAATGGACACAGAACTGTTTGCTATGATCAGCAAATCAGTGTTTTGATTCGGTTTAGACATTCAGGGGTTTTAGAATGTTTCAGTTTCACTGCACCTCGCTTCACACCATGAACCTAGGGCAATTTGGTCGCGTCTTTTATCGAGGTGGTGCCCTTTTTTACATGTGCAGGAGGCGCCTTCATTGAAGACAACCAGCTGTGAGTCTTGTTTGGGGAAGAAGCACCGGGACTACCCAAAATTCCGACGGGTTCAGACCACTCAACGTCCGCAGGTCCGTTAGGAAACGTTGGTAAATTTGTTCCTTGCTCACATGTGCAATGGTCAAAACAAGCCAAACAAAAGGGTGGTAGGCTTGGTCATGCACCCCTAGCAGGAATTCTGACAACCATGGTAGGGATTCTTCCTACAGGAGCCACGACCAGAACGCCGACCCCGGATTCATCAACCTGGTGGGCTATTAGGGCAGCGTTTTTCGCCGCAAACACCAGATTCTAGGTACCTCCCAATCAACCAGTGTATCAATCTTCGGTGCCCTGTGAACTCCACATTGTGGGGAGCCCTGAAGCCGAATGTCAGACATGTCCAGATGATGAATCAAGCCGCATCAAGGTTTGGCTGGGGATGAATCATAGCCCCGATAACCCCTTCCATTTGTTGGTTGTTTCTTTGTTTGCCTGGTTTAAAAGGGAGTGGATTTCACTATTGGAATTTAGTTTCTTTTTTTTCTTTTTCTGGCGGGCGTATCCGCAAATGCAGGACTCAACCCTTACATTTGTCACCTCGGTCCTCGATCGATCTGCTTTTCTCCAGGCGGCCGAGATCTACGCGCTCTTGCACTGCAGCCTGGCAGAAGACTTCGAGTCGAGGGGGAAAACCAAAAGTGGGGCTGGAGCTTGGGATTTGGGCCGCTTTTGGTCAGAAAGGTCTGTTTATTCCATCCTTCCGATGGCATCTCTGGGAGGCCCCTCTGGAAGGTGTTGGGCCTCAAAAGCAGCCTGAGGTGGGGTTCGGAACGCGGGGCCAGGAGTCAGACAAGCCGACTCGGTTCATAGAACAAGCCTCGCCAGCGAGTTGGCCATCTGCCCTTAGGGGAGCCCAAAGGTCAACCATGGGCCTCAGTCACCGGGGAACGAGCAGTTCCCCCGATTGAACGAAAGTTTTCGGATGGGGCGGGACAATGCCAGTGGTTTTGTATGTTCTGATGTGTGTGTTTTAACACAAGCCATTGAGACTGACTCAGAGCGACAAACAGAGAAACAGAGATGAGACGCAGAGTTCAAGACAGGGACAAGCAGACGCAAGGAGTCAAACAAAGCGATCACACACGCAGACACAAAGCAATGACAAGCAACCAAGTAAACAAACAGACGGACAGACCGGCAGTCCGGAAACTCATCAAGCCATGAACCCATCAGCCCATCAGGCCATCAACCCATCAATCCATCAGCCCATCAGCCCATCAGCCCATCAGCCCATCAGCCCATCAACCCGCCAACCCATCAGCCCATCAACCCGCCAACCCATCAGCCCATCAACCTGTCAACCCATCAGCCCATCAACCCGTCAACCCATCAGCGCATCAATCCGTCAACCCGTCAACCCATCAGCCCATCAGCCCATGAACCCAACGCATCAAGCCATGAACCCATCAGCCCATCAACCAGCCAACCCGTTGACATTTAGGGCTCTCCGAATGAGGTTTGTTGCCCGGGCTGCTGCCCGAGTCGCACCGGGAGTTCTGCGAGAGATACTGCGCCTCGGCGTTCTTGGTGTGCAGATCCATTTTTCATCTCATTGTGTCTGTTTTTGTTTGTTTGTATGTGTGTCGCGTTGTGTTTGCCTGTCTCTGTGCTTGTGTGCTTGTCTCCGTAAGTGTTTGTCGGCTTGTTTGTCAACAGGAAAGGCGCGTTTGAACAACGAGTGTTTGAAACACATGTTCAAACACAGTGTTGGCCCCTCCGAGGGCAAAGGGTAAACTATGAATCCCTCGATGCCAACCAATTTCCTGGCTGGTTGGTGCGTGATACCTGGAACTGCATCCGGTGAATCTGGACACTGCTTCCAGCTGGCGTTGAGGTAAGCACTCAGAGATCGTAACCGTAGCCAAGATTTCCCGGGCTCTTATGAAGCCACACCGAGCGTTTCCGTTGGGTTCCGCATAAACACGGCAGCAGCCGCAAGGCAAGGGCCCCAAAAGGACCCCTTGGGAACAGATTCCGCTTCTCCATTGAACCTACATAACATTTATTGGATCTTTTGCTTGTTCATTGGGGGCGAAGGGACAGCACACTCCTTGCATTATTTTTCCTATACCGATTTTTGTTATTCCACTTTTGTACCCCTTATATACCCCTATATCCCTCATAATACGGGTGTGTCCTTTTTGTTAGGGGTTCCGCAGAACAGCTTCCCTTCACACCAACCCCACAAAGAGGCGTTCCATGGAGCTGATTTCTGAGGCAACGAGAAGAAGATCCAGATCGGGCGACGGCAAGTGCAGCAGTGGGAAGGCTCCCGACTGGAAGACGAGGCTTTGGCCGCAGACCGAAACGCGGATCGACGAATCGATGTGTCCGCGCCAGAGCGCCCCACAGCGCTTCCCAAGAGGACCAATTTTGGGGGGTTCGATGGGGGGGAAGTAAGGCCTCTATAGTCCTTCATAACCATGTCAGTGGAACCATGTGAGGAGGTAATCCCCAGGCCTAATTTGGGGGGATTTGAACCCCTTCTTGAGGGTAAACGAGTTAATTGCAACCTCCAAACCACAAAGACATACAAGGGGCCGAATAATCACAAGCACCCCCCCTGGTTCATCCCATTTTTCCGAGGGTCACTTCTGAGGGGACCACCACATGAATTCATCAATGGGTCTCATGGGATTTGGACCCAAATGAGTGGTTTTCCTTTGGTTTCCCCAACAAACCCCCTTCAGACACCCTGATATTTCAATTGGGGCACCCATTGACTTTTCCGGACGTTTGCAACTCAAGCGAAAAGTTGACTTAGAAGTCGGCATAAAAGTTTCTACCTAGGTGTTTTTTTTTTTGTTAGTTAAAGCGCATCTAAGAAGCCATGAAACCAGGAATTGAGCCACACATCGACAGAAAACACAAACAAACAGGAATCCAGCATGTTGGTTGCAAGCTTCCTGGACTTCCTGGAGATGGTTTCTCAGAAGGCAATGACCTTCTGTGCTTTTTGGGGCCAGTCACCTGAGGTCAGGTCAGTCGCTTTGGTGGTTCAGCGGTGGATTGTTGTTGCGTTTCTTGATCCGAGGAGCTGCATGCGGTGCTCGACATGGTCATGGTGCGGCGGTTCAAGCCGCCGGGACCAGTGCAGTTCCCCTGGATGTGTTTGTTATTGTTTAGTGGAGTCACTAAACTCGGAGTGGCAACCTAAAAAGACCCAAAAGAAGCAAAACAAGGGGGCAGAGTCGGTTTGTTTTTGAGGGTGGAGTCACTAAACTCGTTCTGGCAACCTCAAAAGACCCAACTTTTGGGTAGAGTCACAGGGCCCGTGAAAGTGTTTGACGGCTTCTGGGTATCAAAGTCAGCAACCTACCTCAGGGGTCCCTATAATTTCCCTTTTCGGCGGTTTCAATCCTCACCTTTTTGCTCCATGAACGGTGAGTATCCCTTGGTGGTGATGTTTTAAGAGGACATATAGGGAGCCCTGTACCACTTGGTTGACTTTGTCGGGTCAAAACCGGCCAGTCGACTCCCGCTCTGCGTCGTCCTCGCGCAGAGAAGTGTTGGGCTTGCCACTTTCCGCGGGCTAGTCATGGCAGTTCTCTTGACAGTGACGACGTTGTCATTGGATGGGAACCAACCACGAGATGATTGATATCACAGACTGTTCCCATGTTCCGCAACCATGCTCCTGTGGTCCCTTTGAAGCCGCTCTTCTGCAAATTTACCATCGACCCAGCAAAGACATCGTATCAAGAGGCATCACCAGTTAGGGGGACCCCGATTGGTTTTTTGGTTCCAGATTAGTCCCGTTTGATCGGCGATCCCGCGTGGTAGGGAACATTGGAAGAACCATTTCAAATATCCGGCAACTATACTGGTTCCGCCGAAAAAGCATGTAAGTATGGGTCAAAATTAAACCACCAGGAATTGGACTGCCGATTTTAGTCCTTCTTTCCATTTACTAGGGTTCCATTTGCGGTACATATTTTTGACCCACAGCCATGTCATTTGTAGTAAAGAGGTGAGCTTGGCCACACTCACTAAATCTCCACCATCCAACCAACTTTTTTGGGGGAGGGTTCCCCTACTCAAATAGACTACAGAAAAAATTGGTTGAGCAACCACTCCTTTGGGTCCCCCTATTCTACACATGGCTGTGGATCAAAATAGGTACCCAACATGGGTTGCCATGGCAAATGGAAACATGGACCAAAACCCTGCGGTCCAATTCCTGGTGTTTGACCCATACCCAGGTACCTTTTGGCGCATTTTGCTTGGATGTTTGGACTTTAACTTTTTGCTAACTAATGGGTTTTCCATGAAACCACAAAAAGTTATTCACTTTTAGCAGGGCTTCGCAGAGAGCGACCGAGTACCCGTCAACCCGTTGGCCCCAGATGCGAGGGCGCCGCTTCGCGCTGAGGACGCAGGTCTTGAGCCAGTTGCCGGCGAAGCGACGGCAGCGGGTGCTGCTCGACAAGCTGAGCAACGACCAAGGAGCGAAGGGACGGGCACATGGGCGGCTCGTCTTTTTGGAGGGTGCCCTTAAAAGTTGGTGGTTTTAGAAGGAAACCACACGGAAGATCATCATTGTTGGGGGTCCCCTAGAAAAGACGCACCCATATGAGGGTGCTTTTGCGGGTAGTCTTTTGGGGTTGCTTGAAAGGAAAACCAAAGGCACAACCATTTTGGGGGTCCCCCTATTTTTGGGCACACCCAAATGGAGACTTCCCAACGTAGGACCCAGATTTGTTCCATGGCTGAATGCGGCGGACCGCCTCGGATCGGGAAAGAGGGCTGGTCTTTGGCCGAATCGCCATACCTGCCACGCCAGTTCCGAAGTGTTTATGGCCATGGGCGAGCCGATTCATCCACCTTTTGCTCAGCGGGGAAGAGCAACCCAGGTTAGGCAGTAAGGCCTCAGTGATGGAGTCATTGAACATGTATGTTTCAAAGGTGATGGCACAATCAACCGAAATGGGGCCCAGTTTGAGAAACCTCCGAAACAGCAGGGAAAAAGACATGGCCACACACACACACACACCTGAGTTGATGCCTCTCTTCCTAGTTGTCCCCCTTGTTTTGCTTTGGGTTCATCTCAGTTTCCTGTAAGGGTCGCCTTTCTTGCTAGGGTAGATTGCATGGACAGTTGGTGTGGGCCTGTACCCTCGTGTGCACCCTGCGACCAAACGAATGGAGGCAAACGATGTCCTGCACACGAGCCCAACTGAGGCAAGCTCCAAACTGGTTATATACTCTATATGCTCTATGTTAACACTAAAAATAGGGGGCCTACCATTGAACTGTAAGTATTTGTACATAGGGGTCTTTTTTTAGATTAGTTTGGTTAGAAATACATGGCCCTGGTGAACCTGGTTGTTTCGTAGTCTACCAGTGGCATCTATGTTTCCCAAAAGGACACCTATGTGGCCATGGGTCATAACCTATGCCTCCATTTTGGGGCGGATGAACACCCATGTACCACCTATTTTGATGTTCAGGGGTTTCCTGGGTTTTGACCACCACAGCCATGTATCTATCTGCAAGTCCGTGGCTCATTCGAATTCTCAGCGCCGTTCGGGAAAAGAAGTCGACGCGACAGGAGCTCTCAAAGAGCTACGGGAAAAGCTGAAGGACTGCAAAGGACCCGGGCTTGGGCTCCTTTTTCCCTTGAAAGTCCCTGTAACCCAGATGTTGCTACTTTCCAACAGGAAACCCACCGGGGATGTGTATTTTTTGTCTTTTTGATTTTGTTCCACCCCTTCCCCGAAAGAAAAAGAGAAACCCGCACAAAGCTATTTGTAGGACCCACAGTGGCAGTTTCACTGGAGCCCACCAGAGATTGCACCTGGTCGAGGCGAAATCCAGCGATGGAGTTGGAACTTAGCTATCCTGGACCACCAGCTGGCACGCGCCAGACCTGGCTTGCCATTTTCCAGCTTGTTGCTTTTGCTTTGTTTTCTTTCATTCATTCATTTTCCTTTTCAGCAAATCGTGTGCTTGCCTTCCAAGGGTTTCTTTGATTCTTCAACAGGGGCACCTTGATTTGAGCTGCTTTCATGTTGGTTGGCCCGGAAATCAGGGCCCCCTCCCGGCCAGCTGGAGTGCCAGCAAGGGCTTTGGTATGCGCTGCAAGCAGGGCGGAGCTAGTTGACCCTCATCTCATAGTTTTCACACATAGCAACCGCTGTTTCACAACCAACACTTGGGAAAGTGAAAATGATAGGGCCGAAATAGGGCTCCAGTTGTATGTTCCGCTGGTGCTGAAGCAGAGCACCACCCCTTGGTTGTTTTTCTACTAAAATGAGTTGCCTTTTGGCGGTAATGTATAAAGGTGACATGGCAAACCTGTCAAGGACAGTTCCTTGCCGCAAATGACCTTGGGTGTCCACTTTTTAATTCTGTACCAAGGCCTTTGGGTAGACTCGACTCTACCAATCAGCAGGTTCAGGAGCTTCATTGTTCCGCGGCACCCTCTATATCGCTTTCTGTTTGGTGCTTTTGGGCCACAAATTCAATCGGCCTCACACACACGGACTTGTGTTTTTCTTTCGGGGTCACTGGGGGCAACTGGGAGAGTTGATTCCCCACAACGCCTTCTCCGTATGAATGGCCTAGACAACTAGAAGGGGGTTGTGAAGTATGTCAAAAACCAAATCAAGTCTTAAGATACTGTAATACTGCGTGCAGTTATCAACTTATAATATTCAGCGGCTCGAGGAATTCGTTTTGCTCAACCGCAGGACAGGAAGAGCAAACCATTCAGGACGGGAGAAGTCAACGCCGGCGGACAGGGTTCTGCAAATCCACGGAACCTGACAAAAGCAATTTGCAAATGGATTTCCTGAGACCTGCTTGATGGAACATACATGATAGTTTGGGAACAACCATGGAGAATGGCTCACAGCTTGGGTCAATGGGTGGTTTCTCACCAGAAGGAAGGATGAAGAGAATGTCCTGCACCGGCTTTCCGGCAAAAGCGACACCCCTTTTCCAGCCACTCCCGTCACCCCCTGCTTTTCCCACATCCAATCCCCGAGGCAGGCGGGGCCCCGGAGCTTTTCAGGCCGGGAGGGGGGAGTGGGGGCGGGGGGGAATGGGAGGCTCGCCTGGCATTTTGCACCTGAAAGGCCGTTTTTCTGGGGATGGTTTCAACGGATAGCGAAAAGGACACCGAGCCACTCAGTTTGAGAAACCTTTGTGCGCGTGTGCGTGTTTGGATTAGAGGATGCCCTGTTTTCACTATTGTGGCCGCCCTCTTATTTTGCCAGACACATATTAAATTGATTTGTTTGCCTACTATTGTTTCCTTAGTGTTTCTGTTTGGTCATTGTGTCCGATGGGTTTTTTGCCTGGTTGTTCAAGGTTTGATGACATGGCCGGTGTTGTTTCTGGATTGCGTTCGTACAGATTGTTCATGCTGGTCTCCGTCTTATTGTTTGTTGCTTGCTTTTGTTTATTACCATTGCCTTAGTTTATTTGTGTGGTTTGTTTACAGTGTTTGTTCCTGATGTTTCCTAGTCCTGAGTTTTTCTGTTTGCTTTCTTCGGCATACCATGTCCTTTTTGGTTGCTTGACTTTCACATTATTGGACCTTCTTGGCTTTTCCAAAAAAAGCAACTCCCTCACGAGGCATTCAATGTTGCTGGGGTTTGCTTTTTGCCCAACTACATCAATGGTTGACAGAGGTGGAATGGTGTTCGGGTCCCCTTTTGGTATCCCTTCAGCCCATGTCAACGAGGGTCCGCTTCCACTTGTTCAAATACACCACTGTGCTCGCTGGGTGAACGTTTGGCAACATTTGAAACATTTTAGAATGATGGCAAAGGCAAAGGAAGGCGTATTCCAAGATGGCACAATTTTCCTTCCTGGGTGAGCAAAGGGGATGAGTAGACCATCCAGCCCTCTACGTTCACCCAACCGTGGGTTTTGTTTAGACCGTTGCATGTGTCTGGTAATGGATTTGTGGCTTGGGGATTTGATCCGCTCTTGCAGATGGTAAATGGGAAGCCTCACCTTACCACCAATTGGAGGCTGAAGGCGGACTGCGGCGTCGGAGCCCCAAACCTATGTGCTGACATGTTATTTTTCTTCCGGTTGGTTTTTAAGGGATTTGATGTCAATAGAAATTGCATATGCGTATGTTCCCCCTGTTGGTTTTAAATGGAACCAGGATCATTGTTTCCAGGGGACGAAAAAAAGGCAAGAGGAAACGTCGAACGGTTTTTGTGCTCTTGCAGGCTCACGGGCCTGGCGAAGGCGCAGGCGGTGGCAGAGTACGTGGCCCGGCGTGGCTGGCGTGAGTCGTGATACACCGGGGAACGGAGAGGGATTTACGTTGGGTTGATCCATAGGGGGTGTCTCATTGTGGGGTTTCTTACTTGTATAGGTGGAGTTTGAACTTTTCGGGTTTGGGCCAAGCAGTTTACACTTGGTGTGTGGCCAAACCACTCAGGAAGGGAGTTAAGAATACAGCCCTGGGCCGTTTTGGAGGGGAGTCTGGTCCAGTTTTTGGGGGAACTCTAGTCCAGTAGATAAATCCGGGGTGGACATCTGCCGTTTCTTAAAGCATTCAATTGAAAACATAAAGTTTTTCACGAAGCAACCATGTGAGGGTCCTGTTCACGACAACCTGAGAATGAGTTCAAGCCTGCAGGGCTGCCTAAAACTTATGTCTGTTTGTTCGTGCCTTTGTTCTGGCAATTGGCTGGGGGTGTGGGGGTGTGGGAGAGGGGCCGGGGTGAATGGATCTCAACAGGAGTTAAGAGTGTGCGCGACCCCCCCCTTGGTGTATCCGCCCCCCACTACTTTATTGGGCCCTCTTATCTCATTTAGACCGGCGAAAGTCGAAATGGAGTCCAGGAAAGAGGCGGGCATGGTGTTTGATTAGGGGTCCCCAAAACTGGCGGTTTCCCAAAATGTTGGATCCCTTTAAACCAACCTCAAAACAAAACGATCCCCAAGAATAGTGGTTTTCCTTTTGGATTCCCTTTGAACCATTCATTAAAACAGAGCAACGAACACACACACACACTCTCCCAGGGGTAGAACTCTAGGGCTTGATTCCCCATACCTTTTGCCCAACCACTGTTTAGACTGAACTCACCTTGGCCTGTGCCTTGTTGGTCTTCCACGATTTTCGCTTTTCTGGCCGGTGCCTCGTTGGTCTTCCATGAGCTTCCCCTTTCAACCAGCTGGGCCCAGTAAGACCCTCAGCCAGTGGGCGCCCTTGCGCCCTTTTTTTTATGGCCCTCCCGTTATTTTTGTGGCCCAAGAAGTGTGCACTTTTTTGTGGCTAGTCACTGGCCAAGTGAGGACCACCTCATGGCCAGGGGGTGTTCGATCCCCCGGATACCTCGACGACCCCAAGCGCCGGCTCAGGTTCAGTACCTTGTGGAGGCGGAGTGCCGGTTTCTGCTCTTCGCGCACCACCAGGATCGCTGGGCCGCATGGATATTTTTTTGGCCTCCAGGGCCTCCAGCTTTTCTTGGCCTCCAGTTTTTTTGGTAGGTTTCAGAGGGAAAGAAAAAGGGAAAACCACAAGTTTGGGGGTCCCCTCAAACCAGAGACACCCACGTGACAAGTCTTTGCAGGTCCGGGGATTTCGGTCTGCCACGTCCATGACAAAGGTTCGGTTCATGGGGATCCCTTGTTTTTGGGGGTAACTTCATCGGAGGCAGAGATTATGTGGTTGGGCTTAACCCCAGATTTCTCAGCCAGCGTCTTAGTTGCGGGTCGCGATGGGTTTGTCTCGCACTGGTAGAGTCAAAAGGCCCGGTCTTTTCGGGGGAGTCGCTCTTGGCGAAAGGTTGGGCCAACGGGTTGATTCATGGGCCAACTCCACTTGGACGAAAGGGTCACCTAGGTGACTCAGCCCGAAGGGCCAAGTGCCGTCGGTTCTCCCTTTCGGTTGGGGTCCCGGGGTCCCGGTCCAATGGCAGGCGGTCATGGACACGCTGCAGCAGACCCTCGAGAAGCTGAAGACGGGATTTATCCGCGCCTGGGGTTTCGAATGGAGCCCAGTCCGTTACTTCAGGTCCCGTGAACGCCAGGAAACGAGTGCAACATCTTTTGTTTGCCCATGGATATCCTCGGTCTCAACCCTGGTGGCTACTTGCTGCGAGTGCTGCGAGTCGCCGGGGCAATCCTGTTCCAAGTGACAAAAGTAGTATCGGCGCGAGACAGGGTATTTTTTTTTTGCGACCATGACGGGGACCCACGCCCCTTCTTGTAGGGGCCCCGGAAACAGCGCAGCAAACAGCAAACCGAGGATGCACAAAATGGACAAGCGCACGAGTGAAGGCTGTTGGGCAGCCAGGCAACTTGCGAAAACAATTTCTGTTAGGAGGGGCTAGATCAGTAGAATGGATTGTGGGGTGCGTTAAAACCAAAAGTCATGATCATGGGAACTGTGCGGCATGATTGCTGCAGAAATGGTACCCCTAAAGGTCATCAAGGTCCAGGAGAAACAACAACATTTTTTGGAGGGTGCCCCTGGATCCCTCTCAATTTCCCCTCTGCGGTCCTCTCCGTGTCTTGGCCAATAGGATCGGATGGCCATGATGTCTCAAAGGTGTTTTGTGTTATTCGTGGTGGACTGGCCTTGAAAGCGGGTGCCCTTTGTGAGCTTATCGAACCTTGATTTTTGACACACCCACAATAGCAGTAAGTTTGGTGTTTCTGGATAGCTGACTTTTTATAGATCTGTTATGGCAAATCGTTGAAACGAAGAAATCAGTATTGAAAGATGTTTGCAATAGCTTCTTTTTTTTTCGAATCTTTTGGGATTGCAGTTTGTTGTTTGAATTGCTGCCCAGGTTAGCCATAGTCGGAGGGTTGTTTGTGTGGGGTGAAAAAGAAAAGGGGTGATTGAATATTCCAACCTTCTGCAAAATAGAGAATAGTCTTGGTGAGAGCAGGGTAGCATTGGGGGGTGATTAACTGATCAGGTCCCAACATTAACAATGACGCGCGGGAAAAGTCATTTGGTTGTAGGAGGCTCTGTTTGGTCGAGTCAGACGCATTGTTTGATTCCACCCCTCACAAAGAGTCAGTTTGCGCCCTCTGATCAGGAGGATTACAACATGTGGTTAAGATGAAGCCAAAACAAACATTTGTTCCAGGGTCCCCTCTCTCAGGACATGCTTTTCCTACCATGGCATGAAGGGATACACTCCCACATGGTGGACATCAATCCTTCCCGCCCCCCCCCCCCCCCAATCTTTGTCCAAAGCGACGTTTCGACCTTTTGGTTTTCCAATTTTGATAACACTTTTTTTGTTTATTCCCTAGGTCAGTCCCCTCTCTCTCACCGCACACTCAGAATTTGATTCCGCTCTTGCCGAGGGATCGACGGCAAGACGCCGCCGCAGAAACGCGAGGAGACGAATGCGCGCGATGGGTTTCTTCTTGGTTGCCCCACCCAAGCTAGGTTGTGGATTTGTCTTGAAATACGCGTACCCTCCTCAAAGACACACCCTTAGAATCATGGTTTCCCTTGTGTAATTTGAGATGAGACCCGAAACACTTGGTTGCAACTCCTTTTTTGGGGCCATTTGTTTTTACCAAGAGTACAGCTCCATCAACCGTTGCCCCCATTTAACCGAGCTTCTTATCTGCATTCTCCGTTGCTTGAACATCGAAACGAAAGCTTTCTTGTGGCTGGGGAGCAAGGGGTGTGCAGAGACAACATCCAAGCCCACCATTTGGATGGCTTCGGATTTGTTTTTTCTTTGTCTGCTTCGGAGGACGCGATGCGCAGTTGGCAATCATGGTGAAACAAGGCGTTCAAGCAAACAAACAAAGAACATTTGTGAGTTAAGTAGGAATTGCCGGCCGGTAAGCTAATTTTCACCCCCACATGAAACTTGGCGCGAAGCAAAGTTGACCTGGATGTCCTTTGCGTTCCATGCGATGAAAAGGGCAGTTGACAGCAGCCTTTTGTGAAGATAGCGCCCTAAATGCCGAGGGGCAGGAGGAGCTGAATGAGCGAAGGCTTAAAACCCGCGTGTGGGGAGTCCTCAGAGCTCCGAGGATGCGAACTGAGTCCTCGAAGCTCAGTAAATGAGGGCTCGGAGGTGGATTCTCCGTCTGCATTGGAGGGGTTCTGACCAGAGAGGTTTTCCAAAGGCGGTGATTTTGAGCCACGAGTCCATTTCCGAAGCGCATCCGAAGCGCATTTGCGCGGAAAGCAGGGTCCTTCCCTATATGTTCCAATTGGGTTGGCTCAAACATCCACCTTTTGCGAACACTTGACTCTATTGACTTTCAGTGCAAACGCCTTTTTGGGTTCCTTCTTACGCCACATGAGCTTAAGTGCCAGGGCCAGTTTTTGCGCAATTAATGTTGCAGGCCTGTTTTGGGTGAATTTCCCTTGGTAGAGATGATGTTTTAAGCGAACAATACGGGGAACCCTGGCAATTTCCGGCCCGGGAGCTGCCGGAATTCGGTTTTGGGGCTCCGAATGCCGTGAAGGAGCAAGTGCGCGACTTTCGGGAGCGGAAGGATTTGCAGGCGGGGCATGGTGATGGGCAAAACCTGGCAAGGGTATCCCCATTGGTGGGTGTTTGAAAGGGAAGCCACTAAAGGAACCCACCATTTGCTTCTTCATTTGCTTAGATAAGATGTTTTGGTTTATCCCCTGTTGGGTTTAAAGGGAATCTATCGCTACTGAACAGATGAGCCTATTTTTCCACCGGACGAACAATGCACATGGAAGAACCTGAAAGTGCACAGGAAGCATTTTCAATGAAGGTTGTGCATGTTGGTCCTGAAGGGGTGAGTCATGTATGGCGGCCGTATTGCGCGGAAAACCAAGTATGGGCCTGTGATAAAATCCATTCCAGCATGGTCAGAATTGACGGATTATCCCCTTCAAAGCAACACCCTCCTGTCAACCAACCAGGGGTACATTAAGCCTGGGCTTCCATCAGAGCAACTCCAAAAACCCGCGTAAGCAAAGGATTCTGCTCGGTTTAGGCGTGCATGAGAGTTGATGGAACATGTGCTGCGTAGGCACGTGCGTACGCACCGCTTCTTGACCACTTGCAAAAGTTGTTGAACGCCAGAGGCTTGGCCTTGCCCGCCTGCTGACTTTGACAGGGACGGGGCATTGGGTGTGGTATTGAAATCCGTCCCAAGAAAGGGAATTAGTTGCAGGTTCAGCACAACTAAGGGGGGACCAGGCGCGTAAGCAGGTGTAAGCAGGCGCGTAAGATTCGGGCAAGCTCGCCTAGCACGGCCGCCCGATCTCCCACGCCATGGATGCTGCCAAAGCCCTCCTTTGATTTGCACTGGTTGGCAGAAAAGCTGTAACCAAATCCAAAGCGCTGAGCAAGCAGGCTAGAAAACGAAGGCACCGAAGAGAACAACGCTTAACATATCTCACCCCATTCTAATTTGGGCTCTCATAAGTTACCCATGGTCCAGCCATTGGCCCTTTGTTTGAACATGGTTGAGCTGATGTTTCAGCGCTATGTTTACATAGTCTCCTGTGAATGTCCCTTTCCAGCGGGGCAGGGTCTGGCTTTTTAACCATCGAAAACTTTATGTCCACCAACCATGTTGAGAAACTTGTCCTCTGAACTTTACATGCACACATGCTTACAGGGGTATCTCACCCCTTCCCCCTTATAATATGATAAGTTCCCCAAATAATAAGCATTATTTCGGGCCGGTCCTGGAGTACTCCCTAGTAAGCCTGGGCTGGGGCTGGGCGAGAAGTCAGCCAGTTTAGCATTGGTTTAGTATACATTCATAGGGTGCATTTGTAAACCGGGCGAAGGGGATTATCCAAACACGGGCTGGGGTATCCCCCAAAAGATAATTTTTAGGCAGGCCAGACACGAAACACAATCTGACGACCAATGTGAATGTTCAAGCCTTTCAGCTGACTAAATATGAAATAACATATCTGAACACACATATCTGAGCACAAATGTCTGAAACACGCTATATGAACATCATCTGACACATCTGAGCATACACAATGAACCGCACATATGAAAATCCGGCTCCCAGAATCAGAGAAGAACAAGAAAACGAGACATTGTCCCTCTTGCCACGTTATTGACACCAGATTGTTGGGTGCTAGGGGCATGGACCCTCTGAACCTACTGTGGATGGACAAATTCTTGCACCGCTTTGAAACCATGGTTGAGACCATAGTTTGTTGGTACTTACAAGGGGAATCATCATTCCAAGGTTTCTGAACGGTGGTGCGAAACGGATTTCGCAACTATCCAAAGTATGGATTTGTGGTTCAGTATACAGGGTCTGATGGCAATCTCTATCCGATGGTCCTATGAATCTATGTCGTTTTTTGGATTTTGCATGGGAATCATCATTCCAAGGGTTTCTTAATTAGGTGGCGCGAAATGGATGAATTTCGCAACCATCCACAGTGGTTTTTCGGAACGTTCCAACGTTTGGTTGGGTTCTCCAAGGCTTCTCTGGGGCCTAGGAGCACCCTGGGCAAAACACCCCTCGATTCCCAGGTCCGCCGGCTTCCCTTCTTTTTGTTTTTTTCTTCGCAGGTGGCGCTGCTGTCCATCACCGCCTGCGGGCAGGGCCTCAACCTGCAGGATCGCAAGGGCCGTGGACCGGGTCTCTCGCCTTTTCCGGGGTCCATTGAGTCAAGGGATGCGACTTTGGGATACACAATTTCATGGGGCAATATACAAACAGCCAGTTTCCGGCGAGTTTCCAAAGAACTGGTGGTTTTGGGGTGCCTTCTTTGAGGATTCATTTGGGCCACTTAAACAAGTATAAGGGGGTGTAAAACAACTGAATTACTTCGGGAGAAACGGAGCCCAAGCTTGTCAAGGTGGCAACATGCTTTCCTTTCTATGCAATTGAAGAACGTTTCGAAGGGCAAAGAGACCCTGCCAGTCGCCAGGTTGCAGCATGCTTTCAGTGATACTGTGGATTCATAACGTTGCTTGGGATCCAATCATTCCAGGGTTTCTTAGATGCAGGAATTTGTCCATTCACGGTATCAAATGAATGCCCCTGAACAGGGTACAGCCAAAAAAAGACACCCATTTGTCGGCCAGCGTCAGGTGTGCTCTACAGTGGTCTTTGCTGAGCTGCACTGGACGCCTGGCATCCTGATGCAGGCGGGGAGAGCGGCGAGCGCGAGGGAAGGAGCTGGCCCACCCATTTTCTTCTAAGAATCTAAGAGGTATTTGGGAGTTGATCAAAAGCCTTTGCATAGAATGGCCATTAGAGAAAACCACCAAGATGATATGTCCCAATGGGAAAAGTTACCCATGGTCTTTTTTTGTTTGGGGGGCGGGGAATTTTGATCAACCCCCAGTTGAACAAGCCATTTCAGCTCAAAATAAGCAATCAAAGAGGGGGCCGGGACCCTTTTCAGGTTCTAGCCACTTTAGGCTGTCATGCCGTTGGATGTGTCCTGAAACTAGGGACCCTTGTTGGCCAGGTTTAATGGACCGCATACACCCACATGCGCAGATAAACCCACCTTCGCTGGAGCATCACATGAAGAGCCAGTTGAGAACGCCAAGCGTGATCACGGCAGTGGTGCCATTTGCCCCAACTCCGGAGGGCGCCGTGTGTCCTGAATCATTAATTTGTCCATGGGCAGACAAACAGACTGTGGGAAGCCCGGAAAGAGGTGTACTCTGACTCTGTGGATGCATTTGCCTCAAAGTGCGAGAAGGCCCCACCAGTTGCAAGCAATTGAGAACGGCCGACAAGCTTCTACACCGATAGGAAAAGGAAAAGTGACAGCAGCAGGCGCAACGACTTCACACGTGCTCTCCGACAAATGAAGGATCGCAAAAACGGGGTCGCAGCGGCAACAAGAAGATTCCCTTCTGGGCGCTGTTTGGTTTACATGCATGGGGCATAACCCATGGCGAGCCATGGGGTGGATGAGTTCATCCATTTGCCAGCTTTGATGTTCACCAGGGGTTTTGACCTTTGATGTTCACCTGTGATTTTCACCGGGGGTTTCCAGGGTTTTGACAACCACAGCCATGTGACTTTGGAGCCATCGGCGCAGGCGGAAGATCGAGCACATCGCATGGGCCAGAAGGAGTCAGTGAATGCCTCTCGGCACGGACTGGCAGAGATCGCCTGGCACGCTGGATGCCACAAGTAACGGTGCTTGTACGGGAACAAAGGAACCCTCTGATTTACTGTGATTTACTGTGATTAACTGTGATTTACTATGGGCTTACTGCGATTTACTGTGATTTACTATGGATTTGTGGTTCAGTATGGTTGGTTTACTTGCAATCTCTATCCGTTGCCGAGGGCCTGATGGCAACTCCTTGGGCCTCGAGGGCTCTTTCGGTGGCTTAGGAAGCCTATGGCCATGACCAAAGCAGCTCCAAGAATGCTGGCACTGGGATCATATTTTAGGCTGATTTTCAGGGAGCATATGAGGGGATGGCAATGCTCATTTACACAACCAGCAGGCAAACGACAAAGGCAGGGGTCCGAGTCCAATCGACAGCCAATGGTACGTGAGGGGCATATCATATTCGCGCTGTGCTTGTTTGTAGTTTTGAGAATGACAAGGGCCATACTCTCCATTCGTAAACCTCCCATATCAGTCGGGGGCAGGATGAATAATTACTTAGAATAACTCATATGAGCAGCAAGTCATGATGACTGACATGGGCTGGCAACAGCAAGCCAAATTCCCACGAGCTATGGATTGCCAAGCAAGTTGCAGCGCCAGCCAGTTAGGATGTCGAGCCCGTCGTTTGTTTCATAGGAAACCTTTATGGTACGTTAGCGACATTCCATTTTTCGGCCTGATGGTTCTATAGCCTCTTATTAGACCGGAAACGCACCCCATGCGGGTTAGCCTTTTCCAACACAAAAAGGGGTTATAACTTATAAGTATAACTTATATCCAGGAAATCAAAGGGCACTAAACTTTAAACCACCTTGCGGGGCCCCTGTTTGAAGTTTACCAACTCTTCTTAACCGGGCTTGCAGCAAGTCCTGATCTGCTTCAATGATGGCTGAAGTTTTTGCCTTGTCTGGTGTTTATGCAGCTGTCATGTTGGCTCCGAGGTGCACTATCTGATTGCCAAGGACACGCTGGACGATGCTTGGCCTACAGCTGGCTGGCCCGAAGCAACCACAGTGGTTCAACTCTTCCTCAGCCTCCCGACTTTGTTCTGGGGGGGGCGTTATACTTGTCCAGCGGCACGGTACAAACGTCCGGGTCTTAATCTTTGGATATCTTTGGAATGGGTGACTCATGGTGACTCCACAACCTCTTCATGAGAATAGGCGACGGACCTTTAGAGTCCACTTGGCCTTAGGAGATGGCCAAGACACCCTCCCTCCAACAACCATGGAAGCCACGAGGGTTTGCGAAGACTGCTTTGGGGGAGGCCCCTGGCCACTTCCAGATAGAGGATAGATGTTTGTTTAATATAAGTCCCCCCCTGTTGGCATTAAAGCTTACTGTCGTTTCCGTTGTCCGCAACTGATTCCCAGGCGGGCAGTGGTGCTTCTCACTGCTTGATTGTTTTTTCACCCGGGAGGGGATTCCCTATCAAAATCAACCCCAAAACAAGGTGCCTTCCCTTTCTCCCCTTTCTGATCTTTCCAATCCCTTCCCCCCCTCCCCCAAAAAGGCGGGAAGTGCTCACTCTGCTCCCCAAGGAACTCCACAGGTCTTAACCGATCGTTCCATTTTTATACTCGCGGTTGCCTCCCTCACACACACATTCCGATAGAGGAAGGATTGCTTTCAATAGGTGGCCGGCCCACGCCTGGTTTCGAGTTTTTGCTCCGCGGAAATGTGGAACCAGAAGAGAGCATCCCCCCCTTGCCCCCTCCCTCCCCCCCTGCCCCCCGCGGAGAGTATCCCCTTCCCCCCCCCCCTGCCCTCTCCCTCCCCCCCCCTTGCTCCCCCCCCCTCCCGTTTCTTCCGTTCTGCAACCGAAAAAGCCGAGGAGAGCATGTACCAGATGCTGGAGCGCAAGCAGCACGACGTGGGGCTCATGTTGGACGGCCAAGCCTCTCGCCTCAACGCCGAGAAGGTGGGCTCCAAGGCGCGGCACGGACGCTCGGAAGCCATGGCTTGCTCTATGGGCCCGTCTTGTTTTGAGGGGACCTACGTGCTTTATTTGTTTCTTGTTGCGTTTTTTTTGTTTAAGGGAACCAAAAAGGCAAGCACCATTTTGTTTGGCGGGTTTTCGAAAAAAATGAGACATCCCATATGGGTTTCGCTGGGATTTATTGGGGTTGCTTGGGTTCATTTGGGTTTACTATAGTTTACTGCAGGGTTTGCCAGGGTTTACCAGGGCTTGCTGAGGCTTAGGCTTCTATTTGCTCGAGGAGGTTATTCATTTGCTCTTGTTGGCCTTCAAAGACATGCTCATGTGTGACTTTCAGAAATCTACATTGGAAATGGTTCGTTCTTTCATTTGCTTCTTTGTGCTTGTCTCAGTAGTCGCAGATCTTTTCGCCTTTGGGGTTCCTTTTTCCAATTTAGCCCTAAGCGTTATTGTTGAATTCCATGGGGTGCCCTCAAGTTTTGGACGACGTCGGTCAATCTTTGGCCGGCGATTACCGACTAGACGGCTCCATCCAAGCAAGGTTCTTGTTAGATCCTTCGCTTCTTTCCCACAAGGTTTTCGGCTGTTGTGGAGAGCCCTCAATATCTTCCCACCGCTTCCATAATGATGTGTTTGAGCCATTCACCTCCCACTGATTCATGTACAGGGAGTCATGGCCACAGAAGGCCAAACCTTTGCTTTCCTCGTCCTTTGGTTTCTGCCAAAACTAGGATTATACCTCATAGCCCAACTAGTCAAAGGGGGCTTGCGACAAATCCCCAACCTCCCACACTTGAATTATCGCATGTACCCCTTATCCCAGTGGCACAGAACCTCCATACCTCCAAGGCCCAGACCCGAGACTTCCCCCTGAAACCTGCGTGGCACGCGACGTTTTTCCAAGTCGGCGCCAGGGCACTTTCTCCAAGTCGGCGCCGGAGCTTCCGGGCCCTTGCCTCAAGTGGGCCGAGTCGGTTGCCATTGGGCGTCTCTTTAAGACCCCGAACAGGGAATCCGAAGAGAATCGCGACATTCCCGAAGGTTCAAACGACTTGAGGCATTTTTGGGGAGACTAGAAAGCAAGGTAACCACCAAGTTTAGACTTGGGCCAACTCGGGCAAATTTGGAGGGCTTCCCTTGGCCAGCAACCGAACATAAAAATTGGCCGCCGCTCCTCCCCTCCGAACTCCATGCCGACATGTCGGAGCGACACGTGAAGGGCCCGGCGGACCCGGCCGTTGAAACCGCCCGAGCAGCGGGGTCGATCCTTTTGAAACCGAAAGAGCGGTGGCCAGCGGTGGCCAGTCCCTGAAAAATGTCATATTCTCAAGCCCATAAATTTCGGAACACCCACCATATGATGGTGCCTTGTTCTTTGAGACTTTTGAGGGGACACATGTGTTTTTTTTGCGGGTTTTCGTGGGGAAACCAAAGGAACACCGCCATGGGGTGGCCTAAAAACGAGACACCCCCATCATGTCTACTGTGGAAACCCAGCGAAAGGCTTCCCATGAGAAACACCCTTGAGTGGATTGGTCTATCGCTGATTTGATCTTTTCCAGGAGGGTTTAAGTATGTTGAGACACTTGGGGAGCCAGGGAAGCATGGTTGGTGAGACTGCGAAGCTATTTGTGTTTTCAATCGTGTGGTATCATGTGATTGTTATGTTAGGCGTTCCCCTCACTAAACATGCTTAGCTTCCTCCAGCTTTAGAGTTGTCACATCCCCATGTCAAGCGGGTAAAGTCGTAATCCGCCAAGGCGGACTTGTGACGGAAAAACTGACATATGTGTCATTTGTCAGGGGGCCCAACAAAATGCAGGTGTTCTTTTGGTTTCCCTTAATTCCACCCAACACGGGGTTCCCCTCAAACACGGGTTTTGTTGGGTGGTTTTAAAGGGAACGTTGGGGCCCCCAAAACTGACACACCCACACATCCCTTTTGGGTGCGTATTCTAGTTGCCCTCAAGTGAGTTCCCTTTTGGTGAATTCTTGATGTTTCTATCGGGGACACATTGTGACACCAAGGAACCCGTTGATTTGGACAGCCCAGCGAACACCACAAAGTAGTATGATCGCGGCTCCAAACCGGATACCCCAAAGTGTGGTCGGTTTGGTTCTCGTTTGTTTTCCACTGTCGTGTTCAGCAACCAACCGCAACCCCCCGAGTAGTCTTTTGCAGCATGTCCTTTATTGCAAGTGGACAGCACCAGAACCCGATGACGTTTGTTGGGTTCTTCCTCTTGCCCGTTTTACCCGAGTTGCCTGGCAAGCGAAGATTGAATGAGGTTGCTGCTGCTGCGTCAAGTTCTTGTTTTCAGCTTGAGGTGACGCACTGGTGCCAGCTGAAGCTGGCGACTCGATCCCGATGCAGGTGGGGACTGTTTGGACATGATATGATCTTGAGCGCTTGTGCGCCGTCTATGTTTTACGTGCACGCGCAGCAAGTTTCAGTTCTATTTCGGTAAGCCCCCCTGAGCAAAAGCTGGATCAACTTTTGTAGGCATGGTGAGTCAATGGTGTGTTTCCAAAAGGTCCAAAGTCTAAAGTTGGGCCTTCGGATCACCATCGGGCTTTGCTGACATTCACCTGCCTGTAGTTGTCCAGTGGCAGCTGAGTTCATGTTTTTTTTTTCGGGCAGCCAAGCAAAGGCATGATGCTCCCAATCAGATAGGTTCTTACTCATCCTCGTAGGTGATGGTTTGCGTGTGTATTTGGGTGTTTGTTTCTTTGTTTGTTTGTTTGGACGTCGGTCGGCGGTTGGTTGGTTGGTTGGTTGGTTGCTTGGTTGCTTGGTTGCTTGGTTGCTTGGTTGCTTGGTTGCTTGGTTGCTTGGTTGCTTGATTGATGGTTGTTTGCTTGGTTGGTTGATTGCTCGGTTGTTTGGTCAGCCAGTTAGTCAGTCAGTCAATTTTGTGTGTTAGCTAGTTGGGGTTGGTTGTTTATTAGTGCTGTTCGTTTTTGTGTTGTCTTGCTTGCCTGCCAGCCTGCCTTGCTTGTTTGTTTGTTCGGCTGACTGGCTGGCTGGTTTGTTTGCCGTGTTTGTTTTTTTCTTTGCAGGTAGCCAGTGACTCGCTTTCCAGGTGTATCGCCTTGATCTTTGTGGGAAGACCAGTTGGCGGTCAACAAAAAGTCGACACTCAGGAAGTGAGGTGATCCTCCAAACAAGTCGGTTTCCTTTGTTCCATGGTTACCCGTGTTGGACCAATGTTGTTCAAACAGCCAGGCTCTAGCCACAGACAAGGAGTTGACTCAACCAACCCTGATAACCAAATGGAAGTTGTTTCCTTGGTGGCTCCGGGCCATCCGGTTCCTTAGCTTCTTAGATCTTTTTACTTGGTTTCGTGCTTGGAGATCCGAGTTTTACCCCCAAGCTAGTCACTTTTAGGGGATCTGTTTAGCTTTTTAGATCTTTTTGTTGTTGGTTTATTGGTTGGAGATCCGAATTTTAAGTTTCTAGGGGTACCTTCCATGTCCATTCTTTCCAGGGATCCGGATCTTTTCAGGAAACCAGCAAAAGCCCAGCGGAAACAACCAGGTTTCGAGAAGAACGATGGTTGAAAAGAATGGAAAAGGAATCAATTCCTGGAAAGTTCCTCAGGGAAAATCCGAAAACGGACAGCCCGGTTTCAGCGAACCCGCAGGCTCCAGCTGCGTCGACAGGCCTTGACCTCGGAGTTCGGCGGGTCTTTGACCGCCCAGAAGGACCTTTTGGACACAAGCGATTTTTCCAACGACACTGCAAGAGTGTCTAATAAAAGTGACACAAATACATCTTAAGATTATTTTCCTAATATACATTATATATACACATATATTTAAATTCAACATTAGTGCAGTGGTTGGACCTTTTGCTCAGGGAGGGAGTGCAACCCAGTGAGACCATACACAAAGTGAATACAGCCCGGGTTCACGCCATACCCTTGGCCACCCGCCTCGCCGATGGCCAAAAACATGACTTGACGCCAGCAGGGTTGGGGAAGGGGAGGGACGAGACTCAGATGACTGGAGGGACGCCCAGAACCTCCAAATTTGACTTATATACTTCCATGTGCTGACGATTTTTGTTTTTACCCTGTTGGTTTTAAAGGGAATCTATCACTACTGGACATATTATTATTCTTCCGGGGGTCTTAACCAAATGGAAGATATGCGTCCATTTCCTTAAGAATAGCTGTTATTGTACCTCTTTGATTTGAAAAAGGAATTTGTCACTATAGTGGAAATATGTTTTTTTTTACCCCCAGGTGACTGAAGCAAATGGCTGTATATACATGTTCCAGGTTTTAGTTCCCCCGCCCTCCGCCCCACCCATGCCCCCTCCCTCCCCCCTGCTGTGGAGTGGTTGTAAGCGCAGCTGGTTAAGGATTGGTTAAGGGTTGCGCCTAAAATAGCTATACCGCGGCAATGTGGGGATTGCCCGAGATTTTGGCTTGACAGAGGTTTCACGAGTGTATACATTTGTGCTTGGAAAAATCCCCACGGAAAACGTCCTGTCTCAGATTCAATCAACCTAACAAAGTACTCGTCGCTCGGGGGATGTCTTGCAAGCGAACATTCTCCACAAAACAGCGCGCGCGCACACACACACATACCTGTTGATCAACTAGGATATCACCAATCTTGCATTGCCACTGTCGTATTCCATGTCGTGGAGAAGGATCCTTTGAGAGAGCTGTACAATTTCATGTTTGTTGGTGGGAGGGTAATTCCTATGCATCAACAATGGTTTATTCATCCTAGTTTTCGATGGTTCCCCTTAAAAATGATAGAACAGTGGTAGGAGATGGGAATTCCATGTTGGTATCACAGAAAGGGCAACCATTTTCCACCGTAGGAAGCGCCCAGTGAGGCACTTGCCGGGTTTTTAGTATGACTCTGGGCATTCGATTTGTTAAGCCCCAGTTAATTCAGGAGGGCAATCCAAAGGAACCAGGAAACTCCAGGTGATACCTTTTGTGAGTGACCAGGAAACAGTAAACCCTGGAAACTTTCCTGGCACACCGGAGGAACCCTCAGGAAAACCCGTAACACCAACGAGGAAAATCTAGGAGTTAACCAGGATTAGCCAAGTGGTTTGTGGAGCCCCACCCAACCAGGACCCTCCTCAGAAAAAGGCAAACACAACACCCAGGAACCGAAACTGACCCAGGAAAAACCAGGAAAAACCAGGAACTCTGGAGAAACTCAGGGAACAGGGGACGAGCAGCCGGCTCAGAAGCGACACAGGGACATCCTCCGGAAAATCCTCAGGAAATGAGCAGCACTCACGGCCCTTGGTCTTCAAGCCCGCGAGAGAGGCTGAGGCCATCGAGGCCTGGCCTCGTGTTGCGCAAAAGGCGCCGAGAAAGTCCGTTCAGGTTGGTGGACCCATTGTCCCTTTTCGTCCTTTGGGTCGGTCAGGGGTACCCAGTTTTCCCTTTGCTTTAAACACCGCCCTTTCAAGGACCACTTTTAGACGAGCTCCTCTTGTGAAGAAACCCAAAGGAACCCCCTATGTTGCCACAAAGCCATGTGCGGGTATTTGTTCTTGCGGGTGCTCAAAAATGGCGAAGCCAAAAAGAAACCAACCATTTTTTGGGGTCCGCTATTTCGAGACAGAGCCATATATAGATTTGGCTGTTGGTACCCGCCAGATTCCCTTCTAAAATGGACCAAACAAAAGGTGCCCGCCACCAATTGCATGGAATCTGACCTTCAGGGGGATCTTGGTTGGACCATTTTCCTCATTTGGTTTGGTCATTTTAGATATTGGGGTTACCCCATAAAGGGTATCTGCGTTTTGACCCACACTCATTTCCAGACAAACTGCTTCGCCTCCTTCTTCGTCGACTCCGCAGGTCGATGAGCTTCCGGTCGTGGAGAGCCGGTAGGGCGCCCAGCAAGCGGAAGCAGCGCGGCCTTGTTTCCTCCCTTTGGGTTCGTTGAGGTTTCGGGTTCGTTTAGGCACTTCATTCTAGTTCACGTGCGTTTTCGCCCACTTCATCAAATTTGACTTTTGTGTTTGTGAATTCACCCACTTCGTCATATTTCACTTGTTTTTGTCAATTTACCTTGGGTTTTGGTGATTGATTCACCCTGGAATCATTGGACTTTGATTGGGTTATAGCGATTGTTAGATCAGTTGGCGCACGGAGCCTCAATTGCGAACCATTCCTTTGGAATCGTTAAATGTGTGCTAACCGTGAGAATTGGTTGGGTATGCCTAACTGATTGTGACTCACAATATCACTTGCTCATTAACGCAATTCTCACTTCACGGGGTTTGGTAACCTTTAGGCTCTCTGTTGACATTTGTTTGCATGTTGTGCGCGACATCTTGGCCGAGCGCAAGAATCAAGGGGGAAAGTTGGAGGGTTCGGCTTTGTCATGGCATGACAACGCGTTGCAATTACCAGTGCTTTCCTTTTGTTTAAGTTGACTGAGGCAGGGCAGGCCCCTTTTCGGGATGTGTGGTATGGGAGTCGTACTTGACATCAAACGTAATGTTGGCCCCTGATTAATTGCTCCCCCCCCCCGGGAGGTCGTCCGCCCACAAGCAAGGAATCCCCATCAAAACGGCCCCCTCAAGTCAGCGGTTTATTAATCAGGTGTCAACGTGTCAACATTGGTTTGCTTTCACATGCACATAAAAGAGTACGTACATGACTGGGGTCTTCCTCAAGACTCAAGCTCATTTTATCGTTTTATTTGTAGGAAACCCTTTGTGCTGATATCAAAGCAACCCTGTGCAAGCTGAAGATCATTGTCAGCAGCTGTGTGAGCTTGCTCAACCCCCGTAGATGGGGCACGCAAGTCCAACATCCAGGACGTTGCCTCCCTCCTGAATCACAAGAGCAAAGAGTGAGTGGAGGTCATGTTCAGAAAGATCATTCGGCTCCTAGCTCGCCACCCTCAATCTTCAGGGCCTCATGGAGGACCTGAAAGAGGGCAAAGGATGACCTTCTGAGCTGCACGCAACTCAAGTGTATCGACCCACCAAGTGCGTTGAGTTTGAGCATAGGCCGCATACCCCAAGGCTCGTGACCCCTTCAACGCAAATTTCAGGGCGTCTCCAATGAAGGATCCTGACCGATTCCCAAAGAACTCGATGGTACCCTTTGCCCTTACAAGAAATTGAAGCTAGGTGCTGCTCCAGTAGGTCATAAGGGCGCGATCATTGGGAATAAGACCTAAGGTCGCTGACTCGGTTTTTTTTTTCCCGCCCGTTGAATCCTCATGCTCTATTTGTTGCGTTTCGGTCGTTGTTCCCCCGCCGTTTGTGTAGGTCAAAGGCAAACTCAGTTCAACGGCTGAAGGGCATTCCCACGAGCGCCGTCTTTTTTGCAACAAAAGCGAGAGACTTGCTTGCACAGGCCTGAGCCCATCGACATCGACTGAGCTGGGCTTGAGCGGCACACTGCCTCAATAATTTTCCCAGGGCTGGGCTGGGGAGTGCAGGGCTGCCGCTGAGCATCCAGCGGCGCGGGATGGAGGAATCGGATCGAGGCAAGGGAAACCCCTGCGATTGTGCTGGGGAAACCACGGGGTTGCAATCTCCACGTTGATCGTGTGGACTGAGTTCCCATTGCCATTCGGGAATCGCCTACATGAACAGAACGGGGGCTTCGATTGGCCGATGGCCAACGCGCCTTAGAAGAGGCCGTGCTAGTGAGCCAAAATTAGCTTTACAAAAGATCGGGGAAGTGATAGTAAGTGATCAGCAAGTGTCAGTACTCAGAAACAGGTGCGGATATCCACCCTGAAGGGTCCAGATCCTTGAGCATGGGGGATGGAGTGATCTGATTCCTCTGCGCGAGCTGACACCACGGGGAGGTGGAAGCTGCAAAATGGGCCGAGGGCAGATGTGCTTAAGCTGGGTTGTCGGATATCTCATGCAAATAGCGGGGTTGGCCCAAACCCTTGTTGTGTTTCTTCAACAAATTGTTGTTGTTTATCAGGTAACCTCTAATTGGTTGGATTGGTTTGAGACATAATACCCTTGGCTCACGGATGGGAAGCCACCCCTAATCCAAACCAATCCAAACCACCAACTAGAGGGAAGCAGAGTTTAAGCTTAAACCGCTGGTTTCCCTTGCGACCGGGTCTTGTTGCTTGCATTCTTCCCCAAAAGGAAACCTCAGGGGGTGGCGTTTCTTGATTTGTTCCGCTACTTGACACCCAGGTGGCTGCACTCAGCAGATCTTGACCTTGGCCTTTGTGGTTTTAAGAAGATTACGTCTGGAATCCCTCAGGGCGGGTGGTCCAAACAAGGGTTCCCTCATTATAAGGCTCCCAACCCTAGAAAAACCCTGAAAAACCTGTCGGCTCTCCACTACCCACCTCCTTGTACCTACATCCCCCCCCCCCCTCGCCTTCCCCCAGAGGGATTCTGTATTTTGTGCTAGGTTGTCTTTACGCGTTCTCCATAAAAAAAAAAAAAAAAAAAAAAAAAAACGATCACGTTGTAGACTTATCCGACCCACATGTTTATGATAGACGGGAAATTGGAGGAGGCAGTGATTCTTTGGTTCTCTTTGTCTCGACGAGTCTCCGCGTGTCGTTCTTTTTGGCAGAATAATCGCTGCCTGAAGCCTCTGCCATGAACAATGAACATTGTTCAGCAGTTTTGCCTCTTGGTTTGACCCATGACATGCAATGTGTTGGCCTTTTGATTATGCTTTATTTTCCGTGAAGCAGCGAACAAACAAGTATACGCTTACCACATGTTTGTGGGACCAAGACAAAGGTTGCGCGGTTGTTTTCAGCGACTCCCCGCTTTTGGGGGGCTAGGTGCCAGTTCGCGGCATTTGGAAGGAAGATGTCCAGGGTGTTACTTGTCAAAACTAGAAACAGCCGGTGACACGTTTGTGGAAAGTTGAGTTATAGGTTGATATTTTGTCTGTACCAAGGGACTCCACTTGATAAACTCGGCATACCCACTTTGGTGGCACAGAGTTAAGGTGACTCTCACGCGCTCACAGGGATCCATCGTTTTGGGGACCCCGACAGGTTCGGATTTTCAGATTGACGGAGAGCTCACCTCGGTGAGCTCCCAGCCTTGAGCTCCGGAATGGCCCGGTCTCTCTACCATCCCACTTGCCCAGTGGCGCCCGTTTTGCCTTCCCTTTTTCGGGGGAAGGGTTCCCCTTGAAACTCGAACCAAACAAGGATGCCCTCCTTTTTCCAAAGACCGGCAGTTTTTCTTGCCCTGCAGGCTTTTGTGATGGACGATCCCCTGGTTTGGGTGTTGCGGAAGCTTGAATTCATGTGCAGCATCAGCAAATCGATCTCTCGCCATTTTCTTGTTCAACAGACTATAGCTGTTTGTTTGCGTGTGGATGGGGGGCAGGGAGGGTCTGGGGCTGGCAGCATGTCACATGCCGCACTTCGGCGATAGCTTTTCTGTGATTCCAACTACTCGGCGGCCCGGCTCGACAAGAGTCCGGACCCGGGTCTTGTTCCTTTTGGTGGAAACGAGGCAGAACCGTTTAGTTTGCTTGGGGGTTTTAAAAGCATCACGTTTGGGTAGGTCAAATCGGGTTTGGACGATTGAACATTGCCCCAAAAAGAAACTAACTTCAAAATGGCAATCTGGTTTTCCCATGTTGGTTCATTAGTCAAGGTCCCAAAAGGCTCTTCCAATACCAAATTGACGTTGCACCCCCAAAATAACTCAAGCTTGTAGAGGTTTCCCTCCTTTCGGTGGAGCCCCAAGAACGGTTTTGCGTGTTAATTTGTAGGGGAGAAGCCTTTTGTCTCGCTCCCTGAGTTGGACTTTCAACTTTTGGGGAAGACCATTTTAGTAGTAAATCAAAAAGTTCCAGGACGGTTCTTGGCCAATTCGGTCGATCGGAAGTTCGTTTCTTTCGTTTTCCTAGTCCCTTAGGGCCAGAGAATCGATCGAGCGAGCCCCGCAGGACAAGAGTCCGGATCCTGCGCACCAGCTCACGAAGACCTTCTCCCTGAATCCCAAGAGCATCACCATGGAGGACGGACTTGAGCCGCAAATTCAGAAACCAACCGGGTGGCGGACCCCGTGTGTCGGTTGGCTTAAAAAAGATAAGAAAAACCAACGGGTTGCCTGGTGTGTCCTTTTGTGGGACCCTGTGTGTTTTGGTTGGGGTAAAAGGAATCCCAACGGAAATCAGCCATTTTGGGGGGTCTCATTTTGAGACGTCCGCCCATGAGTGGATAGGGGCTGGACGTCCTTTTCTCCCGGCCACTCGTGGATGTGTGTCTCAGAATCGGCTGTGGAAAGGTCCTCACCACTGTAAGCGAGCCCCTGGGTTTGCTTTTTGCAGACCCATTTACCCTTGGCGGTCTAGTTGGACACTTTTTGGGAGGGCCGTTTCCGTTGCCCTCAGACATGCTGGTTTGTGAGGTCAACTTTCGAGTAGAGATTCGAACCCCAATGGAGAGTGAGCAAGGGAGGTAAACAACAAGCTATTCAGACTTTGCTTGAGCAATCCACTCCTCAGCAATTCGGGCCCCTTTGCCTAGGATGCGTGCCTCTCAATATCACATTGTTTGGCAACACTCCAGCTATTCGATGGGTGGGTGTTTTTTGTTTTTTTTTTTTTGTGTGTGTGTGTGTGTCCAACATTCAGATCTAATTTTCTTCCAAACGGGTGGTTACCAATTCAATTCCGGATATTAGACCACCCCAAAAGATTGCTGAGCCTAAAGCAAAAACCATTCCTGGGAAGTAAAATGACAAAGACCTTTAAACAAACATGTTCACACCTCCAAAGGGGCAGTCAATGCCCTTGATGGACGATCCTTTCCGGTTTTGTGGCTTTTCCTGGTTTCTTAACGCCGGGTACCATCCGCACTGTTTTCCCGGGCTCTTGGGTCATGATGAGTAGGTCATCACTATCATTAGCGCCTGCTGAAAGGGAGGCACACCCAGAACAACTAGCTTGGCTCCTTAAAAAAGAGCTTTGATTGTTTCTCAGAATTGGGTATTCCTGCGGACCCACTGCAAAGGAGCTCCTTCGTTTTGCGAGGTACTGAATTTTCAAAGGAACTAAGGGATGTTGCAAGGGATGGTCATCAGCCAGGATGCAAGGCTGTGTTGTTAAGAGGCTGATTTGCGACCGAAGGATGTTCCAGAGTAGATGGCTTCAACATCAAGTCACCTCTCACCAAGGTTGGGCCAACTTGATTTTAGCCTGAGCATGGACTACAATGGACACCCAATGGAGCATATTTCGACGACTGAAAAATTTGTTGTTGTTTTTTTTCCAAAAATCGCTCTCTGCCACCACCGCTTTTGAGGGGGCTTTCTTCTTTGGGACATGTTTTCACAGCTGCACGCCTCTGCTTTTGGATTGGACTCTCTGCCCTCCACTGGACCAGACGCTTGATCGGCTCAAGCCATGCAGGGCCCAGACCCCAGCTTCAAAAATTAGACACGGCCACATGCTAGCCACAGAAGCGCTGCATGTTGCTCCAATCAGATACTGGATGCTTGGAATGGCCTCTCATAGATGTTGCAGCAGAAACACCGTTGTTTGGAATCTGGACAAGTTGCCGCAAGGTCAGAAGCGACCTCAAGCCCAATGATAAAGTCTGAAGATTGCTCTCATAGGTTTTCCTTCTTTCGGGTGTGTCATGGTGTGCGTGTGTGTCATTCTGAATCATTTAGACTTGCCCATTTGCCGATCCACAATCCGAACTAAACAGTGAGCTGTAATTTGCCCATGGAAGCGACATCTTCCCATAACACAAAACCAGCGAAGCCATCGGCACCGTGCCGAGTGCATCGGGAGGCCGGGGGCTGTTCCTACAAGGGTGCTCCAAGTCTTTACTTACTTTCTTGCTTAGTGGTGGAGTGTTCGCAGGCTTTAAACTGTTTGTAGGCATGGTGTTGTATCATTTTCGTCAAGGTCTCAGAAAGTTTGAACTTGTTTCTGTCAACTTGGCACTCGAGTTTGAAGGATGACCCAAAGTTGCGCGACCCCAAGGGGTGCAACTGCTGATTCCCCCTCGACCATTCTTGCCATCGATTGCTGCTCATAGTTGTGGCCAGTTGCAGAAGCAGCTGTTTGTCATAATATTGTGACCCACGGTGTAGGCTAAGTCACGGGAAGCCCAGTTAATTGTTTGTGCGATTTAGATACGATTTTGATATGATTGGAGAACTTGGTTTTGTTACGCCGGTTTTACGATATTTTTACGATATGGGATCAGGAAATCGGAATTTGTTTCAACAAAAAATAAACTAATGGAAATCGTATTACAATCGTATTGAAGTCGTATTAAATTTGTATTAACACCGTATTTTTTGCGATGTTAATACGATTTCAATACGATTTGAATACGGTTTCTAATACGATTTTAGTACGGCTTTTTGCACCCCCTGCTTTCACGTGCATGTCCAATGTGTAAAAAAGGACGTAACAAAAACATAAATGTTACAGGAGTCGTATTGAAATCGTAAATCCGAATCGACAAAAAAAAAAAACGTAATGAACACATAAAACTAAATATTCAGGAAAATGCTGGTTAGGCTGACAGCGTAGGTCACAATCATAATAAGGGAACCCTCTGATTAGACAAATCACGAAAGCTAGCTTTAGCTAGCTGAAGTTTCTCCTTGCGTAAGCAAGGTAAGGGGCTCAAATGCCGAAAGATTGATTTTTTCAATTATTTGAGCCGAAAAGATTGAAAAACATCAATTATTTAGACCCCTCCCCCCCTCCCCCCCCCCCCGGGTCTCAGGCTCGATTCCTCCCTGGTCCATCCCCCCCCCCCCGGGGCAGTGGCTCAGTGTTCAGCAGTCTCGGTTTGCCCGTTTTGGACTTGGTGCTACGAACTTTTACATGTTCCACCGATTCAGCTTGTTCATTTGAGACCTCAGTCTTCTCAGTAAACTACCTCGCAAGAATCTTTGCACACGCTGCATGCAGAACCCAGAGGTGCTTTAAGACAGCTTCTGACGCCTCTCGTTGTTTTCATTTTTCAAGGTTTGCCACGCCACCATGTGCGTTTGCGTGTCACATCCTACGAATCTTGCCGGGCCTCTCCTTGTACACAAGCTACCTATGAATCCACTCTGTCACCGACCCATCTCATGCAACAACTGCTAGCTTTCGTTCACCCGCTCCTCAAGTTTGTCATAAGAATGGTCCATGCTATCAAAGAGGTTATTCCCTTGTAGGGTCATCAATAGACGATTTGGAGTGGTTCGGGGCTTTGAGGGGGTTTCAGGCTGGGGATGCCAAATGGGCTTGTTTTCAATCAAATGTGTGTGTCTGTGTGTGTGTGTGCCCCTCAAGCACTTCTTCGCTGGTTCGTAGGGTTTTGCCTGTTGGCTGGTTCGTCATGGCTTGTCCAAAGAACCCCGATATGTGGAGTATTGTTTTCACCAGATGCAAGTAGACCTTCTTATTTCATGTTGGAGGGCGTGTTGGTGTGGTCAAGGGCCAATGTTTACAGTAGGTGTCCAACGCTCACAAGTTCCAATAGATGGCTTATCTGGTGGAGGCTAGAGAGTTCAGTGCCATATTTTGACACTGTATGCTTTTGCGGCCGGCCTTTTGAGTGTTAAATCAGGTCGTTTGTTTGGCAAATCCACAGAAGTGTTAGGAAGCGGTGGGGATCTGTGTTGAAGAGGAGCGGGCGTCAAAAGTCAAACCCTTTCCCGCTACTCCAAATATGCACTTGTTTAAGGGAAAATTCGGGTGTGACGTTTTTAGAGGACCCCCCTTGTCTTTTTCCGAACACCTACCAAAAAGGGGGTATCCTCAAAAATCACACACACACACACATACGCGCATTTTGCAACGCCAGGGGTTCCATGAAAATTGCCGCCAGTTTTGTCAGCTGACATCATACCCAGTTTTCAAGTGAGTATTTGGCGCACTGGGAACGGATGAAATAAACAATTGGTTGATTCATAGAACTGTGCCGTTTAGAGGCTATTTGCATGACTCTTGGGGGAACACCACACCCTATTTATTTGCAAGGTGCATTAGTCCGAGAGCTTTTCCCTTTCGTTCGGCATTTGAAGGGAACCAAGAGGACGCCAGCCAATTTTTGAGGGACCCGTTCCTGTTGTGATAGCCCCACCAAATTGGTCGCTGTGTTGGTGGTTCTTGTGCTTGGTTGCTTGGAGGCCATGGGCGGCAACACGGTGCTGGAGTTGAAGTACCACGTGCTGCATGGCAGACTTACCCAGGCTGGGTCAATGATGGGTCAAACCCCATCGGACACCCAGTGGGTTGCTTAACTTCTCTTTTTGGTTTTTGATCTTTGGAGGGGTCGTGCTGTACAATCAACTGGCCAAAACGAGTGCCCTTTCTTTCCTATGGCCACTGAGGGTCTGGATCCAAAACAAAACTGTTCGAACATATTTGCTTGGAGTACCCCAGTGGGCCAAGACCGAGCTGTTCCAATGAGAGCGATTTACCTCACTTGTACCGTGCTCCACGGGCCACCTGCTTTGTTCCTTTCTTCCGGGTCCATGTCCTAGTTCGGGCAATACCTTCTTGGAGAGAAGGTACACAACTCACCCAAAAAACAGTGCAACACATCCAGCTTTGCGCTGCGCGTCCGATGCCGAATTCACCCAGTTTGCGCCAGGCGCCCAATGTATTTAGGGGCAACACCCCATTCGGGCATGAATTTTAATTGGAGACCCTTTGGTGGACATCAACATTTGGCAGGTGGATGCATGTCCAAGCACCAATGAGGTGGTTCCCTGTTACAATTTTATGGCCATGAAGTTGTTTTTTGTTTTTTTGCAGGGTTTCCTGTTAATCTCCCAGGCGAAGAAGCTGCTGGCAGCCTCGCAGGTCTCCCTAGAGGCACGGACCAGTGGGTCCCCTTGCTGCAATAGGCGGGGGAAATGACCTGAGAAATGGAAATGACCCGTATAAAAGCCATCACACTGGTGGTTTCCTCTAAGGGAATCCCCTTCCTGTTCATTCCCTGGTTCCTTACCTATCGCACCAGCAAGCCTCATCCAACGGGTGGTTTCCTTTTCCTACTGAGCACCAGCAAGCCTTTGTGTTTTGTTGCAAAGGGGAAACCAACGGGCAACCCAGCGGTCTCTTATTGAATGACAACAGTGTGTTTCGAAGGCGGCAGGGGAAACCGAGAGGAAACGCAACCTCCCAAATTTTGAGAAACAGCCATGTAGTCCAAGTCTTCCAAAGAGGGGCTGCCCAAAATGACAAGTCGGACTGACCCACCCTGCATCCTCCATGTGAGCCCAACAATTGACAGGACCTGGCATCACATGTGTCACAGTCAAAGCAAGCATTTACGTGGGATCGGCAGGGATGGTCATAAACCGCATGGGGGCCAGAAAATGCGAAGAAGGGTCATGTGTTGTCCTTTCCCGGACACCAAACTGTCTACCCTTGCAGCGATGTCGAATCAGAGCCACACTGCGGAAACAGTCGATTTGTCAGGGTCCTTAAAAGATGCATGTGTGCCAGTCAAAACATTACTTTATCCGGCTGTTTTCGAGGGTTCCCTCATAAAGCAGCTGGGTGTTAGGATAAGGATCCCTGTTTCTGTCCAGCCCAAGAACGACATCGCTGGAGCCTCATTGAAACCTGCATTGCAAATTTCTGGATCTCCATTGCAAGGTTTTGGACCTCATAAAAGGCAAATTTGAGGTCTGAGGATTCTTCGGGTACTATAATTTACCTTTCGTTGCTGTGCTGATTTCCAGAACACGGGGAGTGAGTCATTCCCTTGGCGCCCGGTCCTAGGAATCGCTGGGCGGGGGTCATATCTTGTTTGGTGCAAGGAAGCGGCAGACGAGGATGGCAACACGCCCGGACCTTACTCGCAGACACAGAGCCAGCAATAGAGAATGGTCCTCCGGCTTATGACAGGCTAGGTACCCCTAGGAGCATCCATGGTCATTTGGGTGCCGAAGGGAATGTTGATGAACCCTTCTATTTTGGGGGTTGATCAATATTCCCTTTAGGGCCTTCACGTGACCATGGAGCGCTTTTCCCATTTAGTGGGACATGTCGTCTTTTTTGTGGTTTTCCGACGAAAATGGTCATCCCATTCAAAGAACCTTTTGATCAACCCTCATATACCAAAGCAGGTAGCCTGATCATACCCCGTATGCGGGCAGCCAAAAAGCGGGCAAAAACGCATCCCAGTGACTTGGGACGCTCGCCCACGGATAGTTTTGTCTCACACTGGACCCCAAGCAGAAAAACACGTGGCTTGCCATTGGTGTCGCTGTCAATCAACCCAAACGGGGTACCCTCAAAAAGAGACACACCCGGGTTGGTACACCAATTGAACCTCGGAGGCATCGCTGATTTGATTAAGGCGAGGGGTGTCAGTAAGAGGAGGCCATTCCTCGGGCCGAAAGAACTTGCAGTTTGGTGTTCCCAAACTGCCAGTGTCCATCAAGCAAATACTTTGCTGGTTGATTGGGATTCAACTTTCCATCAGGCAAATGCTTCTTAGGTGGTTGCTCGGAAGAATATCGGCATTTGTACAGGGTTGTCTTGGCTTCCGGTTGGGTTCATGCAGATTCTCTCCACGCTCGGATCGTTGGGTTTCGGGCCAGGGTTCCACGGGAGTGTCGTTGGTGAGGGCGCTGCATTGGCTGGCGCAAGCCCTCACGGAGCCGGAGAAAGAGGCATCGGAGCAGGAGCAAAAGACAAGTGCCTTTTGAGGGCTTTTCGGGGTGATTCTCGTTTTTTTTCTTCTGCTCGATGAGTGTTGCTTGGCATGTATGTTGGGAGCTTGGACTTGGTTTTTGTGAGTTTTGCCCTCGGGCGCTGGGGTTCAGAGTTTTGGAGGGCTGCTATTGATTCGTGGATTTGTTCTTTCTTGTCCAATGGTGCCATGCTGAACAAGGGCTGCCCTGTTCCCAACCAACAATAGCCAACCCAACCCGAGCAACCCCAATCCAACACCCTGGCCGCTTCGCTTTGCAACCCAACACGTGCAACCAAAATTCTGAAACCAACCCGTTTTCTTCAAAGTAAGGGGAAGAAACGCCTCAAAGTGAAGGGAACCCTTCCACTTTGAGATTGTAGAGCTGGACACGAAAAGTCACTTCAAGCCTTCAATCTCCCAAACCTGTGCACATGGCTGATCTTTGGCGTGACCTTCCCCCTTGGACCTGTTGGCAACAAAGAGTGTCCTCGTGGAGATGTTTCACGGGAGAATTATCGGGAGCCCTGTCCAACTTGGCGTTCAACATGTACAAAAAAGGGATCAAACAGCAAGCCTTATGGGATAACGCCGTGGGCGAGTGCGTGGAGCCAAGAGTCTTGCAACGATTCTTAAGGGTAGCGGCTGGTTTCCCCTTTGACTGCCCCGAAAACCAACGCAGAAAATGTGCCTCACGAGCCAAGTGAGCTCAGCATGAGCGGCTTTCCGTTTTGGGTGGTTTCAGGCCGATGCGTGACATGTTGAAAGCCCACGGTGAACAGAATCCCCAGCTTGACCTGCACTGGGTGCAAAATAGCCCATGCGCTTGTATATGAGTTGTCTTAAAAAGAAACCCATGGGGAATTGATGTGTTTGTTTGGTGCTTCCCCCCCCTCCCGCCCCCGGAACCCATGCTGAGTATATACCTAGTTTGAAGGGTTCTTGCAGTGACAGGAGATGCTGGCCTTTCTCTTGCAGAACGGCGCCCCAAAGAACCGCCAGAACTGCTTAGGCGCGGCGTGTTCTTTTTGTTGTTGTTGTTTCCAATTTTGCAACCGGTTGCAACAAGTCCATTCACAGAAAAGTTGGCAAACTCGTTTTGTTGTTTTGCCCGGTTGGTTGTACAGGGAAGTTCCATTGTAAGTCAAGTTGACGGTCCATTCTTCTCCTTATCTCACTCCCTGAGTTCCTGGACTTCGAGCTTTTTGAAAAAGACCAATTTGGCAGTAAAGAAAAAGCATGGTTTCCTGGTTTGGCCAATCCACTGGCTCAGAGAGTCACGTTCTCCGCGCTTTCAAACTTTCCGTTTGCCTGGCGATGGCCTCACGCACGAACGGTCGACCCAAGGGCCAGCCGGGTGAATGGCAGACCCTGCCATTCGACCTCTTGGCCCTTTGCACCTTTCGGACTTTGAGGATCCCAACGAATCTTCATCTCAGAAGAACCAGCACCCAAGGACATGTTTGGTCCGTACAACGAGTGTCCAAAGAGCGATAGGGAAAGGGGCAGTGGCCAAAGTGTCTGGACTTGGGGGACTTGTTTCATGGGGAACCCCCCTCAAAAGAGCTTGGCAGACATGTCCAAAGCATTCCGCATTGGTGTCCAATGCAAAAATCATATGGGTATGGGTCAAGATTGAACCATAGGGGACCGAAGGTTTTAGTCCATGTTTCCATTTAGAGGGTCTCATTTGGGTACCTATTTTTGACCCTCAGCCATATGGACAGACCGTTTTGGTGGCAGCCACAGAGATTTCGGACGTTGGATTAAAGATAGGTCGAAGGAAACTAATCGAGTGCTTCCAGTGCTTTACTCCACGTAAAGGCTGCTTACCTCTAGGTTTTACCATAAATGTTTTCCCTTGCCTGTGGTAGCTTTTGTCCATGGATGGTTTCCCCTTCTGGCAACTGCAAGCACTGGGAAATTCGGGAGTCCTCAGAGTGTTAGCGCGCTTTCAAAAGCCCGTCGCCCTTGAGCGTTGGGCTTGTCAGGGACAGTCATGGGGTCATGACCCTTAGGGATCGTTTTTGGGATCAAGGACTTTACCCATCAAGCCGAAGTGGCTAGCGTTTCTGACTTGCTCTTTGGTGTGCCGCTATTTGGGTGTCTGCTTCTTGAGGACACCCGTTTTAAGGAGGTTTCAAAGGGAGACCAACTTGAAACCGTCACATTTGGGCCCACGTACCCATGTCCCCCTTGTTCCAGCGAAAATATGCACACGCACTTATACACACATGTTAGTTTTTGCAGTAGTCTAAGTCTAGCCCTAAAGGATCCAACTTGGCCTTGCAGCTTGCTGGGCCTTGTCAGGACGGGCAAGCAGTTGCAAACCTCCATCCTTCGTGGTGGGCTTTCCATTATTTAAATCAAACAACATTGGACCCGTGCTTTCCTCGGCCACAGCGGTTCCCTGAAACACGGGCCGAAGACTTCGGAGGCCAAAGGAGTCTGGAGACATCTGGGTCTCATGGGGCAAGTTCTTGGACCCAAAGTTGAGCAGTTCATTCACTCCCAAGACTGTTCTATTTTCCCAACATGTTCGCAAGGGTGTCAAAAATAATTGGCCCAGATCCAAAAATCTGCGAGAAGCGATTTCCGCTGTTGAAAGGCTCCCTATTTCGGCTCGTAGGTCTATATCACCCCTGTAGATTCGCTCTCATGCTGGCTTGCTTGCGCCTGGGAAGGCCCTACAAGGAGTTCTGCTTCCTGAGCTCTCTTTATCCCCCACATGGCCATGAAATTTCAAGAGTTGGAACCTCAAAAAGTGGTTGGACGTCCCAAATGATGGCCCCTTGGGGTTCCTAATTGAAAGTCATGCCCTCACGTCCTGAGCGAGCGGGATATCAGGTGAGACGCCGCTGATGTCAGCTGTGCGCTTGGCGATCCTGGACAGGGGTGTGGGACTTTGGGGCAATGGACAGTAAACCGAAACCCACAAAAAGACTCGACTCGACCCCTGATTCTGGGTCAACGTGTAAGATGTTGACTATAGTGAAACACATATTTAAACGTTTGGAGACATCTTACATCTTTGCCCCTGATTACAAGAGTGCAACGTCCGGGCGTTGGGTTGAACTAAGGATTCATAGCCCCCACCGAGTTATTCTGGCAGCAAATCCCTCAATGGATTTCCCTTTTTTGCTCGAGGATGATTGTCTTTGCATGTCGAGACTCAACTCACCCCCAGTGGTTCCATGTTAGTGGGAGGCTAAGCAGTTGATCTGGATCAGATTGTCACTATTCTATTGGCGGAATGAACTCACCTTTGTGACCTTAAAGACCGTTCATGTTGCCTTTAGAGCAGCAACAAGCTACTTGTTTCGAGCGGCTGCAAGCCCAACCACTTTTGCTGGGGCAAAGGTGAGGAGAGATCCACTTCAATCGGAGAGAAGAGCATGGAATGCAAAAGCATGGTTCTGGTTGGTTTCATGTGAATCTGCAGGAGGGCAGTAAGTCCCTATGGTTCACGTTTGATCTTTGAAACTCAAGGAAGCTGTTACTCACTCCAGTTGCGTCGTCCAGTTCAGACGATTTCCCCCGCAACTTCGGGGCCAATCAAACATATTGCTCTGCCTCTCCCGGCTCCTGAGCATCGTGTCAAACGAAGCACTGGGTCCTTCCAACACAATCCGCAAGATCCTTAGTTGCGCAAGGATTTTCGGTTTTCGCGGCTTTCCGCTCATGTGTGAAAATCCTCACTCCCTGAGTTCATGGACTTTAAGCTTTTTCGAAGACCGGTTTTAGTGGTAGATAGACAGTTAACCAGGACTTTTGGCAAGTCCACTCAGGAGCTGCCCTCCGACCAACCAACATGGAAGTGCACAAAGCCCGAGCAACGCAGTCTTACCGGGGTTTGCATACCAAGACCATGTTAGTCGGGACAGCAGGAAGTGAGCCGAAGGGGTTGAGTTCCGTCCTTTTGCATTTTTAATGTTCCGACCTTTTGAATCTGATTGGTAGTTTCTCCCCATTTTTTCCGGGTCCCGCCGGTCGTCCCCTTGTTCCGTCGGCGGAAGGTGTTTTTATTATTATTATTATTATTATTATTATTATTATTATTAGTATTATTATTATTATTATTATTATTATTATTATTATTATTATTATTATTATTATTATTATTATTATTATTATTATTATTATTATTATTATTATTATTATTATTATTATTATTATTATTATTATTATTATTATTATTATTATTATTATTATTATTATTATTATTATTATTATTATTATTATTATTATTATTATTATTATTATTATTATTATTATTATTATTATTATTATTATTATTATTATTATTATTATTATATATATATTCGCAGGAGCCGGCCCAGGCGGCCGCCTTTATTGAGGCAGGGGGTTGCAGGGCTCCGGTGGTTGAGCAGTGCCAAGTTGAACCAAGTCCCGTTGAGCAGCCCCCGGTTGCTTTTTGTTTTTGATTTCGTGGGGTGGGGGCGGGGGGGGGGGAGGGGGGGGGGCGACTGTAACAGGAATTAAGCACTTATTAAGGGCAATATACAGCTTGATAACTATATACACCTTGATAATAGTGCTTAGTAGAACCAACAGACTAGGCGTGTTGGAATTAAGCACTTATTAAGGGCAATATACAGCTTGATAACTATATACACCTTGATAATAGTGCTTAGTAGAACCAACAGACTAGGCGTGTTGGTCACTGCTCCCTTTGAATGGTCTCGGAACCTTCAGAATCTACCAGCCACAAAAGGGTGTCCGATGGTCCGATTTAATCTCCCTGGAAATCCCACTGGAAGTCTGAGTATGATTTCCCCTTGGAAGTATCAGCTACAACAAAAGCAACAGCTTGGGGTCCGGATATGTGATTTCAGGGGGGGGGTGCTCTTTTTGGAGCGGTTTCGAAGGGAACCACGAGGAAAGTAAACTTTTTTTGGAGGGGTTCGTTACCCTAAACATGAGGCTCCTCCCCTTTGTGGTTGACCCTATAAGTGAGTTCCGCCAAGTCCCTCCAAAATTGACCAAGATCACAGCCAAAGAAGCGGCCCGGGGCTTGAACTATCCTTGGGGTTGCACATGGATCTAATGTTCTTCCAAGGGACTGGGCTCTCTCAAAAGGCCTAAAACGTTGAATGTGGAAGACAACGTATTTACAACAGGGTGTGTCTTTGTTAGAGGGTGCCCTGTTTTGGTTGTGAATGGGAACACCCCCAACTTCCAGCACAAAAAAACAACTTATACCACGGTATACCGGGGTGCTTTCAAAACGTGAGCCTAAGACGGGTTGCGTTCTTGGGTCAGCCCTGACTTGGTCGCCGAAGACTTGTTGGTCAAGGTGGGAGAGCAACCCATTCTTGAAAAGGCTTAAAACGTCAGATTTGCTCTTCCCCCTCTCCGGCACACAAGGAATGTCCTTTTCAGGGTTTCTTAAAATGCGGGGCCGGGCGGTTCGTCCATTTTGAGAACCCCCTAATTTGCAGGCTGGTTGTGTTCGAACGTGGTTTCTTTGGTGCATTTTGCTTGGATGTTAGGACTTTAGCTTTTTGCCAACTAAGGGGGTTTCCATTAAACCCGCTAAAAGTCGAACTTTTAGCAGGCAACCAAGGTTTGCAAGGACAAAAACCGCCTGGCCCTGGGTTGCCCGTCGGATCGATCCGAGGACCTGTTGGTCAAGGCCCGGGTGGACCCGAGCCGCGGCGACCTGGTGGGCGAGACGCCACTTATGGAGGCGCACGCGAGAGGGCGCCAGGGCGAGAGATGGGGGGCTCCTTTTGGGGGAGTGGGGTGGGGGAAGAGCCGGGGGATTTTCCTAAAGAAACGAGCAACGTCTCAATTTTCCTGGTGGTTCCCAACCATCGGGTTCCTAGCTTTTGAGCTTTTGAGTGTTTAGTGGTTGGATTTCCGTAGCTAAGCCGCTAAAAGTTAGTCACTTTTAGCGGGGGATCTGAGGACAGCCCAGTAACCTCACTTTTCTACTCAGCCTCAAGATTGGCGTTTTGGATTGGCGGTTTGGGGAATTTGAACTCCCTGGTTCTTGCAGAAACGGGACACCCCGGGTGATTTATTTGCGAATCACTTTGGCTGCCTTTGAACGGCGTTTGATTGAAATGCTGATGTCCGAGGGTCAAATGCCTTCATGAAAACCCTCAAGAGGCTTCCCCCTTTAAAACCTCCCATGCATCCTTTCAAGGCCTTGGGTCTCATCACCTTTCCGGTGGGTGGTTTTGACCAAATCGCCAAGCTTCGGAGCTTCTGGAAACAAACATGGCCTGCCCGTACAAAAGGTATTCGATCTTTTGCTCAGGGCTTGGTGCAAACCCGGTATCTAAGTGATATGGCTCTGAATTTTACTAGGGGCCTCCCCCTCATTTACCATGATCATGGTTGGTATGGATCCCCACCCAATGTGGATGTCCACCATTTCGGGTGCCTAATGAAAATTCAGAGCCACACCGCACGCAGGGCCTTGGGATGAGCTCCGTTTTTCAGCCTTCCGTCAAGCCAGGCCGCCGCCTCTGGCTTGGAAGGCGTGGCAGGGTATGCGGCTAGAGGGTTCCTCCCCCAAACCAGAGCTGGTGCGATAGGTGGGGAATGAGAAATGGAAAGGCTTTGGTCCCCTAAGAAACCACCAGTTGGATGGTTGATAAGGGTTATTCCCTCATTCCCTGCCTATCTCACCAGCAAGCACTACTCACAGAAATCAGCGGGGCGTGCGTCGGTCCGAGTGTTTCCATCGCCGAGCGATGGCCAGCGGCCCGATGGGGGCCTACGAGGACGACCGACGCGGAGTGGTCCGTGTGGGCGGTGTCCTGGGTGTGCCACGTCGGCGCGTATGACGAAGAGTGCCACGAGTCCTGCCAGACGTTGCAGGACACGAACAATGCCACCCAGCGAGTTGCAGCAAAGCGCTGCAAACGAAAAGCGTGGGCCGGAAAATGCGACCCCCGAACAAAACTAAAAGGGGGGAAGGACTAAACTGCGTAGACCAAAGGGACATGGGTGTGTCTTTTGTCGGTATATTCTCTTTGGGGTCGGTGTCAAGGGGAATTAAATGGAGCCCACTCAGTTTGAGGCTGCTACCAATCTTGGAACAAATCAATCGCCCAACTAGGGGTTGATTCCCCATTCTTTTCAACCATCGTTCTTTTCAATAACCGGCTGTTTCCCCTGGGTTTTTGATGGTTTCCTCCAGCAAAGAATGGGGAAGGTACCCCTAGAAAATGGGCGAACCTTCGGCATTCCCCCGGCTTAGGCGCCCGCCTTTGGCTGCCTGGCATCTGTCCAGCTTTTGGGAAGCCCCTCATGGCAAGAACGAAGACATCCAAACAGGGGATGTGGAAGAACCAGAAGATGCTTTCTTTGAAGAAACTGGTGCCAATCTTCCTTTGGAGAAACTATCTCATTCTAAAGGTTAGGTGTCTCTTGACATTTTCCTATATTCAAGCAGACTCTCTTTTCAGGCGGCGTGAAGTCAAGCGTCCCAAAGTGAGCCCTATACCTTGGACAAGCAGCTTTCGTGCCTGTTCCTCCTTTCTCAGACGTCCCTGCAAACTTCCCCAACATCCATTTGCTTATGACTATGTATAATAATATATATATATATTATAATATGTATTCATATATAGCATATGTAAAGGCATTTCAACCACTTTATGTCTGCTTGAGCCAAACACATCAGGTTGCGGTTCGATGTGAAGCGGTTCATTCTTGTTAAAACCCGTCTGAAACTTCATCACGGTGCTTCAGGAGTCCACAGAAAGCGAATGGTGGCTGTGGCTCAAAAACATGGAGCCCAAAATGGCTCACCTTGGTAAATGGAACGCAAAGACTATCATTTGCATAACCCAGCTCTTTAATTTCGGGCCACACCCTGGTGAAGCTTAGTAATACGGATATTTTCTACCTTCTGTGCGCCGGTTCACGGCCAGAGGACCAGAGCCATGGTTTCACGTTGGTGTCATTCACGCACCAGTGCCCCCAGCAAGCTTCGATTTAGCTTGGGAAGGTGGCGCTGCATTTTGGGTGTCTTTTGCTCACCATGTTTGTTTCAAGGGACAGCGCACACTGAGTGCACACTGAGACATGTTGGTGAGATTTGTATGTATATATTCCCTTGACAAACACTATATAGACGCTATACGTATACAAAATGGACGTGCCTATATATGTAGTAGAATATCCATCTATTATATAAACATGAATTATAATATGTATATATGTAGGTGTGTTCCAGTTGGCCTCGGGGGTAGTGGACCATGCCTGGTTCGCTTTGCTGCCCAAGACCTTGCCTTCCTTCGTTTGTTTTATGTGGGGAGCAGATCCAAAGGGGTTGCAGTTCCTTTTGGGTGGGGAATCCCCGAGAACCCAAAGGGCTTGCGGTGGTTGGCTCTGTCATGTGTTTGTTTTCCTTGTGCAGCTTTTGGTTCCGAAGGCGCAAAGACTGAGACTGACCGAGCTGGCCGCACTTGTCACCAACGAAATTCGTGTACCCAGCTACAAGCACCTTTTTGGGTGGCTTTGCATCCGGCCATGTTTGTCCGTCTACTTGTGTTTTGGGAGCCCGTTTGAGGTTCGCTCCACATCTCCAGTGGTCTATGGTCGATCTGGGAGGATATTGGGGATTCTCTAAATTCCCAGGCATCAGCGTACTCCCTATGCAAGAAATATCTGTTATGGTTTGAGGTCAACCCCTGACTACAAAGGAGTCATTTTCCAGGGGACACGGAACAATACGCAAACAATTGGGGTATTTGGAGCAGGGGGTATCAATATCACCATTGATATCTAACCAAAAAGAAGGCTTTGGGTTGCCCTGGTACGGGGATCCGCATTGCGTTGCCTACGCTCCCCTGAGCTAAAGCGAGCTTATGATGGATTTTGGGGGTACCAAATTTTGACCCAACGCCATTTAACTTTAAGCCCCTGGAACAAAAACGTCGCCTCCAGTTGACTTTAAGCGGTTGAACAAAACACAACCTAAACCAACAGGGAAACATTGCACATATTCTTGAGCAATTGGAAGACACGAGTGTTCAGTGAGTTCCGTTAAAAAAAAAAAAAAAAGCGGATCCCAAAAGGCACAGCCTGTCTGCAAACTCGATCCATCTCCAATGATTGGATTATCAAGTAAAATATCTACCCGAAGGGTCCTGGGGCTTGTGCAGAAGCCAAGATTCCCCCATACCACCCACCCCAAAATAGGCCTTTGCGGTCTCCAAAGGGCCTATATTGGGGCCAAATGGAACCCTGGTGGAAACCTGGACTAAAACCTGCGGCCCTGGTGGTTTAATTTTGACCCATACCCAAATGGAGGCAGCCGGACACCATCTTTATGCGTGTCATGTGTTCATGCGCAGGCATTGGGCGATTGCTCCTGGAGCACCGTGCGAACCCGCTGGCCGAGAGCGATAGCGGCAGCTCGACCTTGGGTGGTGTCTCGTGTTTTTCCCCAGATAGCTGAAAGCTATAGGGGTTCTAACTTCTAATAAAGAAGGGGAAGTGATTTGCGAGATTGACAGTTGGATACTAGGGGGTGTGCAGTTTGGGGTGCTTGTGTAGGTGCTGTTTGGGGTGCTGTTTGGCACATGGGATGCTGTTTCGGGTGCTGTTTGAGGTGCTGGTGATTTTGCGGGCGCATTTTTTGCGAGATTGACGGTCGGGTGCTCTGGGAGTGCTAGCTATTTGAGGGTGCTGTTCGGCGTGATGGTGCGGGCGCGCTTCTGCGGTTGATATTAGGGGGGCCTTTGCTGTTTAGGGTGTTGGTTGAGGTGCTCTTGGTGCAGTGCTGTTAGAGGTGCTACCGTGCAATCGTTGGCACGTGTTTCGCTATCTGGGGTCTATGCCGGTGTATTTGTTTTTCTTTTCTTTCGGGGACGTCGGAATCTCAGCTTCCCCCTATATTGGTGGTGTGGATTGGTGGTTGCCATGTCCTTCAAAAACTCCGAGTCCCCATGCCACTTCGAAGGCAAAGTGTACGGCTCCGAGGGATTTTGGGTTCAAATAAGCCTTTTGATTAGACCCGAAAGCTTTTGAAGGTGTCGGGGGGTTCCTGTCCATAAGGTTCACCCGAGCTCTTGCCCCATCGCCACAGATTTGCACTGGTTGGTGGCCACTGCCCACTATAGTCGAGCCAGGAAGCAGGTAGATGAAGGCTACAGTAGTTAGTCACTGACAGTCCCAGCCATAAATGGCTGCGGCCGCCTTTTGATTTCCTTACGTGCATTTGGGTAGACCAGGTTAATACCAGGTTTTGATTGTGACTCGGGTGAAATCCGCGAAAAGCTGCATCCAACCCTGTTTTAATCGGCCGTGCTGCGAGGTGGTTGAGGGTGGGTGCCCCAAACCGAGATTCCCTGAGCAAGGACTAAGCACCTTTGCTGGTTTAGGGGTATATATGGCTGTGGGTCAAAACCAACGGGATCCCATTTTGGGGTAGGTGATTTCACCACCCATTTTAGGCATCCTATTTGAGTGCTTGGATTGGGAAGTTCAGTGAGAGTACGATTTGGATTCTGACCCATGGCCATATGTTCGGGACAACCTGTTTAGCCAGGTATGCATGAATGGACTCCACGATAGTTGTTCTGTTTGCTATTAAAAAAAGGGGGTTGACACGTGTGTGAACACCCTGTGGGCTTAGTGGTTCCATGTAGCAGGTAACCAAGAGAACCAGCCTCAAACTGAAAGGACACCGGCCGGTTGTCTATGTGGAAACTGGGATATGGAGCATGCTCTCCCACCAACGTACGGATTGGTGCACAGGCAACTGTCTCCACCAGCAAAATGCTACAAGGGTCGAAATAGATACTAACATGTTTCTTCCCATGGCTATGACGGGTTTTAGTTGTGTGCTACCCGAACCCCCCTTTCTGATTATTTAGCGCCGGGATTGTGTGGAACTTCCAAAGCACACCATGCTTAGAGGAATAGGACCTGAAGCCATACATTTGGAGCAGTCGGGAAATCTCCGTAACCGGCTGATTAGGAGGATCCCCTGCGTTGTTTCTCGATGCATTATTTAGCTTTCTTTTACTTAAGACTATCTTTGCTTTTCCCTTGCTTGTTTGAACAGGGAATCGATTTCAAGCATACTATGGATGGAGGAACTCCTGCACCACTTGGAAACCACGGAAAACAATTGTTGGTTCATATTTACAGGGGAATCATTCCAGGGTTTCTTGGGTGGTGCGACATGAAATGGATTTCGCAACCATCCACAGTATGTCTCATTGTTCTTGAGGACTTCAGCAAACGGCTTTTTTTGAAACCCGACTCGACTGGAACCCAGGTCTAACTGCAGCGAAGCTGGCAGAACAGCACCAAGCCCCGGAGCGCGGAGCCCAAAGGCCGTGGCAGATGCTTGGGGAAGAACCCGTAGGAGCAAGCTCCAAGCTTCACCGAAAGTGGGGGAGGAGGCAGCAAAGCTGAGTTATGATTACAGGAACGGGAGTGCTCACTGCCCACAGAACGTGGAATCCCATCAGGGTCCCACAACAAATACATTCTCTATAACCGTTTTTGGGGGTGTCAGGTTAAAGTGTATCGGGCTCGCCTCAGGTTTCTGCAGTTGCTCAAGTCTCCACTCGCCGAGCGGGCCGGGCGCTCGGCCCAGTCCGCTTGAACCCGGGCTGCAAGAGTCTTGGGATGCGCTTGGAACACGGGCTAGGAATGGCCCACGAGGGCAGGGCGCGCCTGAAATTCGGCTTCCCTCTGTTTTCTTCCACATGTTCTGTGTTTTCCTCTCGTGCGCTGCTTACTACAAGCCCCTCTCCTTTTCGAATAATTTCAGGCCCGGATTAATAGAGCTTTTGCGGAGTAATAGGGGATAATAATGCGGACACCCGCTAGTATTCAACCAGGGATTGATTAATCTAGGGTGTCAATTCGGCGGGGGGTTTTAAAAATCAATGCCGCTGATCTCCCAGGGGTGGGGAGACAGGTTTGAAGCGCTAGGAGGCTCAAAGATTCCAGGCAACTTTAGGAGCGCAGCCTTTTGCATTCAGGGCATGGCTTCCATTGGGTGGAAACATGGACTGGGACCACTCACCTACATGGCTGGGAAGGTTGAACTGCCCCGTGTGTTTCCGGGTTGCTCGTGTTTAGCCTCCCAAAGATGGTCAACCCCCAAGAAAAGTGATTCACAATCTGATTTGGTGTCCATTTCTGGCAATATACCCCAAAAGCATCGATCAGGTCGAATTGGAGCAACCTGGTGTTCCCTGTAAAAAGACAACATAGATTCCGTTCTAGTGACCGTTTTCATGAATGGCTCATGCTTTGTACCTTCTGCCGAGCAGTCTAGCCCAGCTTGTGTCATGAAACGAAGCTCAACCCAAATAAAGCAGTCTAGTCTACGTGGGTAGTTCTCAAAAAAAGGGATCCCTACAATGGTTGGTTTACCTTTGGCGTCTCTTGAAATACCAACCCAAAGGAGTCCACGATTTCGACAACCTCCCATCCGGCTGTCCGAATGAAATACCAAAAGGGGTCCACGAAAATTTGACCCTTCCGCCTCGAACGCTAGGCTTCCCAAGAGGCCAAGAAGGAAGACTCTCAGGGCAGGACTCGTTCTCCGCGCGATCCGCGCGATCCGCATCGCCGGGCTTCCGAAGTGAAAACCAAACCATCGTTCTTACTGATGGTTGCGAAATCCGTTCGCACCACCGTTGAAACCATGGTTGAAACCATGGGACACGTTGGTATTTACGGGGGAATCATCGGACACCAGGGTGTATTAGGTGGTGCGAACGGATTTCGTCCATCCACACTATCAATCTGTTCAACCGTCGTCCATTTGTTTCAACCATTGTCCATTCAAGTTCCCGGTCCATTCTTTTCAAGCATCCATCTTTTTGGCACAAACCGGTGGCTTCCCCTGAGATGATCAGGGTTTCCTGACAAGAAGGATCCCTGGAAGGAATGGGGAGGCTCCCCCTTAGAGCAAAGGCAATTTTAGTTGGGGGAAGGGTACCCCTTTAAAGTCAACGAGGAAGAAGCATGTGGTTTGTTCTTTCGAGGGGGGAGGGTTCCTGGTGGTTTTTGAGTCAATCAACAAAGAGGCATTGGTCCCTTATTCCAAGTCAACCAAAATGCATATCCAGCTTGGGAGTTGTTCTTCCTGTGACATCAGCCTCCCCGAAAAGCGACATCTAGTGCAAGTCAGACCAGCATCCGCAAGAGAGTTGTTTGGTCCTTGCAATTCTGTGGTTTTTTTCAGGTATCCCCCTAATTTGTGGTTTGGATTGGTGTTTCGGGGATTTGAGAGGGAAGCTGAGGTTTCTTTTCCCTTCAAAAAGACTTCCCTTTTTTGGGAAGACTAGCCAAGAGGCAGGACCTTGCGGCAACCCCCCCCCCGCCCCCCTTTAGGTGATGTTTGGGCAGAAACTTGGTTGTTTCCCCGAGATTGATGCCGGCAAAGGCAACTGGAGAACTGGGAGGTCAACCAAAGAACAAACCAAGTTCCCCTTGTCAGGCCCTTGTTAAGTAATCTTTTCCGAACGGGATTGCTTTGCAGTCCCGCATGTGGACAAAGCAAGTTCGCAACCACCAAACATGCGGAATGCGGTGGGTCTGCAGGGCCAGCAGCACAGCTCACCGCAAGCTGCGCAATTTTGCTTCCCTCTCCAGAAAGCATCCGCAGAGTTTCAGAGATCCCGCGCACGGATGCAAGGAATTTGTAAGGAAGTTCAGTGAATAGTCCATGCAAAAGCACGCTCCAGAGCGTCGCCCGAAGGGCAAGAGCACGTGAGTGATGATGAATAGCGTTTCTGGCAACAAGGTGCAAAGTTGGGCCGAGTTTAGGTAGGGGCACCTGTTGAAATCCGCGAAAGCTTTTGCAGGACCATGGAAGACCGGCGAAAGTTTGCGGATTTGCTGAGGGAGAAGCAGGCCGGGAGTAATTCCCCTGTATAGCATTGAGATGTTCGGGTATGCCATTTCTGATTTTGGGCCACCGCTTCTTCTGATTAGTTTTGTTGGGGTGGTCTTCCCTTCAATCAAAACTACCACAACAACGCCCGTCTGTTTCCATGGCCATTTGGCAAGGTGCGTATTGACTAGTATTGACATGTGTCACCCCCTAGGCGGGAGCTGAACCGTTTGCGCACAGACAAACAATATGGGAATCTCGAGTTCCATTCAAAGAGGTAAACTTAACTCGTGCTGACACTTGCAAAGATACAAGTGGCAACAAGTCTAACGAGCTCACCTTAGGGAACATGAGTTGTGAAGGGAGAACCCTGATTTCCAGCTTGCGAAATGGAAGCTAGCTGATATAAGCGCTTCAGTGCAAGTTGGGGCGAACGTTCGCACTTGGTAGACATAAACGAAAAAGTCGAATTCAGCCGTGCAATGATCAGTTGTACCGTTAGAATTTTTGGCGTTGCAGGCTGTGTCATGACACTTTCCGCGTTTAACCGGCCTTTTTGCCACACGCCGAGTGCCTCACCTTGTGCCTGGCCCTCCGGCCCAGGCGAAGAAGTTCGATCAGTGCGGCTGGCTGGTCTTGAAAGGTGGAGAAGCGACGCATACCGTGGGTGTGTCTCAACACCCACGAGTTGCTCCAAATACTCTTGTGCTCCATATTTAGCAACAAGTTGACATCATACCCGAAACAAAGTGGGGCGTTCATCGGGTGGGTCAATGTAACAAGGGCGGTGTCCGTTTGGGTGTCTCTGTGAAACAACCCAACAGCAGCGTAACACCCTATACTCAGACCCAGCTACACCAGATTCCCGAATTCTCGGCGGGGCATTCAACTGCCCAACGGCCCTCGAATTGTGCGAATCCGGACTTCCCGAACCCGCCAGCCAAACAAGGGATTCCTTGAGTTATACATCGTTATACATATATATATATATATATATACATGTATTTATAGTCTTATATATTATATGTATGTTTAAGTAATACATACAGGCCGTGTTCAATCTCGTTGAGCTTTAGACGTGCAAATCGCCAGGAGTTGTGCTCCAGGTGTCTGCAGAAATAGCTCCCACAGCCAGGCGAGTCCTGGCCAAGGGCATGTTGCATCTCCTGTGCAACAAACCACTTGCTCCTGATGGAGTACCATATTCATTTTTGATATGTATATATATATATATATACACCTGGTGGCTCCCAGCCATCCCGGTAGCTTTTTAGCTTTTTAGCTTTTTAGTGTTTTGTGGGGTTTTCCATTTGGCCCACTACAAGTTAAACCTTTAGCAGCGGATCTGAGGGCAGCCCAGATATTCATATTCATATATATATATATATATGGGTATGGGTCAAAATGAACCAACAGGGGCCAGCAGGTTGAATCGTCCATGTTTCCATTTGCCAGGGTTCCATTTTGGGTACCCATTTTTGACCCACAGCCATATATATATACCTCCACCTTCCACAGGGTGCAAGAAAACCGCCTGTTTAAGCACAAGTAGGTTTTGCTTTGGAACGGCGATCTTGTCAGGGAAGCGGCGATTCTTGATTGGGAAGCGCCGGGCGTGCCATGTCACATCGCATACTCTCAGCTGTCATGGCCCGGGCCCGTTCCTGTTGACGGCATCATTTCCGTCCCTGCATGCGCCTCTCCCACCCTCCTGCCCTTTTTCGCTCCTAGCACTACAGGTACGTGGCCGAGTGGCCATGGACCATAATTTTTGCCACTGCATGAAACAGCGAAATAAAACAGCGCCTTGCTTGCACAAAATTGGGCGGTTTTTTCAAGAATTGCCGCTTCAGAAAAGCCACATGGAAACCCACCGGTTCAAGCGTACATTCGCCTCTCGGTTTTGCCCTTCATCGCTGCTCTGGCTCCTACTGGCGACGCAGCAGCTTTTGGCTGGCCTGGGCCTTGGCTCGAGCTTTCACGAGGTAGAGTTGCAACACCCGCTTCAACAATTGCTTTTGATCTTGAAATCTTGCCAACTAGGTCTTCGTTTTGCAAACAGCTGTGTATGAGCGGGTTTGCTGTTTTGATGGCACCTTGCCTCAGGACAGCTTTGATTCCAACAAGTGTGGTTGAAAGAATGCACTTTTGGCTTCATGGCCCACCCTGCAAATTTGAGTTCCCGAAGAGCGACACCTGCCAGTTGCGCGTAAGTCTGCTGGAACTCATAGCCTGCGTGCAGCGCAGGCTTGGTCTGACGGTCTGACCAGATATAGAGCACTTGCGGGAATTCAACAGCAATCTCGCTTCCACGGCGCATCATGCGCAAGAGTGGGTGATCCAGTGGCGCTTGAATAAAGCCGCCAATGATGGCAACCAACCATTCCAAAGTAAGCATAACATCAGAGCCCTGGACATTAAACCATGGATAGCTATCCTTCGATTCAGATGGCGCACAAGGCGAGGGGAAAAGCGAAGTGGGCAAACACAAACTTGTGATACTCAGCCATCACGCGGGCCCATGTCTCAGCTGGATCACTTCAAAGTAGAGTGTGAGGTGGCCTTACTATTCCTCAGGGAACTTGCGCAGATCAATTTTGGGGACTGTGGGGACAACGGAATCCCGTACTCAATTTCTGGGGTCAGTACTCCATTTTTGAGACACTCAATTTCTCTTTGAAGGGGAAATCAGTACTCAGTTTCTGAGACAGTACTAGACCGTCAGCACTTAATTTCTGAGGGGAGTTCTGAGGGGGGTCAGTAATAGAATCCTGAGGGGAGGTACCAAAAACCCCTACTTGAGCCCCCCGAAGCCGAATGAGAAACTGCACGGGAAGCAATAGGCCCAACCATCAAATAATTGACAATTGTTTTTCGCGTCTCCTTCAAGCTTCCTTTCAAAGCAAATAATGTACAAATCCCCGATAGGGCCATGTATCAGGTAGCTATGTTTGTTCTTTCGTTTTCTTGGCCACGAAAGCCCCTTTGCAAAGTGCCGGAGAAAGAATCGTATTGTGACATTGGGAGCGCAAGTTCTGAGGGGAGTTCTGAGAGGGGGTCAGCACTAAAGTGTTGAGGGGGGGGGGGGGGTGAGTACTCAATCACATAGAAAAGTGAGGGCGATTACTCACAGTTGGTCTTTGTAGGGCCAAAGAGTTTAAACACACGCATGCACTTCCTCATGATCCTTGTGGTTCCGCGGAGACTGATTAAAGAAACTTCTTCCGCCCTGGTCACTTGCAAGCAGCTTTTTGGGGCATCCAAGAAAACAAGGAAAAAAGGGAAGCGCATGATGGTTGACCTTACTGTTTCTGTACAGTCACAGCACAAGGTCTTTCGCTGGTACTTGTCGGCAACTTGAATTGAAGGCGGCTGACATGCACCAACCCCACTACTGATTGAGCATTGTGTCCTTCGACACGAACTCTCCCTCAATGATCAACTCATTCGATTCCATTTCCATACGGGGTGGCTCGCATTCCTGCTGGAAGGACCCTAAGATCAGGGTTTGGTGCCCCCTGCCATGCAATCAGCAATGATGGCTTCGGCTCTGTGAAGGTCCCGTTTACCGCCTTCGAAGCTTTGATCGCCTCGCCGACGCCGACACCCCGGCTTTGGCTTACTTATTCTTGTTGGCAACAGCATCGTCCATGTAAGGGATTTCATCGTTGTTTTCTTCAGGCTCCTGACATTTCCCTTCATCATCTTCCGACTCACACTCATCATTCTCCCAACTGCAGCGTGGCTGCGCGATCGAGTTTGCTCTTGAGATCAACCACATCCGCCTTGGCAAGAGAAGTGGGAGATGCTTCCCTGGCCAAAGGCGTGGGCTCTGCAGGCCAGGAACCTTTGCCCAAGGGAGTCTCTTTGGCAGGGGCGGTGTGCACTTGGGTCGCAGCGAAGCTGGGCAAGGTGTAGACGGCCTGGGAAGGGCATACCCGTAGACCATAATTGCTTAACTGTTTATACCATCATGTTGCTTTTGCTCCGGGGCCAAGACACAGACTTCGAAGGACTGGGCGGAGCAAGTGGCTGAGTGTCCGTCCACTCTTTCTCTTTCTTGTTCTTCCGATTCTTGAGTTCCTGGCGTTCCTTCTGGATAGCCGGTCTTGCAAGGCAAGGCGCGTCGAGTTCCATCAGCGTGGCACTGCTCCGCCAAAGTGGGACTTTCCTCCGCACCTTTCTTGCCAACCCACGGATGCGCAGGCAAGGTGCCCCATTGCTCGACAGTTCCTCAGCGGCCACCTGAGACTCCACCTTCCTCGGGACCAGGGGTGACGGAGAGTTTCGCCAAATACATTCTATGCGTTTTTTTCACGCAAACACTCAACTTTTGAAAAAATGTGAAAAATGAAACGGCGATCTTGGGCGACCAACCGGCGATCTTTCGCGGCCAAACGGCGATCTTTCCCGAACCAGAAATTCGCAACATTTTAGGCCACGCCCGTTTGCCCTTTTGCCCTTTCTGACGGATTTGGTGGCTCAAACGGCTTCGCGCGCAACATCCTGGCGCCGAAGATCCGCTAGACCCCCCAAACACGGCAAAAAAAGGGCAAACGGGCAAAGCCACGGCTTAAAATGTTGCGAATTTCTGGTTCGGGAAAGATCGCCGTTTGGCCACGAAAGATCGCCGGTTGGTCGCCCAAGATCGCCGTTTTTTTCGCACTTTTTGGCAAGTTGAGTGTTTGCGTGAAAAAAACGCATAGAATGTATTTGGCGAAGCTCTCCGTCACCCCTGGTCCCTTTCAAGCCTGAGATTGGAAAGGGAGGGAATAACATCCGGCCGCTGAGGAAGGTGGAGTCTCAGGTGGCCGCTGAGGAACTGTCGAGCAACGGGGCACCTTGCCTGCGCATCCGTGGGTTGGCAAGAAAGCTGCCGCACTGCATCACATTGCCCAGTCATAGACGCCTACCCTTTTCCTTAGGATGCTGGAGCAGGAAAGTCCAACTTCGGCGGAGCAATGCCACGGTGATGGAACTCGAAGCGCCTTGCCTTTTCCTTGCTGGGCTGCAAGACCGGCTATCCAGAAGGAACACCAGGAACTCAAGAATTGGAAGAACGCTCATCCACTTGCTCCGCCCAGTCCTTCGGAGTCTGTGTCTTGGCCCCGGAGCAAAAGCAACATGATGGTATAAACAGTTAAGCGATTATGGTCTACGGGTATGCCCTTCCCAGGCCGTCTACACCTTGCCCAGCTTCGCTGCGACCCAAGTGCACACCGCCCCTGCCAAAGAGACTCCCTTGGGCAAAGGTTCCTGGCCTGCAGAGCCCACGCCTTTGGCCAGGGAAGCATCTCCCACTTCTCTTGCCAAGGCGGATGTGGTTGATCTCAAGAGCAAACTCGATCGCGCAGCCACGCTGCAGTTGGGAGGATGATGAGTGTGAGTCAGAAGATGATGAAGGGAACTCTCAGGAACCTGAAGCAAACAACGATGACATCCCTTACATGGACGATGCTGTTGCCAACAAGAATCAGCCAAAGCCGGGAAAATTGCACTTGTCGGCATCGGCGAGGCGATCAAGGCTTCGAAGGCGGTAAACGGGACCTTCAAAGAACCGAGGCCATCATTGCTGACTGCATGGCAGGGGGCACAAAAAAGCATTGAGAAGATCTGTGAGGTGGATTCTGCAGAGACCCTTTGCTTTCATTCGCCGTAGCCTGAAACGCCTGATCTTAGGGTCCTTCCAGCAGGCATGCGGGCCACTCCGTATAAAAATGGAATCGAATGAGCTGATCATTGCAGGAGAGTTCGTGTCGAAGGACACAATGCTCAATCAGTGGGGTTGGAACCAGCCACGTGGTGCATGTCAGCCGCCTTCAATTCAAGTTGCCGACAAGTACCGGCGAAAGACCTTGTGCTGTGCAGAAACAGAAAGGTCAACCATGATGCGCTTCCCTCTTTTCCTTGTTTTCTTGGATCCCTCAAAAACCCGCTTGCAAGTGACCAGGGCGGAAGAAGTTTCTTTAATCAGTCTCCGCGGTTCACGAGGATGACGAGGAGGTTGATGCTTGTGTTTAAACTCTTTAGCCCTACAAAGACCAACTGTGAGTAATCGCCCTCACTTTTCTATGTGATTGAGTACTCACCCCCGCCTCAGGACTTTAGTGCTGACCCCCCTCAGCACTCCTCTCAGAACTTGCGCTCCCCATGTCACAATGCGACTCTTTCGGACCAAGAGAACGCAAGAACAAAACTGGTATACATAGCTACCTGATACTTGGCTCTGTCGGGATTTGTAAACTAATTGAATTGAAAAGGAGCTTCAAGGAGACACAAAAAACAATTGTTAATTATTTGATGGTTGGCCCTATTGCTTCCCGAGCAGTTTCTCTTGCGGTTTTGGGGGACTCACGTAGGGGTTTTTGGTACCTCTTCTCAGGATTCTATTACTGACCCCACTCAGAACTCCCCTCAGGAATTGAGTATTGGTTTGCCTTTCAAAAGAAATTGAGTGCCTCAGAAATTGACCCCCCAGAAATTGAGAACGGGATTCCGTTGTCCCCACAGTCCCCAAAATTGATCTGCGCAAGTTTTGTGAGGAATAGTAAGGCCAACTATGCAGCCAGTTCAATTGACACTGTTTGTGAGCGTTTGTTTGGGTATTCATATCCTATTTTGAAGTGACCCAGCTGAGACATGGTAGCTGAGTATCACAAGTTTGTGTTTGCCCATTTCGCTTCTCCCCTCGCCTTGTGCGTCATCTGAATCGAAGGATAGCTATCCATGGTTTAATGTCCAGGGCTCTGATGTTATGCTTACTTTGGAATGGTTGGTTGCCATCATTGGCGGCTTTATTCAAGCGCCACTTGATCACCCACTCTTGCGTATGATGCGCCGTGGAAGCGAGATTGCTGTCAAATTCCCGCAAGTGCTCTATATCAGCATGGGCTTTGGTCAGACCGAGCCTGCGCTGCAAGTTCCAGCAGCCTTATGGCAACTGGCAGGTGTCGCTCTTCGGGAACTCAAATTTGCAGGGTGGGCCATGAAGCCAAAAGTGCATTCTTTCAACCACACACTTGTTGGAATCAAAGCTGTCCTGAGGCAAGGTGCCATCAAAATAGCAAACCCGCTCATACACAGCTGTGAGCAAAACGAAGACCTAGTTGGCAAGATTTCAAGATCAAAAGCAATTGTTGAAGCGGGTGTTGCAACTCTACCTCGTGAAAGCTCGAGCCCTTCACCGGAGGTATCGAGCCAAGGCCCAGGCCAGCCAAAAGCCGCTGCGGGCAAAGTAGGGGCCAGAGCAGAGATGAAGGGCAAAACCGAGAGGTTAATGTACGCTTGAACCGGCGGTTTTCCATGTGGCTTTTCTGAAGCGGCAATTCTTGAAGAAACCGCCCAATTTTGCGCAAAGCGCTGTTTTATTTCGCTGTTTCATGAAGCGGCGAAAATTGTGTACCACAAGAATGTCCAGGTATATATATATACACATGTATATGCAATTCGCATGTGCAACATGTACAACCCCAACATGTACAATCATGGGTTTGCGTAGATAGATATGTACCTGTAGCCAATGATTCAACATTGGCCTCACATTGGCACCGGCGACTTACTGGGCCTTGTTGCTTTGCCAGGACGCTCTTCGGACAGAAGCTGCGGCCGGGCTTGGCGCATGACAAGGCAGGTTTCTGCGTGGCACATGCATCGTGCATTTTGCGTTTCTCAAATGCTTCCCCGACAGACTCCTAGACCCCTCAACAGACACATGGCGCTTCAGTCTTAGTTGGAGCTTGTTGACACTTCATTACCCTTTGTCTACCGATTCTTTACTCATGATTTCAAGTCGACCTTAAGGGGTATGGTTCAGTCTCGTGGTGAACCGTTTGCGCTTCGGTCTGAGATTTGCTCCGAAAGCCCGAATTGGCACAAGGCTAGAAATTTGGCTCATGAAAAGCAGAACTCAAGGAAACCAAGCCAATGTCCCGTTCGATTTTTTGTGGCAAGGGATCCGAATCCCAAACCCCGGCGGCTGCGTTCCTCATGAGCTGGCGATGGTCGATTTTTTGCACCGGCTTTCGGTGTGGGCCCGCGTTCGATTTGCTGATGGTTGATGTTTTGGAATTTGGGTTTACTTGCCATGATTTTATGTTGGAAATTCTGCTTGATCGATTTTGCAGATACGATGGATCCTCTAATTGTTGCAGATACCTTGACACAAATCTGTTTCACTCTCTAAGTATTGAGTGCTTCAATCACACACCTGCCAAATACGAAGCAAAATCTGAACGTCTTTTGTGTATCCTGACCCCAGAAACCACGGGATATGCCGACAGGATGGGCCCGGCAAGCCCTACGCGGAGCCAGCCTGGCAGAGTTACAGTGGACAGAGTTATCCCATGGACCAAGCTTGGTGGCTCCCAGCCATCCCCTTAGCTTTTTAGCCTTTTAGTGTTTAGTGGGGGTTCCATGTAACCCACTAAAAGCTAAGCTTGTAGCAGGGGATCTGAGGGCAGCCCACTTCGCACCTGCCCGATGAAACACCCGAACGTACCGATGGCCGAGTGCTGGATTTGGTCCAAGTTCTGCCCTGGCACTGAGGCACGGATTGCAACTGGATTTGGTCATGATTTCTACTGCGGCAAAAGGCCAACAACTCGGGGGAATGCAACACGATGTGTGACCTTGCTTCTCAAGCCCCGAAGAGTGTCATCATTTTGCCAACCCTCCCGACTACCCCGCTTCGCGAGTTGCTATCCCCGTTGTAGAAGCTTCCCAAAAGTGCGGCTTACCCTACATATGACCTACTGAGCGGACTAGTTGGGACAATAGAATGCCGCGCTTGCTACCAGTGACCATCCAAGTGGAACTTGAAACGTGACAATCACTTTCAACAATCAACCATCCTTGATGGCAATGCAACTCCACATTCCTTTATCAGCCCCCACAATTGAATTTACTCCTGAGTTCCAGGTCACTTGTTGGGAAGACCATTTTGGTGATGAAATAAAAGAATCAGCCTTCTGTTGGCCATCCGCTCAGAAAGTGAGTCATGTTTCCGCTCAGCCGACGGTTTTAATCTTCCCGTCTGCTTGACCGAGCAACTTTGTCCAACTGTCTGCCCAATTTTGGAGTGGCGCTCAATTTTGAGTCCCGCTCCGCAGAATTAGATTTAACACCATAGGTTATTTGATTGCAAGAGCTTGTTACCTACCAGCTACCCAAGCGCTTCCAAAGGCTTTTGAGGACCTGCCGCGATTCGGCCTGCCAGGTACGGCACTCTGCACGACATCGACTGAGGGCAGTTTTGGACCGAGACAAGCGGCTGACCGGTGGGGTGGCCAAACCATTTTGTTTAAACCCAGACTAACGCCATGGTTGAATGTTCAAAGACAAGCCGTAGCTTCAGTTGTTAGAAAGCACGTTACCCATTCTTTTGGGTGCATTCTTTCACTGTAACAACATGAACCCAAGCAGCAGGGCTGTCAAACAGTTGTTGTTGCTGTCAATCAGAAGTATTCAGGCCTTTGTTGGGACCCTCTCACTTTGTCAACCAATCTCAGACTTTGATTCAAGTGACACCCCCCCCTTGCCCCCTTTTGGACTTCACTCCACAAAAAGAGGTTGTTTAAAATACGGGGACCTCAGACATGGTACCGCCTTCCTCATGTTTTAGCTTTAAAACCAGCCAACGAAAACAGTGCCGACGCCAAACCACATGTGTCCAAGAAGTCGAAGCCTTTTGACCGCCCCGCCCTGAGCTCGAGCGTCCGAGTAGGAAGGATTTCGCGCGGGAGGAGTTCGAGCTTCGGAAAAGGAGCGTTCATTTTGGGCCGTCCCAACATCAATGGGAAGGTGGGAGATCCCAGCTCTTCATCACCAAAGTGGGAAGCGGAAGTTTGATTGTATATTGGCTACGGCTACCAGCAAGGGCATGGCTCGGCTCTTGTTTCGATTTTCCCTTTAAAACCAAAAACCAAGAAACACAACCCAAACAAACAACAACACCCATATTGGTACCTCATAGCATGGTCCTCCCAGAGCCGAAGTTATTGATGCCACCTATATATTCACTTCCCAGAGGTGGAGAGTGAGACGTTCGTGTGAGACAAGGCTCCTCATTTGAAGAGAAGCTCATTTCAGCTGCTCACAAAAAGGGACAGCCACGGTATGTCAGCATCGGTTCCAGTACAGGACAAAATTGCGAGGGTCCCCCATGTCCTTCTCAAATAGACCAGACCAAATGATATGCCTCGTCAAAATGGGCATCCCTCAAAGGGGGCTCGGGGAAAGCGTTTTAGCTTGCCCTAAGCATAAGAAAGGATCCTCCATTGGGGTCTGGATCTCTAAAAGCATTTGGATCTAAAACATTGCTTATTTGACGTCTCAAGATTCTTTGGGTGGGGAATGCTGGGAATTTGTCACCCCCCAAATGCATGAGAGGGCAAAATAGTGCTACTTAGCTTTTTTGTGGGTATAAGGGCGGGTGCCTTTCCACCTTGGCTAGGGAAATCCAACGGAACCCTTGGCCATGCTTTTTTGGAGGGGGGTTCCCCTATGTTGGGGAATATACCCGCAGAATGTGTTTGAATTTTGGTTGCGGGGGGGATGGAGTGCGCCGTGTTTTTTGTTTCCATGCGCCCGCCTGCAGCCATTCATGTGGAAAGCATTGTCATCGCCAGACCAATTGCTTGGCTTCCTTAGCTTGTAGCCTCTTGGCCTTCCTTTTTTTCCTTTCAACCAACGAACGGCCGGAGTGGCCTCGACCAGTTGCTTGGTCCCATTGGATTAAGACAGCGACGTCATGGATCCAGTCCTCAGGTGCTAAATTCCAAGCTCCGGAGACTTGGGAGCTTCACGAGAACAATCACACCCCCAGGTTACTTTGACAAGACCATGTTGAATCCCGCCAAGAAGTGGAAGCAACCACCTTTGCATGGGCAAAAGCTTCATTGCCCAAAGAGCCTGTACCCTTATTACTGTTTGGTTTCTTGAGGAACCCGCGGAACCGCAATGCCGGGAACACTTTCCCTCCAGCTTCGACCCGAGCTTCTCAGCAATTCCCTTGGAGTTGGCAACTGGAGTGCATGGCTGGCTATGGAGGATCTGCTGAACTGCAGGCCCCGCGGCATGTAGGCGCCCTTTTTGGGGGGAAAAACACAAAATGTGCTGGGGTTCCCCTAGTTTCCCCATGAGGTTTGAGAGTCGGAACCGCGTAGGCCCCCGATCCCCACCGAAATGGCGTCAACGGGCCTGCTGTTCTCCGTGGGATGTCTCGCCATTGGCATTCTGGGGTTCAAAAGGCCTGGTCAAAGAACCTTCGGGCCCTACAATCAAAGCCTCAAAGCTGTATTGGAAGGTTAGGACCGTCCTAAGAGGTGCGGAGATCATTCAAGATGCGGTAGCCAGGTCGCCAGGTCGTTGATGGAGAAACCCGGCCTCTAACTCGCCGGCGGTTTGTAGATCTGGAGTTCGCCTACGGCTCAGGCTTAGGCACACGAAGGCCTGGCCTGTGGGCAAACTTCTCTTTTTTTTGGAGTGGCATTCTGTTTGGGTCCACGGAAACTGCTTGGAATTGTTCAGTTGTTATCTGCGCCTTTGACATATCTCGCCCTCCAAAACGTGTTGGAATGCAAAACCACACTAGTAACCAGAGAGATTATCATGTAAACAGTTAGAGGTGAGAATCCTTGGTTATTGTACCCATAAGTAGATGGTAGCTGGAAGAATGGGGGGTACCGTATGGTGCAGCAAAATCAGAATAATGACACACATATGTTGCCTTTGATCATGACGTACTTTGGGTTTAACGTCCCTTGAATTTCCATTCTAATATGGGTCTGTTTTTTAGAGGGTACCCTTTTTGGGGTTGGCTTGGAAACCAAAAGAAATCCCACCATTGGGGGGGGGGGGGTCCTATGTTAACACACCCATCACTGAGTGGAAGACTTCCCCCCCACCCCACAACTAACCTGCCCCCCACCCCCCAAAAGAACAAAAACAAATCATAAGGCCGTCTCTGTCCAGATTTCAAGACACACCCATAGCCCGTACCCTGGGATTCAAACCACCATTAAAACAATGGGGGCTCATATAACCTACCTAAGGATTGTCATCCTCCAGATTGGGTCAACCTTTCTTTTGATGGGTTGAACCCTGGGGCCACTCGGACTCGTGTTCGACGACTCGTCCGTAGGCGGAGGACTGGGAAGCCCGCAGGCGGCGAGTGCAAGCGCTGGCGAAGAGCGGCATCCCAGCGGAGAAAGCGCTGAGGCGCGGTTGGAGGGGATGGAGGGGTAGTGCAGATCCAGAGACGGGCGAAATCTGTTTCTGTTTTTTTAATGGCTGGAGTCCCCTCTAAAACCAGTGCCAAGTAGCCCATGGGTTTCTTTTTCTGTTTCATCTTTTGACACCCAGTCCAGCAGGTAATGGTTGCCCCTGTGGATTAGGGCGGGCAATTTTTCCCCAGTGAAGGGTTCTCGCTATGGGACACCCCGCAATTCATCCAGTTTCTTAAATCCGAGGTTCCCATTAACCGAAACAATTAGAAGCAAATCAACAAAACAAAAGTCGAGTTTGAAAAAAGCAGTGACTGAAGTGGGCAAATGGCGTGGCTTTTGAACAGACCAAAGGACCAAAGGCTTAAACTGTTTTATCGCTTGCCGGAGTATCCTAATTAGTGGATCCCATCGGGCTACAAACCAGGATATGTACCTGGGTTTATGGTGTTCCTGGCTGCCAACAGGGGCAAGTGGATCCATGAGTGGGTCCAGGTGGATTGTTGGGTGAAACCCCACGAATGTCGACGGATTAAACCTAATGGATCGACAGTCCTGAGCTAGCGGCTAGCATTGACCTGGAACCTGAGCAGTCGCATCGTGGGTGCGTACCACTTTCCCACCGCTCTGGGAGAAACCACTGAGGCTTGGGTGCTTTTTGGTTCAACTTCTCAACGTTTGAATGATTGGTAAATGTTTGAAATATCACTCTTTGTCCTCACAAGCCAACGTTTTGACTCTTTGAAGTTCAAAGACCTAAATGTTTTCTGGGGTGCCCAGAGCTTTCTCTCCCTCACCTCTCCAGGTGGGGGCATGAATGCGACTGACTTCCTGAGGCAGTGCTGCAAACACGTCCTTCCAAGAAGTTAATTGCGCTTTCAATTGCCACAGATCAAATCATGGTCCGACTACGATCAGATGACAACAGGAAAAGGAAGTCACAGTTCGCTTTCACGTTTCGTTGCCAAGAAGCATCAACGTTGCTTAACACAGGGAAGCTTCAGCTGAATTCCACTGGAATTCACCAGTGTCCATGTCGCACTCCTTCACTTTTGGTCATCCGACACAGTGGATCCCGGAAGCGTTTGAGCTCTTTCGCAGCACTCCGGCCTTCGTTTTGCGTTTGACTTTCTGGACAAAGACTATTTCCCCAACAAGGGCCAGCAACACCTTTGACTTCCCCCAACTGTTATGTGTCACGATTCTCACAAAAAGTGACTCTTGCCCTGCAACACGTTCCATTTTTTCCAAAAGGGTCACTTAGTCTACCCTGTTTCTTCAAATAGTCATGGAAGTGCACAGGAGGGTTTTGGACGACTATCATGATCTGACCTGCCGCAGGCAGATCATCGCACACTTGGAGGAGACGTGCAGACCGGAGACTCTTTCGACGATCAAACCGCCTGAATGTTCGCCAAAGGACTCCCCCGATAAACATAATGGCCCCTGATTTGTGCACCTTGTCATGTTGATAGTAAATAGGACGGGTTCTACCTTGATCTGGAGTCACCATTGCCCTAATTGCGTATGTCCTTTCTGAATTTGGTTTGAAACCTGGAAAGGCCATTCGAAGCGGTTTGTCTTTTGGGGGTGAGTTTGGAAATGGAAGTAGAGGGAACCCCGGCTTTACAAGGGTGAGAGCCCTGAATCAACGGATGTCCCGTCTCCGCAAGGCTCAAGGCTTTCTAGGAGCAACAAAAGAGCTCAGTTGTCCAAAGCCGACCTGAACTGACCTTTTTGGCTTTCCAGTTTTTAGCGCCAGATTTGGTCAAAGTTCCAAAGGTTAGCAACCTTTATTTCCAGGCCCTTTGGGCAAGTGAGACCAGACCCCCTGGCCATTTTCAGTAGTTTCCCCCCTGCTCGGAGGGGAATCCTTTCTATCCATGGTAGAACCAACAGGCAATAGGTGAAAAAATGGCGCCACTCACTTGCCACGGGGAAAAGGGTGCTGTTGAACCCCCTAAAAATCCCGCCTGGTGCCCAGATGCCCAGGCTGATGAAAGGCCTTCCTTTACCCATGGAACGGCAAGAACTAAGGAACCCTTGCAACCACAAAGAAGCCAGTCAAAAGGGAAAGAGGGGCCAATGCCCTGCGGTAAGTTGCGCGTAAAACACGTTTCTGAAGGGAAATCGATCGGTCCAGAACATCGGGTACAAAAGAAAGAGATCCGGCCGAGCTGTCTTTGAGGGCAACCTTGGATATCCCCCCCAAAGCTTTCTGGGGGGCGGGGGGGAAGGCGGACACAACTGACTCCCTGAGTTCCGGACTTCGTGTTTTTGGGGGGTTGGACCATTTGATTGGTCAGCAAAAAGTTAGGTTACGTGTTTTGGCCAATCCACTCTGGAAGGATACAATGAACCTTGGCTGCTCGCCTTGTACCATCAAAATCACCAGTGGCCAGTTCAAGGGAAAGGATCAACCAGTCTCTGACGTTATCCCTAGCAGTCAAAAAGATGTGCCCAGCTCTGGTGCTGGCATGCACCATAGCCCCACATAGATGGTCCGGGACGAATCTCCAAGTTAGTATCCACGGTTTCCACCAAACCTAGGGTACAAGTAGATCCTTGTGTGGGTTCCAGGTTTAACCAACTTAGCCAACTGGAACATGCAACAGCGGGTCTGTATTCACAACCCCAAATTGTACGTTTTTCCCGGTCTTCGTTTTGTTTTCTCCCAACCAAACACGTGTTTTCGGTCACGTCCCTCAAAGGACCCGCACCCGTTTTTGGGGCTGTCCACCCACACCCAGCGCTTCTGTGCCCCGGTGAGGACGCGGACGAGCAGGTCCGCCGCTGCGCGCTGGACGCCGGGGTGCGGCTCCTGATCCCCCCGCCGCCCACGGAGGACATGGAGCCCGAGGCGCCGGGGGGGGAACGGTGGGAAACGGCGGGAAACGGCGGGAAGCGCGCGGGGCGTTGGCGTCTTTTTTTTGGGCTGGGGAGGGGTCTCCTCCTTAAAACGAAGGGAAATATATGGGTGCGGCTCAAAATTACAGAGCCAGGGTTGCGCGGGTTCCAGTTTCTGCTTCCATTTACCAAGGTGCAATTTTGGTAGATTTATTTGAGCCACAGCCATGTTGTTGGGGTAGACCAAAGGGGTGCGAACATTTTAAGCAGACTTTTCAGAGATGTCAGAATTCGGGGAATGTCATGTGCACTTTTGTGGTTCCAAGTCTTGAACGCAGGTGTAGCAGTATGAAACAGAATCTGAACAATAACTTTCTGTCGGATGTTGGACAAGCTTGGCCTCCGAGACGTCACGGACAAAATCTGCTTCGAGGTGGATCCCGATGGTGGCTTCCGCTATTTCCCCCTTTTGGTGGCTTTTACAGCGCCCCAATCGAACTTAGGTTTCCTTTTGGTGGGGTGATGCTGAAGCGGGAAAGGTAGCGAGCCCTGCCAGTCCGGAGTGGATTGCGTTAGATGCTCCGTTTCCTCAAGCTCTCGATTGCTCCGTACCATTCGGAGGCTAGGCTTCTTAAGCTGTCCAGCTGTGCCTCACGCCTTTGTGTTTTGGGCCATTGGGGGAAGCAGTGCGCAGGACGCACGCCAAGCTCTTAGTCATACTTCCACACAGATCCTACGAATATGTACATACATGTGCGTACAGTGTATAAGTACGCACATAAATATACACAATTTCATACATGAAGTACAGACTCATGCATTTCTACACATTGCACCCCAATTGCCTAGTCTTGTGACGCCAGGAGGCCGCTGCAGCGTGTGCCGCACGCTTGGCAGCGCAGCAGAGCGCTCTGGGGCGAGAACTGCGGGGGAGTGTGCTCAAGCAGCTGAAGAGCGACAAGGAGCCCCGAGTCGTCGGTGTCAAGGGACGACCCGACAGATGATGGTGTTCGGTTGGTGTCATTTGAATCCAACCACTAATCCCTTTTGGGTTCCTGCTAAAGTGCTCGAATGCTTCCACCTTGGCTGGTCTTTGGTGCGACCCCAATGGCCGCTTACACCCTTAGACCCCTCAGAAACAAATGGCTATTCTATTAAACCTACAGGAGGTTAGATCTTGTGACCAGGAAAAAATCCAGAAAAGATATTGGCCGTATTTGTTTACTCAATAGTGGCTTGTGGACATACATCCCCACCTAAATGATGTCCACTAACGGGTCCCCAAATCCTGATCACGAAAGCTAGCTTTAGCTAGCTGAAGTTTCTCCTTGCGTAAGCAATGTAAGGGGCTCAAATGCCGAAAGATTGATTTTTTTCAATTATTTGAGCCGAAAAGATTGAAAAACATCAATTATTTAGCCCCCCCCCCCGCCTCCCCCCCCCCCCCGGTTTCAGGCTCGATTCCTCCCTGGTCCATCCCCCCCCCGGGCAGTGGCTCAGTGTTCAGCAGTCTCGGTTTGCCCGTTTTGGACTTGGTGCTACGAACTTTTACATGTTCCACCGATTCAGCTTGTTCATTTGAGACCTCAGTCTTCTCGGTAAACCACCTCGCAAGAATCTTTGCACACGCTGCATGCAGAACCCAGAGGTGCTTTAAGACAGCTTCTGACGCCTCTCGTTGTTTTCATTTTTCAAGGTTTGCCACGCCACCATGTGCGTTTGCGTGTCGCATCCTACGAATCTTGCCGGGCCTCTCGTTGTACACAAGCTACCTATGAATCCACTCTGTCACCGACCCATCTCATGCAACAACTGCTAGCTTTCGTTCACCCGCTCCTCAAGTGTCCCTCTGAGAAGCATCTCATGTTGTAGTCCCATGGCCATTTAAAGGGTATGGTCTGTCGAGATATCTCGTTCGTTTTGTGCCCAGTGGCCTGCACTCGGGTCCCTTGTCCTTGTTTTCCATGGGCTTCGCGCACGAACACGATCTTGCAGAAGAGAAAACCGCGAGTCAGGTTCCATGTTACTGGGAGGGTACTTCGGCCAATGCCCATTTTTCCGTTACTTTGCAATCCACTGCCCCAAAAAGCGTCCTTTGTTCCCAGGGTCACTGAGGGTCTGGGATTATGTCATGTTCTTTGCTGGGAAGGCAATTGGTTTTATCACTATCTTTGGCAAAGGACACTTTACGCCAGTTGCGCAGATTCCCTGCGCATCCCGGGACCCCAGATCAGATTTTTTCAGAGCAAGTGCTGGAAAGTTGTTGCCTTGGCCTAGTGGAGGGTCTTGCTTGATGAATGCACTCAATGGATGCCAACTCTTGTCAAAGACGGAAGCTGACAGGACTATTACTTCGTGTGCTGTGCAGCCGTAACCCAAAACTTCCAAGGGTTAGGACCGGTTAGGAGCTTTAGACCGGCCCTTTGGCCCCGTTTTTATGGCCACGACCCTTGGGAAGTCGTTAGGGTCCCGCCTTCAAAAATGGCCATCCGAGGAGATTTCAGGCTGAAGAGTACTATAATTCTTTCAAAAGCCTCTCAGCTTCCATGGTCAGTCTTCGAAGACCCTCCATTTGCTTAGGTTTGTTCGTTGGTAATATGTCTTTTTTTTGTGGTTTTAATTTGAATGAAATCCATCACTGTAACGAATTTGCCCATTTCTTCTTCAGGGGACGTATTCGCAAATGGATTTTTCCCTCCCTCGAAGGGTTCCCAAGGTCAGGGACCCTGTCACCCCTCCAACAACCCCTACCTCCCACCCCCACCTTTGCCGCCACCCGCCTCCCTATCACTTCCCCCACCATCACCTCTGCTTTGCCAGCACCTCCCCCCCCCCTCCAACAACCCCCCGGCCCTCCAACAACCCCCACCCGCCCCCACCCCCGCCCTCCAACACCCCCCCGCCCTCCAACAACCCCCACCCGCCCCCACCCCCCGCTCTCCAACACCCCCCACCCCCCCCCCTCCCCAACCACCCAATCCTCCCCTCCCCCCCTCCACCAACCCCCACCCGCCCCAGGGCCTTCTCAGCCCCGCCGTTGAGGACTGCGGGGTACGCCAAGTGGCGCTCACCGCGCTCGGCCAACTGGTGCCACGGGAGGATGAGGAGGTGCTGGCGGCACTGCAGGCGCCTCACGCTTGGTTTTGGGTTTTCACACAACAAGCAACACAGCTCTAGGGGTACCTTCCTCATTCTTTCCAGGGATCCTTCTCTCTAGAACACCTCCGGAAACCCAGGGAAAATAGCTGGTTTTTGAAAAAAAGGATGGTTGAAAATAATGTGGAATCAACCCCTAGAACAGCAACAAAAAATCTGGCGACCAGGCACAAAAACAGGTTTGTTAGTTGTTCTTGGCGTGTTTGGTTTCTGCTGTATCCATGTTGTGTTTCTGCTGTGCGATCGTGTTTTACTGCCAGAGGAAAATATAGGCATCGTTCATATCAAAAGAATTTTGAGGGCACTTCCAGTTGGGCCTAAAACTGTTTTGTTTCCACTTTTGTAGCCTGCAATGCAATTGTGCTTCCAGTTGTGGTCACCAATGCGCGGGTGCCAGTGCTTCCAGGCAAGGCGCACCACAGTAGCCTCTAGTTTCTACATGATCGGTTTCCCTTGTTACCTAGTATAGTCGAAACTGGAAGCATTGGACAAATACATTATATATATATATATATATGTATGAATGTATGTAATGTAATGTAATGTAATGTAATGTAATGTAATGTAATGTAATGTAATGTAATGTAATGTAATGTATGTATGTAATGTATGTATGTATGTATGTATGTATGTATGTATGTATGTATGTATGTATGTATGTATGTATGTATGTATGTATGTATGTATGTATGTATGTATGTATGTATGTATGTATGTATGTATGTATGTATGTATGTATGTATGTATGTATGTATGTATGTATGTATGTATGTATGTATGTATGTATGTATGTATGTATGTATGTATGTATGTATGTATGTATGTATGTATGTATGTATGTATGTATGTATGTATGTATGTATGTATGTATGTATGTATGTATGTATGTATGTATGTATGTATGTATGTATGTATGTATGTATGTATGTATGTATGTATGTATGTATGTATGTATGTATGTATGTATGTATGTGTATGTATGTATGTATGTATGTATGTATGTATGTATGTATGTATGTATGTATGTATGTATGTATGTATGTATGTATGTATGTAATGTATGTATGTATGTATGTATGTATGTATGTATGTATGTATGTATGTATGTATGTATGTATGTATGTATGTATGTATGTATGTATGTATGTATGTATGTATGTATGTATGTATGTATGTATGTATGTATGTATGTATGTATGTATGTATGTATGTATGTATGTATGTATGTATGTATGTATGTATGTATGTATGTATGTATGTATGTATGTATGTATGTATGTATGTATGTATGTATGTATGTATGTATGTATGTATGTATGTATGTATGTATGTATGTATGTATGTATGTATGTATGTATGTATGTATGTATGTATGTATGTATGTATGTATGTATGTATGTATGTATGTATGTATGTATGTATGTATGTATGTATGTATGTATGTATGTATGTATGTATGTATGTATGTATGTATGTATGTATGTATGTATGTATGTATGTATGTATGTATGTATGTATGTATGTATGTATGTATGTATGTATGTATGTATGTATGTATGTATGTATGTATGTATGTATGTATGTATGTATGTATGTATGTATGTATGTATGTATGTAATGTATGTATGTATGTATGTATGTATGTATGTATGTATGTATGTATGTATGTATGTATGTATGTATGTAATGTATGTATGTATGTATGTATGTATGTATGTATGTATGTATGTATGTATGTATGTATGTATGTATGTATGTATGTATGTATGTAATGTAATGTAATGTAATGTAATGTAATGTAATGTAATGTATGTATGTATGTATGTATGTATGTAATGTATGTATGTATGTATGTATGTATGTATGTATGTATGTATGTATGTATGTATGTATGTATGTATGTATGTATGTATGTATGTATGTATGTATGTATGTATGTATGTATGTATGTATGTATGTATGTATGTATGTATGTATGTATGTATGTATGTATGTATGTATGTATGTATGTATGTATGTTGTATGTATGTATGTATGTATGTATGTATGTATGTATGTATGTATGTATGTATGTATGTATGTATGTATGTATGTATGTATGTATGTATGTATGTATGTATGTATGTATGTATGTATGTATGTATGTATGTATGTATGTATGTATGTATGTATGTATGTATGTATGTATGTATGTATGTATGTATGTATGTATGTATGTATGTATGTATGTATGTATGTATGTATGTATGTATGTATGTATGTATGTATGTATGTATGTATGTATGTATGTATGTATGTATGTATGTATGTATGTATGTATGTATGTATGTATGTATGTATGTATGTATGTATGTATGTATGTATGTATGTATGTATGTATGTATGTATGTATGTATGTATGTATGTATGTATGTATGTATGTAATGTATGTATGTATGTATGTATGTATGTATGTATGTATGTATGTATGTATGTATGTATGTATGTATGTATGTATGTATGTATGTATGTATGTATGTATGTATGTATGTATGTATGTATGTATGTATGTATGTATGTATGTATGTATGTATGTATGTATGTAATGTATGTATGTATGTATGTATGTATGTATGTATGTATGTATGTATGTATGTATGTATGTATGTATGTATGTATGTATGTATGTATGTATGTATGTATGTATGTATGTATGTATGTATGTATGTATGTATGTATGTATGTATGTATGTATGTAATGTATGTATGTATGTATGTATGTATGTATGTATGTATGTATGTATGTATGTATGTATGTATGTAATGTATGTATGTATGTATGTATGTATGTATGTATGTATGTATGTATGTATGTATGTATGTATGTATGTATGTATGTATGTATGTGTATGTATGTATGTATGTATGTATGTATGTATGTATGTATGTATGTATGTATGTATGTATGTATGTATGTATGTATGTATGTATGTATGTATGTATGTATGTATGTATGTATGTATGTATGTATGTATGTATGTATGTATGTATGTATGTATGTATGTATGTATGTATGTATGTATGTATGTATGTATGTATGTATGTATGTATGTATGTATGTATGTATGTATGTATGTATGTATGTATGTATATATATATATATAGGTATAAACTAACACAGTTAGGGCGAAATGGTTTGGAAGGTTTTGAGCCCCAACGGCCTATTTGAGGTTCCAAGATTCTCAACGATCATTTCCCGATCGTTGCTGTGCTGATTTCCACATGGCCATGGGTCAAAATGCAAATCGTACCCCCAGTGAACATCCCAATCCAACCACTAAAATCGGAAGCCTAAAATGGGTGGTGAATTCACCTACCAGCCGAAACGGGATCCCAAAACGGTTTTGACAATCCCCACTAAAATCGGAAGCCTAAAATGGGTGCACCTACCAAAATGGGATCAACCACGGTTTTGACCACAGCCACATGGCGATTCCCTCAGTCCCCGGATCCCGGATCCCTCGGATCCCTCGGGTCCCTCGGATGCCTCAGCCCTGCCTGGCGGACGTGGACGACGACGTGCGCTCCGCCGCGGCGGCGGCACTGGGGCGTCTGGCGCCGCGGGAGGAGGAGGAGAGAGTGGTCTAGGTCCAGTGCCCTTGTACCGTTTCTTTTTTGGGGGAGATTCGGTTCCCCCACTAAAATAGACTACAGATGAAAAAAAAGCTCGGGTACCCGTATTCTAACCTCTCTGCTAAAAAACCTAGTGGTGTCGTCGAAGCCGTGGGGTCTCCTTCATTGCGCCACCTTGAAGCCATGGGAAGCTTGTTTGTTGGCATTTACAGGGGAATCAGGTCTCCTCCATAGGATTGCAAGCCATCATAGTGTGGATGGTAGCGAAATCCAGAAATCGCGCTACCTAAGAAACCATGGTTGAAACGCACTACGTTTGTTGGTATTTGCAGGCGAATCATCATTTCGGGTTCAGGTGGTGCGAACGGATTTCGTCCAAAGTCGTAGTGCTATTATAGGTGTCCTTGGTAGGGTACTTTGGTTAGAAATGGATGGCACTGATTCAGATTGGTTTTATTCCATTTACTGGGGCCATGTAGTTTCCCAAAAGATCCCCTATGATTGCTATGAAAAGCCAACAAACGCAACAAACAACAAACACAACACCATTCAAGCAACAAGATATCTGGTTTCCCTGTCGACCCCGGTCAATAGACATGGCGGATTCATACGAAGGTTAATGTGGATTGCCTTGGTATGCAGCGCAGAAATTGGAATTTCGTTGAGTTTTGTTTGGGCTGCGAAAAAAAATCAAAGAGAAAAAACAAAAGAAGCAAACATATGTTTGCTGCCTTACCAAGGTTTGGGAAGTCCAACAAAGACTGTTCTTTACCATGACCTCGTAACCCATTCACTATGCTTAACTCCCATGGGCTATAGCCAGGGTTACTGACCACATAGCTGACTCCCAGGTCCTAGAAAAAGAATGGGTGTTTCTCAAAATTGGGTACCCTAAAATGGGGGTTGTTTTGCTTTCGGGTGCCATTTGAATGCGTGCGACCCAAATTGAGTCCATCATTTTAAAAGCTCCCATACTCCCATATTTTGTGTATCCCAGACCCCCATTGCCAAATTGGATTGCTTCCTGGTTGGATTTTTATGGAGGGGGGTTCCTTCAACGCCAACTAGCGTGCCCATTTTCCCCCATTGTTTCAAATATTGCTGTTTGTTTCCACCTGGGGTGTCTTCCATCTTCCAAGCATTTTGCTGGGTAGACTATGGAGCAATGTGTTTTTGGCAGTTCACCCCAGATGTGCCAAGGGAGGCTTAGGCTCTTTTTTTTCCGGTCGCATCATGAGAACCTTGCGGATCCGGAAATTCGGACCTGCAAATGTTGATCAGCTTCCGTTTGCTGGTTAAGGGGATCCATCACTGCTGGAGACGTTGGGTTCTTTTCCAGGGGACCGCATATTTTTTAATGTTCCATTTGGGGAACCAGTCACAAAAGGGCGGCGGACACTTCCATCGATGCCCGCCATTTCGGGATTTACTGGAACCAAAAGCAGGTCCCAGGACAACTCCGCGAAAGGGGACGAGTGTTACTCCTTATGCACGCGGTTGGGGGGATCTGCGGTTTCTTTCGCATACTCGGGACCCCAAAATGAGCCCTAAGACCCCCAAAGATTGAGTGTGGTATTGGGACGAGTTCTCCATAGGAAGCCCCAGCACCCAAAACCCTCCGGTTGGAAATCTCCCGAACGGCGCCTCGCGGTTCCATATGAATTGTGGAAGCTTTTGACTTGAGCAACTAGGAGGAATACTTTAAAGGTATCCGACAAGTTCAAGCTCTCATTTCGAGGGTTGTTTTGTTGGGACTCTTGAAGCCAGGGTATTC